ATTTGTGCTACTTGGCGTACTTCTATGGGTATTACTCTATTCCCCCATCCTGCAGTTAGCCCTGATATGAATCCTATTGAGAAGTGCTGGAGGAGAATAAAACAAGCTCTCCATAGGCGCCTAAGGCAGCCAACAACTGAGGTTCAAATGGTTGTAGCAGTATTAGAAGAATGGGACAAAATTCCTCAGGAATGGATCAATGGGCTTATTGAGCAGCAGGACTTCTGGGTACACGACTTAATTAAGCGATGTGGCTGGTCTACAGCTAATTAATTAATAAAATTCATGATTCTGATGCCCTGAACGCACGGACTTTTGTCCCCATGTTCGTAACGAGTCAACGCGACCAATCGCTCACATACGTTTGACAAATGAATCGAGGACTATTGAAATCTCGAACCATAGCTGACTGTATTGCCACTCGGCATACTGCCGTCGAGTGTCAAATGGCTTCTGAGCGAACTTCACAACATGTCCAAGAAGCTGTGCAAATTACAGACAGAAGGTTTGACATGATGCATGAAATATGTACACAGCAGAACGAAAGGGGCTGTAAAATTTCTGATCTTGACCCCGAATCCTACAGTTCGAATGAATAACAGTCCCCCACAAGCCTCACCACTCCCCTTTCTAGAGATCTCTCCTACCTTCCCCCCAACTCATGAACCCCATTCGCAGTCGGCGCTTCATAAACAGGCGCTGCAGCTGCCGGGCTATATGGATTCGGCTTTGGAACATTCGGCGAATAAGCTGCTGGCTGTTGATTCTGCGCATACCCACTCGTATAATTCGGAACATGCTGCTGAGCCATCGGACTGTAATACTCGTGATTCGGCACAGGAGCCGCAACCCCTTTCGTCTGTTTTCCCTTCTTGAATTCGCGATAAAATAGGAAGCTAAGTAGACCTGCTACCAAGACTCCCAGCGGAATACCGACTCCAACACCGACTTTCGTTCCTAAGTCTCCGTTCCCGCAAGATTGTGTAGAGGTGGTGTTTGTGTTCGTACAATTTGATTTTTGGGAAGGGATACTTGATGCGTTGACGGTACCACTTGTGAGGTTCTGGATCAGAGCATCGTAGCCGGGTTTAAAGGAAGGACCAGTGACTCCCAGCTCGAATTTAGAATCACAGCACGATGAACCATTGCCATAGCCACAGCATTGTTCTCCCTGTGCTGTGCCGATCGGGGAACAGGACCAGATTGCTGTCCAGCTGTCATATTCATCGTTCGTAGAAGGGTCTGTAACTGTTAGCTACGAAGTGAAATCTATTAGGAAGACTTACCTGTTATACATTGAGGCCATTGTTTCGCGGCACAATTCGCAGAATCCCAGGTCTCATCTGTGCATGATCCTCGATAATCCCATCCTGATCTTCCTAAGCAGATACCGCTTGTTGAGCAAGAATCAAGAGGATCGCAACATGCTGAAAATCCAGTGATTGTTTGATTGCAAGGAACGTGATTGGGTTCAGTTACTCCTGATGGATAGTAACATGTTGGTAACAGAGCGAAGGCGGATGAAAGAAAAGGAGCGAGGAGCAGAATTCGAGCCATCGTTGAAGATGGGGAAAAAACAAAAAGGATCACTGTGAACTTGGATGGATGATCCCTTACTCTTAGCACAAAATTAAGGAACAGGATTGTACGTGATGTTTCATAAGGATGTTCGCAAAACGTCCAATTGCGGAATGAAGACTGCGCCTCTGACAGGTTCAAGGTATGATCATCAAACGCCTGCCAATTCAATATGCATGAATAGATCAAGCTTAAGACGATTGGTAGCGAAGCCTGACAAGACTTGACTTCTTGAAGTTAGATTTAGTAACTAGGCGGCGCAGCTTCAAAGTGGAGGACCGGAAGGAGACTTCCAAGTCGGATTTGGGGAACTTCAATGAACAGGCGCGAATGGTTTCCTCGATATATTCTCATAAAATTATTTCCTCGTGAACAAAACATGCGAAGCAGGAAGGGAATTCGTAACATAAATAATGGTGATGTTGATGATGTTGATGATGCGCGATCAATCAAGAGCTGAGTGGCAGAGTTTAGGGCTGATGAGGCTGGAATCGAGGCGTTCTTGGTGGTCATGGGTTGACCCGAGCCCGAGGAACGGTGGAGAACGCTAATTTTTGGAGGCAAGTAACTGCGAGGAATAGCAGGGTTTTAAAATGAAAAACACTTTGAGCAGAGGCTTCTGAACACTGCATCATTCTTTTCATCCGCTGGGATTGTTGTCGTTTCACGTAGAGCAATTGCTCAGCGCTTGCTGTAGTTCAATCGAGCAGTGATACTGACATGACGTCCATTCTGGTCTAAATCTCCTAGTTTTCGTCCATATTCAACTCCTCTTTCATCATATCTTTCTGTCCCCAGCTCTTCTCATTATTCCCCATCTTGACTTCCAAGCTCATCTCAACTCAAAGTACTCATCACGATCCATACTCGAAGGATCAGTCGATTCCCTAACAGCCTCACCATCCATGATCCCATGAACATAACACTCCCCAACCACACTCCAATACTCAACATTCATCGGACTAGGCATCGGCCTCAATAACACAGGTACACTACATCCATAAAGAATGCAAACTACATCATAGATCTGTGCAGCCATGGGAGCCAAGCCTACCCAATCATTCTTCGCACATACCAGGAATTTGCGATTCCAGATCACACTCTGAACCCTCCTCAGGAAATCGACTACCAGAGAAGACTCAGCCTCGTATTCCGCAATGAGATTCTTAGTATTGATGTCTGGATTTCCTGTGCTGTGACTTAAACAATAGAGAAGTGCTCGATGATACCATGACGGGGCATTGGCGCAGTGAGGTCCTCGATCACCAACTAGAGCCCTCCAGAACTTGTCAGGAATTTCATCTCCATTCTCGGTAAGTTTGCAACCACCTAACTCGAGCCATTCGTAGAAAATGATACCTTCAGAAGCGCGAGGACCGAGATGGGTTATGGTGTCTACTTTGAAACCTTGAACGGATAGAGAGAGCAGTGAGTTCGTGAGAGGATCGAGCTTCCTCTGCCATGCAGCTGGTTTGTTTTGAGATGCAGAGTAACATTTCTCGTGTGGCAGACCAACAAGACTATCGGCGTTGATTCGTTCGGTTGATTTGGTATCGCCTGGAAGTTGAAGTGATGATTGAAGTGGACGAACCCATGTAGGAAGTTTTTCCGATACGGCACTAGCCCATCTTCGACAAATAATGTCCAACGAGTGAGAGTGTTTGATGACATGGATGACGAAGTCTTGGTAGACATCTACAACATTCCTTCCGTAGTCTATCCTGAGTGACTGATCATTCTGTAAGACATACGACCCTTCCATGAGTGTACCTTCTGGTGGAGGTAGACCATCTTTAGCAAGAGCCAGGACTGAATAAATCCTATCTCGAGGATCAGTGCAGGTTAAATCAGTCAGTAGCGAGACCAGCGCTTCAAGACTGAGTCGACGTTCAATCTCTGGATCAGGCCTATCAGGCTTCAGTGTGCGTAATGTGTTCTGTGTGACGTCGATGAATCTTTTCGTGACTGTAATCTTCCGATCGAGGAGTTCCCTGTAATCTTTGCCGTTCTGTCGAAAAAGGCGGACAAGATTCTCACGACAGGATATGAACATGGCTACTGCGTCGACAAAGTCGGTATACAGAACTCCTTGCGAACCACAATGTAAGGATGTTGTCTTTGCGACCGTAACTTCTTGGACCATCCACAACCGACTGAATGCAACATTCTTCAGCAACGCAACAAAAGCACTCCACCCTTCGATGGATTTGGGATCTCGGACAAGGACGTCAATCTTGGCAAGATCGAGGATTCTCGTGATGAATGTTAGTCCTGTCTTGAATACTTCGTCATCACCTAACCAAAAACATTGGTTCTTGGCGTTGTGAAAGATACGAAGCTTCATCTCAACTTGATGATTCGTCTCTAGTTGATTACTGCGATTGATGCAAAGAGCGTCCACCCAGAAATTTCTGACTTCGGTAGGGTGTCGTAAGCTCTTGAGTGCGTTGCAAAGATTACTCCTGATGAAAACAGCATGGGTTCTCTTGTGAATATCTTCGAGCTCGATTCTGACAGAATCTTTCCAGCCGAGATCACTACCACCCCAGAAGTAGGATATGGCTTCATAATCCACTGGTTGGTCTAGTGATACTGTTTGGAAGGAGCAGACGACTGTATCTTCTCTCTTCCCAGGCTTGAGACGAAGTAATCGAAAATTGTTTGGTCCCAACTTCAAGAAGACGGATGCTGGTGGTTGGTCTGTCTTGCCCACAGGCCTTGCTTGAGGGGTCTCAGAGACAGGTTCCATTGTTTCGATATGCTCTCGCTTGATCCTCTTGGGTACTCCGATGGGAAGAGGTCGCTCCGACCGTGGAGGAGCCTCGTCGGCGGTACTGTCATCATCACTCTCTTTGCTTGGAGCATCTGGCTTTTCCGACGACGATCTTGTTTTCGATCGTGGAGTGTTCTTTGGTAAATTCGGACCTCTCTTACGTGTATTCAGTTGAGGTTCTGAACAATCCAGCTCTGGTTTGTGCTGTCGACACCGTTGACACTTCTCCGGCCAGACACGATCTGTTGGGAAACACTACTTTTGATCAGCAGCAATACGAAGAATCAGGTGGTATGAACATACTTTCTTTCGGGCCACGCGACACTGGTTGCATTTATACAAATTTAGCTTCTGCCTCTTCCTACTCGTGCCATCATTCTGTTCTCCATCCGACTGAGCATCGGGAGTATCCCCCGCGCGGGCGGACAGGCCAGGCTCCCCGTGAGGCTGAGTGGTGGGCGGAGGGCGTAGTTGGGGATCGATACTCAGATCCGCCATATTAGACATGCCGTCATTGCTGTATTCGCGAGAAATTCCGTTGTAAGGACTGTAAGGACTGAATACGTTTCGCAGCCAAATGGTGTGAGCAAAGAGTCCTGGAACTGAGGGAGAAAAAGGGCAAAACGCAAGCAAATTAGACGGGAGTTGGGGGCATTTCGGGGGCGGTAAGCACGGGCGGAAAGCAAATGAGTCGAGTGGTTGACGTGTCGAGCGTGTCATGTTGGCGCACAGGGGGGGAAGGTGCATTGATGCGCAACCAAAACAGCAGACGGATGGACGGCATTTTTGTTCTCGTGTGATAATATCAAATGTTGGATTCGGGCATTGGGGCATTTGAGGGGCATCGCGAGTTGAGATTGAGACGGCAACAACGTGAGTTGCGGGATTGAATCAGGGCCTTTCTCTCTCACTACTTTCGACTCTTCACTCGCGCTCCGTTCTCCCTCGACTTCTCGTCATCCCACGGATGGATAAAATGCCGCAATGGCCAGTGCATGACGGCGAGATTCAAAATAAGCCTCGTATAGCAAATCTCGTATGTCTTTGCGTCTTTGTTGCATGTCAAGATCAAGTTCTGATTGCGCGCGCAAGTAAATCCCCTCACATCTCCCCCTCCGTGATAGCATCTTTGTCTGCGCCCACATATGCAGTCTCATTACTGTGGTCAGACGACAGGCAGAATTGGCCAATCCTTGGGATACGAGAAGTGGCAGAGCAGTTCCGTTGGTGCCGGGTGAAATCAAAAAACCTGCTTTGCTGCCCAACAAATGCCTCTTTACCCAATTTCAACTGCAGTGCAACCCAGTCGGAAGTGCTGGATGGTTTGCACTGCCCGACGCCCTCCAGCTGGACAGGGATATACGTGTCTGCCAAGAAGCCGTAGCGCTTACATATCTGGTTGCGCGAGAAATCAAATCGCTCTCAAATATCCTCCAGTCCCTCTGGCCAAGTCCATTGTCGAGTTATAACACACCCAGATACCAAATTTGCAATCTCCCTCTCTCTCCATTCAACCCTCAAGTTTGCCCTTCGAGCATCAACCTCAGTCCAGCATCATTGCAAACAGCCAGCGACGAAACCTATCGCAATCAATAAACCATCATCATCGCCACCAACATTAGCAACATGCCTCGCTATGCCATCGCCGCCGACACCAGATCCATTGCTGCCATGAACGGATCCGTTCAAGGGTGTGTATATCCTCTCTTCATCCAGCAGATCAAGCACTTACAAGTCTGCTAGATACGATGATTCCTACAAATACATCGATGCTAGAGAAGCGTCTTCACTCCGGTTACAGAACATCTCATCATTCCAAGTCGAACGACCACCTTTCTACATCCGCGAAGAATCCATCACAACCTCACGAAGGAGAATGGGACAGGAGATCAGCAATTTCGATGCCATTTTCGCTGCTGCTAGCAGAGCATAAATCTAGTTGCTGGAGCTTGTACTTGAATACGATAGGATACGATTGGCATATGGGAATGGAGTAATTGAAAGCATTTGAAGGAGTTTGGAAATCATGACTGGAATGACAGCACAGGTTGGGATTGTAAAAAGAGGGTTTGGCGTTGGAAATTTGAGCGATTTTTTCGCGAGGAGCGACCGGAGCATATGATCACGAAGGATGACATTGAAGACTCATGAAGATATCATATAGACTGAGAGACAATTCAGATCTACTACTACTCATCATTTGCATCTTTCAGCCATAACTATTATGTGAATTGATTGTAATTGCTTTAGATGTCCTTGTCAGTCCGAAATATTTTACCCCGCAAGAAGCCTGGCGGCCAGGCCTGAAGAAGCCTGCAGCAAAGACCTGGTGACGCCCGCGACCGACAACCACCAAGCAGATGGCCTCTTCATCTTTTCTTTGGAGTCATTCTTCATGGAACGCGAAACTAATGCCCAACTTGGAGAACTATTCTTACCTATCTTCATGTCTCATTTTTGAGACTCAAGTCGAGAAATGGACACTGCCCGTGTCCAGTGTCCATGTCCATCCATGTAGCTGTCCGGTCGGCTCAAGCGAGCCCGAGAGGTGCTTTTCATGTACAGAAAAGTGCGACATGCAACAAAACATTTCTCAATTACTTAAGCAGCATGTGATGTCCTGATGAGGACAGACACGTGAGATTGTTAACCACCGAAGGGAAGTTGCGCATACTGTTCTATACAGATGTTCTTCATGTTTGTCAATTCTGGTGGTTTTGGGAACTAGGCTCACTTATTCAGGGGAGGTGACTTTGAGACATTCGAAGGAGAACAAGACTTTCATGTTGCCAATGGCAGTATGTGAACAGAAGACATTCAAGAATCTATAGCAATGACGTTAGAAAGAACTATTAAGAGCCGAGAAGATAGACCGCTCCAATTAGCTCATCATCTTTCAGGAGCTTCTCTTTCTCTCTTCCTTAGACTGTGCTCCTCAAACTCCTCCTATACTTCCAGGTCCCTTCCGCCGCATCATCACAACAGCTTCATTCCTCGGTCGATGAAACTTCACTGAAAATCAGACCCTCCCTCATGCCTAGGAATCCCACCAGAACCTTGACACGCCAATTTCCCAATCCAAGGAATCTCCACATCAATCCAACAATGTCGTACAGGAATTAACCAATCTTTCTCCAAATCCTCACTATCAATAGTTCCTGTCCAGACATCCAGGAACGCCGGCCACGGTTCTGGCATCGAAACAGAGTTGTAAGTAAGACTAACTCCACAGCGAGAGCAGAAGCTCCGTCTCCGTGCGTCGGTAGAGGCGTAGAATTCTAGGAAAGTATCGTCTTTTTCCTTGAATTCTGCGGGAGGGAAGATTTTTGCTGCTGGGATCCATTCATTCTTATCGGAGTCCTTCTTGCTTCGTGACTCGATTTGAAAAGAGACGTATGAGTTCAAGCATGCGAAAGCGTAAGTGATCAAAGCTCCTGTTCCTCGTCGACAGTCATTGCAATGGCATACTAATGACATTGGAAATCGAATCTTCTCACGCTCGGGGAGATGGGCTTGATCTCGAGTTGGATGCATGAAACGGTCTTTGAATGCTGGGACCTCGATTTTGTATCGAATGGCACGACAATTGCAGCCGCCATGGAGAGTGAAGGCATGATCTGGGAGAGGCATAATGTGTTGGATGGGCAGGTCTTATTGTAGATGGCGATTACTTCTTTAAGTGCGATGTTGATTTGGATCAAAGTGTCTTTCCATGTAAGCACTATAATTGGTGCTCACCACAAGCTTTTGTTGGCTTTTGCTACTTGCTGCTGATTGGCCAGTGGTTATCGATGAGGCTTGTTTCGCATTCGCACTTGGGGTTAAAGTAACGGACGAACATAACTATCTGAGAATAGAGATTTGTTACAAAGCAACAATAAAGTGAGTAGGACATAAGATTTAGCCTAATATCTTCAGAAGAGAAACAAAAAGTATACCTTTGACATCGAACGAGACGATGACAAGCAGTGTTCTCTGGAGACGGGGGCGCGAAGCATGTATGAGGAGTTTCGTTTTCAAATACGCGCAAGTAAGCTGGGAAGGTAAAAGCACTTCGCCGCCCTCGGCATCTCTTATTCTGATATGAGAGAAGAATGGTTGCACACACAGCGAGAAATTCTGCAACGCCACTCCAGCCTCTAGTCCATATTTGGTCAAGCTCTCAGCTCCTGTCACGTGCCTATCCATGAGCACGCAATCGCCCTGGTCACACTAATCGATGACCAGAGCGAATGAGAAAGAGCGATACTTAACAATTCTCTTTTCCCTTTTCGTTTCTTCTCTTCTCTTTGTCAATCTTCCTCAATAACTTGAAGCTACTCACACAAACTCACCTCGAAGTTGGGCAAATTTTCTGCTTCTTTTTCGTCGTTTTTTCTCTTCCTCAAGTCGAGGATCTCGGAATGGTTTTCTTACATGACACATCGCGGCGTACGGCATCCAATCACAGTAACTCAAGTGGGTTTCTGCGTCCGTTGGGTCACAAAACTTCTCTTTATCATACGGAATAGCATAGAGGCCGTTTTGGCAATGTTATCAGCTCCGAGTTTCGGATGGGATCAACGATCTCGAGATGCAAGCGCTTTGTCAGATTAAACGAGTCAATTCAGAATTTTCTGTGGAAAGAAGGCATCAGATTTTGCCCCTTTTTCAAGCGAATGTTGAAATGTTTCTTTGACCTTATGCTCTCAGGTACCTGCACTACCTAATACTCGTCTAAGCTGCTACTTCACCTTCCCAAACATCAAAGAGTTGTCTCCTTCTTGTCATCTTGGTCTTGCATGTGCAAGAGATCGAATGGTCTTGGCCAATAGATAAGAATGACACCGTCTCACTCCACCCGATGACCCCGCTTAACGCCGGCTTTGATTGGATTCGAATTCGACGACAACGGAACGGCGGTGACACTGGGAGACTACTTGACAGTATGGTCATTCCGCGGCCAGGGCCATCAAGGTGTGGGCAATTCAATTGGTTGATAAAGGCCAAATGTGACCTTGAGCTCATTTTGGTTGGGAAGGAGATCAGGAAATCTCGACAATCCTTGCAAAATATGCTCATACACCGAGAAGACCAGATGGAAGTCGAAGGAGGAGTTTGAATATGAAGAGGAAGATTTGGAGGGAGAATGACGATCAGTGAGCTGGGATTGATGAAAGAGGCAAACAATGGGGATGTCAAGAGACGCAAGACTCATACTGCTTGAGGGCTCATCAGCTTGATGAATTGTGTCCGATGAGCGGATGGATGGCTGTGCATAAGTTCCACTCAACATTAGCGTGGCGCAACATCAATCTTACTTTTCTGAATACTTTCCAACTTCTGATTCTTGTTATTCACCAACGTTAATCTACCAAGCAATACCTGTGAAAGGCATCGACTTCCTGCTTCATCCGCCACTGTCTTCCACCTAATCATGGCTCCCATCAAATCCACCGCTCTTCGCGCACTCCGAACAAAGGTCCCAACTCGATCCTCTCGTGTATTGAGCGGGGTCAATCGAGGTATCACTGGCATTTCAAAAACTGCATCACCATGGGAAACGGAACAGTCACCGCTTCCTGTTGCGCCTCTATTACCAGGTAAGAATACTTTGCAATGATTTGCACCAAGCTAACTCTTCAAGTTCCTCGATTCTCGATGCAGCAGCCTGTCAGACATCAAACGTCGACACCTTTCGATGATCTCCTCACCTCCATCACTCACAGCTTAGGCACTACTCCGAAGCCATCATTACCACACCTGCATAACCTTCTTCGAACCTACACTTCAGACTCTAATCACTGGTCGAAATACGCACATCGAAATCCCCAAAAGCAATATACAAGAAATCTCGTCTGCGAACTTCCGGGCATTTTCAATCTCTTATTGCTTGTTTGGACACCAGGTCAAGCAAGTCCAATACATGATCATGCTGACTCACACTGTTTGATGAAGGTGCGTCTAACATACTTTGGTATTCTTTGAGACCAAAACTGACAGCTGCAGATTCTGAAAGGAGAACTCCAAGAATCACGATTCGCGATTCCTGAAAATCCAGGTAATGAAGGACCATTAGTTGAGACATCAAGATTGAATTTTGGCGTGAACAAAGTTACTTATATTGCTGATAATGTGAGTTCACCAACGTCGATGATCTAATCATGTGCTAAACTAAATTCAGCTTGGTCTTCATGAGATCTCAAACCCCCACCCCACAGATTATGCTGTCTCATTACATTTGTACACACCGCCGAATGCTGCGATGAGGGGTTGTAACATCTTCGATCCGGAAACGGGAGAGGCAAGGCACGTGATGCAGTGTGCATATGATTCTGTGCGAGGTGCGGTTGCGTCAAATTAAAGGGAATTGGAATTTATACAGCGGCCGAAGGGTCATTTAACGTTGAGTTTTGATTCCCTGCTCAGAATCGAGCTGGGTGACAATGGATTTACGATTTACGACAGCAGCTTTTGGATATGAAGAATGATTGGGATGGGAGATTTGGGATACCAGCATATTGTCAGCAGTGTATTCAATTTGACTACTCACTTGTGTTTCCAAAGGAACGTCCTTACTGATTAAATTGATTCACGAAATACCTAGACTTCTCGTCATGAACTTTTAACAAAAGGTCAAAGGTGTGAGCTCCAGATCTTCAATGACAAAGCAACTAGTATCAAATACGAGTCTTGGCAGCTTGAAGCTGAAATGAACCCCGATTACTGGATTTGGCAATTTATGAGTTCGTGTGCCTTGCAGTCGGACCGGGATGCAGCTCGATTAGTCAACTTTAACCAATGTCACACACAGGTAGTATAAAAGTACCTCTGTGGAGGCATGATTGAGGACATCAATGCTAAAGATGTGGGGAGTACCTCAATTCCTCTTTTCTCTTCGCCTCTTCAGTTCAGCAACTCAAGCTGTTGCCAGCTACGACTATGTGTAAATCACTCGTCCAGAAGGAGTACTCTGCTAATGTATGCAGCATCATCGGAGGTGGTACAGCTGGTTTGACGATAGCTACACGGCTTTCAGAGAACCCAGACACCTCTATCCTTGTCCTCGAAGCTGGGAATGATCATTCAAATGATACCAATGTTCTCTCTCCTGGTCTTTATACCACTATGTATGGTAATCCAGAGTATGATTGGAACTACAAGACAGTACCTCAAATCTATGCGAATGATCAAGAAGTTGCTCATCCTCGAGGAAAGCAGCTCGGAGGGTCGTCAGCTATCAACTTCCTATTCTGGACTCATGCATCCCAGCAGGACATCAACAATTGGGGCCAGCTTGGAAATGCAAACTGGTCTTGGGAAGTTCTCGAACCATATTTCACTAAGTCCGAGAACTTTCTCGCACCATCATATCATGTTGAAGAAGATCTCGAAACAGAATACATTGTTCCCAGCATTCATGGAACATCTGGTCCCATCAACAACACGTTTCCTGATATCTACGGACCTCTAGATGAAGCATGGCCACGAACATATGAGATGCTCGGTTTCGCTCCGAAGATAGATCCGAGAGATGGGTTGGCATTAGGAGGATACACGAATCTGATCAACATGGACCTCAAAGGGAGGACGAGAAGCTATGCAGCTACGGGATATTACCTTCCTGCTTCAAAACGTCAAAATCTGAAGGGTCTTACTCGAGCTCTGGCAGAGAAGATCTTGATTGAGAAAGGTCATTCTGTCAGAGCTACAGGTGTGCAGTATTCGATTGGAAACAGTACGGAAATTGTTCATGCCAAGAAGGAGGTGATTCTATCTGCTGGATCCATCGGTTCACCTCAGATTCTGGAACTTTCCGGGATTGGGAATCCCAGTCTTTTGAAAACACACGGAATTGACGTTCTGGTTGCGAATGAAAATGTTGGAGAGAACTTACAGGATCACATATACGTTCCTGTAGCGTGAGTTGATCTTATTCGATACTTTCCAGGCTGATTTGTAGCAGCTACAAAGTTATCCCTGGAGTCACAACCCTTGATAACTTTACAGACCCGGATTATTTCAACGCAGCATATGAACAGTATATCACCAATGCAACCGGCCCTCTTGCTACCACAGGTGCAAGCTCTGGTCTTCTGTCCTGTCCACAAATTGGCTGTGGGGATCTCATCCCTCCTGCCTTCTCAAATATCTCTTCCAGCCTCGCAGCGCAATACTCAATCCTGAACAAGTATTTCCAGACAGAAGCTGTAACTCAAGAACTCACAGTCACTGGAGGTATGAGTCCCCAGTATGTTAACGACACCACGAAACTTTTCACCACTTCTTTGACTGGGAATTTCTTTACTCTGCTTGGAGTCTTGGAACATCCTTATTCAAGAGGTGCCGTACATATCCAATCTTCAGACCCTACTGTGTATCCTGAAATTGATCCTAAATACCTTTCCAATCCATTCGACCTCGAAGTACTATCTCGAATCGCACTTCATCTTCAAAAGGTAGCCAGAACACCACCACTCAGCGATCTCCTGAAAGGGAACGGTACAATCTACCAGCCTGGATATTATGAGCTGGACTCGAACAATGTTGGGGAATGGATAAAGCAAAATCTTCAAAGTGAATATCATCCAGCTGGTACATGTGCCATGATGCCAAAAGAAAAGGGAGGTGTAGTTGATGAGCGGTTCAGGGTTTATGGTGTTGATGGATTGAGAGTCGTGGATGCCAGTGTGTTTCCTTTGATGCCGAGAGCGAATCTGCAGACACTTGTGTATGCGATTGCAGAGAGAGCCGCAAATTTCATGAAGGAGGATGATAATTGTCTTTGACTTCGTCTTGTGGGGACTACCCTGCTACTCCAAATATATTTTCTTCAGGCTGTGAAAGCGAGTTATTTCAGGAGGGAGATTAGCGCCTGCAGCGCTGTCGGCGCATCTAGCGCACTCAGCGCGTTCTGCGCGTTCTGCGAGGTGCGTTGCCAGCGCTTTGGGTGCCTATGGTTTCGCTTCCCCGGAATCGCTTCAGCGCACCGTCGCCATCATGAATCCTAATTGGATTTTCCGCAGCGCAGGGAAGCAGGAAACCTGGAATCAGCAAGAAACATTCGAATATCTTATATGCTTTTTTAATTTATAGAGTTCGGCATCCACTTGTTCAAATACTTTGTGAAAAACGTGACTCCTCTTAGCGTCGCCTGCTACCTGCCGATGTTGCATCATCTTTCATCTGGTTGGTAATGCATCGTACTTAATACCTGTAGGCAATTACCCATCCTAGCCTCAGCTCAGCTCCAACGCAATGTCTTGACTCGAAGTAGTGGCCTACCATTGAAGTTTGCGACCTCTTCCAGTCGGGGAAGATCGAGACGAAATCTAAAAGAAGAGCGTCGCCACTGAAAGACGCTTTTCGTTGTCTCTACCCTTCGTCAGCCATCTTCTGGACGAGTTAGCAAAGCTCTACTTGACGCCTAGACAAGATCCTTTCCTTTCTCTCAAATTGCCGCGAGTCACTGCCTCACGGCCTTGATCTCAAGAAGAGTCTCCGAGCCGAACTTCAATAGCAATGGCGTCCAAAAAGACAAACATCAACACCAAATTTGCAGAAAAGGCTGAAGCGCTGAAGCCCGAATTGCATGAACGAATAGTTCATCCCCTTTCCGTCATAGAATTCGTCCCCGATCAAACAGCCTTCTTCAAATGCAAGGCAATTGAAACTCACACAATCCAAGACTTACCAAGTCTCTCATTCGGAAAGGACGACCAAATTATCTTAGATTTCGGCTCTCATCATGTTGGCTACCTCTCCTTCCATGTTGGCGTTGACGCAGTCGATGTCGATGCTCCTACAAGATTACGATTAACATTCGGAGAAATTCCATACGATGTCACGGAGGATCTTCATCCATCCAAGGCTGGAATAAGCACCAGTTGGCTTCCAGACGAAATTATTAATGTGGACTGGCTTCCTACAGACGTTAAAATGCCACGAAGATATGCCTTTCGATATCTCAAGATTGAAGTGCTAGATACCTCCCAAAGATACAAAGTTCGCTTCCAAAACGTTAAAGTTCGAGCTGTGAGTGCAATTTTGCCTGCAGTCAAAGTTGAGGCTTTGATAACTACGGACAAAAAACTCAACGAATTGGATCGCATCAGTCAAGCTACTTTACGGGACTGTGCTCAAACTGTCTTTGAAGATGGACCTCGTCGAGATCGAAGATTGTGGCTTGGTGATCTCAGATTACAAGCTCTGACAAATTATTGTACATTCAAGGACTTCAGGCTCGCCAAAAGATGTCTCTATCTCTTTGCAGCTTTGCCTCGAGAAGATGAAAGTCTGCCAGCTTGTCTCTTCGAAAAGCCAAAATTATCAGCTGCTTCAGATTACATCGTGGACTATGATGCACTCTTTGGTCCAACTGTTTATGATTACGCTCTTGCATCTGGCGATTTGGAAACAGCAAGAGAATTGTGGACAACCGTCTTGGGAAGCATGAAAATGCCCATGAGCCATCTGGACAAGAACGGAAAGTTTGACTCGAGAGCTACAGAAGCCTGGAAATTCCTTGACTGGTCTGAGGGCTTAGATACAAATGCTGGCATGCATGGACTTGTTTTGTATTGTTGCAAAAAAGTCAACAAACTTGCGAAATTGATCGGAGAGGAACCTCCATACTTGGATATTGTGGAGAGGATGACTGGAGCTACATCTTCTTTCTACAATAAGACTCTTCGGGTTTTTGTAAGTGGTCCAGAAAGGCAAGTATCCTGGATAAGCCAAGCATGGATGGCGCTGTCTGGAGCCGTGGACTCACACATCTCTCTGGAAGCAATCAGAACGGCAATGAAAGATAGCAAAGCTCTCAAACCGCTGACTCCATACGCCTACCATCATGTTGCCGAAGCTCTTGCTCGATGCGGTGGTGAAGCTGATTGTTTGAAGCTCATGAGAGACTATTGGGGAGGTATGGCTCGAGCTGGCGCAGATACCTTCTGGGAATGTTTCGATGCTGAAGATTCAAGGAGAAGTCCATATGGAGACTGTCATAACAACAGTTATTGTCATGCTTGGAGTTGCACTCCAAGCTACTTGCTCAGAGTGGTGCTGAATGAATATTTCAAAGTTGAAGCTCACAATTGGACAAGGCTGACGGACCAGAAATAAGATAATATGACTCGATTGTGCCGCGCTAGCAGGCACGTTAAGATTCTCCCAGTCGTATAACTTGGCAAATCATCTTCAAGCTAACGAGGCAATATTTTCTCTTCTTGTGCCACAATTGTTCCAACAATTCAACGACTTGTGGCACGACATACGGCACACCTTCCGTCAAGACAGATTCCGCCGTTCCGAACTCAATCTTCAGAAGATGGATTCAATCACCACTGCTTCGTCGCAGGTCAAGGGGTTTCTTGGGCTTTTCCTTGGTAGTCCTTTCAAGTTCGCGCTGACCTTGTTGGGGCTTCTTCTTTGGACCGCAATTCATCGTCTGTACTTCAGTTCGATCTCACACATTCCGGGTCCAAAGCTCGCTGCTATCACTCAGCTCTACGAGATTTACTATGATGTTTATCTCGGAGGCAAATTCACTTTGCATCTCGAGTCGTTGCACAAGCAATATGGTAGGTGTCGCTTCTTCCCTCCAGGACCTCCAGCTCACCATTGCAGGCCCTATTATCCGAATCAATCCGTGGGAAATTCATATCAATGATCCTCACTTCTACGATGAGATCTACACTACTGTACGCCCTTTCAACAAAGTCTTCGAACATATATCTTGGGTCAACCTCTTCACCGCGGGACTGGCTACTGTTCCACACTCACTTCACAAGATGCGTCGCTCAGCCATCAGTCCCTTGTTCTCGAAGCAACAGATCTATATTCTCCAATCAGAAATCCAAGATCGAGCTGCAAAGTTATGCAACCGATTCCTCTATGAATACAAGTCCACAGGAAAGGCAGTGTCGCTGGAAAGAGCTTTTGGTTGCTATGCCACGGATGTCGTGACACATTATACTTTTGCTCGAGAATACAAATACTTGGACTTCCCGGATTTCATTGCACCAACCCTCGAAACTGCTCGAATGTTCGCCGCACTGATTCATGTTATTCGCCTCTTCCCGGTCTTTCGAATTATATCACAGAATATGCCCAACCGTTTGGTAGCATTCATGGTTCCTGGACTTGGCCATTTCTTCGCTTTCCAAGATGTTAGTGACCCACTCTCGAAGAAAGCGATACTTACTGATACTGCTATAGGATATGTTTCGGCAAGTTACAGATATCATCTCCGGTAGAAATCAAGATCATGTGAATGTATCCCACAAAACCATCTTCCACGAAGTTCTCAGCTCGAATCTTCCTCCTCGAGAGAAGTTAGTCCCTAGACTAGCTGATGAAGGGATGGTCCTTGTACTTGCAGGATTCGAAACTACTCGGTCGGTCCTCACCAATACCTGCTTCTACATTCTCAATGATAAAGAGGTGTGCAGAAAGTTGAAGGCTGAATTGGCTGCTGCATGGCCCGATATCGAAAACCCACCAACACTACAGGAGCTCGAGCGACTTCCATATCTCACTGCTATCATCCAAGAAGGTAAGAATCGGCTCAAATCCTGTGATCTCATATACTGACTCATTTAGGATTGAGACTTAGCTTGGGCGTATCGTTTCGACTTCCCCGCACCTCGCCAACGCCTATTCAATACGGAAGCTACACGATTCCACCCGGAGCCATATTTTCAATGTGTCAATATTTCGTGGCCACTAATTCAACCATCTTCCCTTCTCCAAAAACATTTGACCCAACTCGCTGGCTCGCTGATCCTATCACTGGCGAAATGCCTCTTGCTCCCGATGGAAAGCTCCTTTCTCGATACCAAGTGTCTTTCTCTCGTGGAACAAGATCTTGCGTTGGAATGAATCTGGCATATGCTGAACTTCATATTTGCTTAGCAAATGTGTTTCGAAAGTGCGAACTGCAGCTGTTTGAGACGACAGTCAAGGACATCGAATTCAACCGCGACTACTTCCTCCCCCGTGCTCACCCGGATAGCAAAGGAGTTAGAGCATTGGTTGTTTGAGAGACCTTAAGATATTGATGTAATACTTGTTGGTTGGAGAGACAGCGTGATGCATCGCATGGTAACTTTGGTGGGTCGTACATTGGCTTTGGACAGAGCGAGACCGTTCTCAGATTTAGACTTGTTAGACTTCTTAGACGTCAACGGAGATCTCTGAACCTGTTTTTACCCCCGCAGCAAATGTGAAATCAGATTTCCCCACACTTTCTGCGTCAATGCAACTATGCTAATCCCAGTTTCGTTGTCTTAGAAGAGATTACTGAACAACAACTATCCTGACTCATAAGCGAGATTCGAGGTTCGGCTCCTCCGATGAAAACTGGTCCGAGATAGAAAGTCTGTGTCTGCTTTCAATCCGAATAATTCCTTGTAACAGGTCTCGGCAATGTGCGAGTAGTGTCAGATTACAATGCTTGGGATGTATGCCGGGGGGTAATGCTGCACGGAGTGATGTGAGCGGGGAGCGTAGTACCCGTGATCACTAAACAATAAATCCTGAAGCTCATATAATCATGAATACCCCACTTGAATGTGGTACGATTCGTCTTACGCGTTGAAAACTCTCTGTAACACCTCATCTTGCTTTTTCTCGACTATTTGAAAATATGCCTATCCTCCAGTTTTACATTAGTCCAAATCAGCTTTCACTCGAAGAGAAGCAGGAGTTGGCATCAACCTTAACGGCAAGATATGCCAGGTTGATGCCTGATTTCTTTGTCAATGTCATGTTCCATGAGGTGCGTTCATCCCCCTTCAATGTGAAAATTAAAGCTGATGAGACCAGTTACCACATGGCTCTTTTTTTGTCGGAGGCAAACCGACAGATGGCAAATTTGTCAGAGTTACAGCTGAGCATATTGCTGTAAATTGGAATAAAGATAGTAAAAGAGAGAAGGCATATCTTGATTGGTTGGGAGGTGTTTTGAAGGAGAGATTTGAGCCGAAGGGATGGACGTAAGTCTACATCCAATTCACGCATTGATTATGGGCTGACATGAGATTCAGGTGGGAGTTCAGTGTCACGGAAAGTGATAGAGATCTTTGGAGAGTACAGAGCATTGTTCCTCCTGCTGTTGGAAGTCAAGCAATGAAGACTTGGGTGGCTGCTGGGAAAGGAATTCCATGGGAGGCGGAGAAGTTATGATTGGACAAATTTACTTCACACAAGCAGCAACATACTTCAAATTATGCAGTTTCATAGACAAAGATTTAATCAAACCAACCAAAAATGGGAAGAATATCGTCTTGCATCAACTCAATAGTGTCAAAACTCCTCCCGAAGGTCTTCGGCCTCCTTTAAGAATGACCCCGCTCAGGGCTATCTTAGCTCGTGGGAATTCAGGTTGCGGACAATGAGACTGCCTCACGCATTGAACAGCTATCTGCAGAGACATTAAACAATTAAGCATTTAAGAGCTAAGCTTAAATAATTGTTCTAAAGAAAGATTCGGGAAATGTTTCATTGTCCCGTTGACTTTCGGACATCAGCAGAACTTCTAATGTCGGAGCTGAGATTGATGCGGAGAACAATTACATGAAAGACTCTGTTCGCTTAATATGATGTAAGATATTATCTTCGCTCGATACATAACTGTTGCCAAAAGGGTTGGGGGTGGTTCATGGTTTATTCTCAGGAAGCTCGACCACAACTGCGAATCCAAAATGATCTCCATGTAGTATCATGGGAATAACTTTACAGTATATGATTTGTGTTTCGGTCAATAAACATTAATAAATACTGTATGGTGTTTAAAATCAAAAGGTCCTAGTGGTCTCTCATGTCGTTTAGCACCTTTTCAAGAATGGGGCCAAGCCTTGCCTAACTCTACGGTGGAGCCTCATGATTCAACAGCTTAGAACAGTAAAATATTTCAAAGCGTACGCTTTTGCTTGTAAGGACCATATGATAGATATTGTATTGCATTTCCCGGAATGAAAGCTCCTATTCTCCACGATGCAGAAAACAATCCTGACTAAGAATGATGTCACCTTTTCGTCATGCGGAATCACGGGATGGGATGTTCCTGAATGAGGGGTAAAGCATGATCGAGCTTCAGCTCTGCTTCTGCATTCAATTGCAATTCATACAAGATGGCAGAACAAGATAAATACGGCTCGCATTTCAATTCAAACCCTACCAATCCAGTAAAGGATGGCTCGGGCTCACTCTTTAGTGGCCTGTTCCGTGGTTCTGGAGCTGAGCAGGACCGTCACGACTCCCATTTCGGTATTGGAGAAGACAATGTAAGAAATGCAGCTTCAAAGCTCGACACTTCGAAATTTGGCTCTGGAGCTGAACAAGACCGCCATGCCTCGCATTTCAGTCTGGGAGAAGACAATCCAGTGAGAGGTGCAGCATCAAGATGGAACGAAAACTTTGGTTCTGGTGCTGAACAGGACCGACATGGTTCGCACTTTGGACTTGGATCCGACAACCCCGTCAGCAATGCTGCTTCCAAGTTCAAACTCTCGAAATTTGGTAAAGGAACTTCAGGATCTGAACAAGATCGATATGGTACTCACTTCTCGTTGGTATGGTAACTCCTCACTTGCAGAGAACGCTGCTGATCAATGTAGGACCCAAACAACCCAATTGACCCATCCACCGTGGGTATCTTTCGATCAACTCTCCTCCCATCAATTGGTTTCCATTCTGGTCTTGCTGTCGTTGCATATGCTGCCTCTCGAGCTACGGATCGTGTTGAAGGAAAGGATTGGCTTTGGCCATCTGGACAGATTCTTAATGCATGGTGGGTTGCTGTCGGATATCGAGTCGTGAACGAGGGTATTTCGCCTGCTACAGCATATTCTCATCTGGCATACACTGAGAAACTTCTCCTCACTGGTGTAACTGCTTGGGGAGCTCGACTCTTCTATAAGATCGCATCACGAAGCTATACCAGAGAAGGGGACGATCCAAGGTACGAGGAAGCCAAAAAAGAGGAAGGCTTCTGGAACAAAGCTTTCTTCTCGCTCTTCTTACCCGAAGCCCTCTGTCAAGCTGTCATTTCTCTGCCGTTCACGCTTCCATTCCGTGCTATCGACGCCAGTGCCTTTGCATCTCCGTTGCATGTTCATCCTGAATATACGCATGGTCTTGCCGTAGCCATGTTCAGTACTGGATTCGCGATGGAAGTTCTTGCCGATATTCAACTAGCCGCTCAAAAGAAGGAGAAACCCGATGATCTGAATCGTGAAGGTGTCTGGAGCATTGTCAGACATCCAAAGTAAGTTGATCTTTTTCCATGTCGTCATTGCTGACAGACAATAGTTATCTTGGTGATGCCCTCGTCCATGCCTCCTTCCCTCTCCTTCTATGGTCTGCTGGTATCATGCATCCACTTGCACTTCTCGGTCCCGTTGCAAATTATGCTTTCCTTCGGTTTGCTGGTGGCGATGCCGAAAATGAGACATCTCAAGAACAACGTTATGTCAAGGAAAGCCAGAAGAAACATGGGCAACTTTTGGAGTATAAGCGCACAAAGAACAGCTTCTGGCCGAAGCCTGAGGAAATCAGTAATCCATGGACTTGGACTGTCATGGGTGCTGGTGTTGTTGGTTTAGTTCTCGAGAAGGGTGTCAGAAGTTATCTTCATCGTTGAATAATTTGGGAAGCCTTTTGGATTTAAAGTCTCTTCGTAATGGGTCGGTCTGTAACAATAGGTCAAAGAATGATATTATGACCAGCAATTATACTCAATGATGTCTGAATAGTGTCTGAAAGTCGACAAATGAAAGTCCTTCCAAACAAGTAGATCCCCATTGAGGGGAGTGCACTCCAGTCCATAAGTCGAGTATGCTTGTGAGTAACATTCTAGCAAAGGTGGGAGCACCTGGGGACCACAAGATACTGGTTTCTCGTCCTTTTGGTGATTAGTTGAGGCAGAGTGAAGAGAGTTGTGTCCGCACCCCCATTTTGAAGCAAAACCATTCACGTGATCAACGATGCGGCCGCACAGGGTCTTGGCATTCAATTGGCGTTGACTTCAGTTAGCAGTATCACTATTGTGATCTTGCTTCACCAGTTACAAGCCCATTGATTGTCTCTGTCCTACAATTGTCTGCCAAAAGATTGGCTACGCGAAAGCATTTCAAGCTCCTTCGGCAGCAAAACTTCCTGGCTTAGGAAAATATTCTTGTCGAAGGCGTCACGTATCCCCGCGCCAATATTTACAGTACGTGGGGCCGGCATCCTACGAATACAATGTGCATGTCAGTCTCATAAGCATTCAAGATGCCAGGCTTCTCTCTGGATGATGATGACCGAGGCATGTCTGACACCTCCAACAATAGAAGCATACCTAACTTCTCTAGGGTCTAACAATAGCTCGGACAATGAGCAGGATGAATTGATGGAAGATGCAGAAGATATCGAACCGGATCCAGACCAAGATGCAGATGCGGATGGTGATGGAGACGACGACGAGAATGACGAGGATAATGGAGATGAGGATCAAGACGGAGGAGACGACGAGGATGATGGCCCCGAACCTTCAAATCGAACTCGAAGACCTAGCCTTCCTACAACCAATACAAGTTCAGACGATACTCCTATAATGAGTCAAGTCAATGGCGCTGGGCCTACATCACATCCTAGACCAGTTGTTACTCGAACATCTGCCTCTCCTCGACAACCATCCGCACCTCTGCCTTCCCCCAAGATGCGATACGAAGTAAGGCCTGAAGCCCTTACTGCGTCCGAATATGATATTGTACCTACAATGGCAGCCCCGCAGAGTACCTCTATAAATGCAATCACAGCCACTCCAGATATGAGATATTGGTTCACTGGAGGATCAGATTGCTACATAAGGAAATACGATGGAGTTGCAACAGTCAATGGGAAGACACTTTTGACTGTAGCTCAACGACATCCCTTCGTGGATAGTGTGGTCAAAGCTGGTGTTCTGATGAGCTATTGGGATAATGAGGAACCGAATTCGAAGGTTCAGGGCGAAGATCCACCACTTTCACCAGTTTATTCGTTAGCTGTACAATCGCAGGCGTTGTGGATGCTCTCTGGACTGGAATCAGGATGCATCAACCTATACTCCGTACGACACGATGAAGGGAAGCGAATAAACTTCTTGCACAAGCATAAGTCTGCGGTCTCAGTTCTCACGTTGGCCCAGGACGAGAAGTCTGTTTTGTCTGGAAGTTGGGATAAGAATGTGTTTGATTGGGATCTCAATACTGGACAAATCAAGAGATCATTTGAAGGAAGTGGAAGTCAAATATCTGCGATTGAGATACGGCCAGCTTCGAGTTTACCAGTGCCAGAAGAATCGGGAGACCCAGTACCGATGAATGGGACATTTTCAAGTAATAACGATAGTAAACCCCTTCTGAACGGGCTATCGAATGGAAATCATACCAATGGAGAAGAAGGCAATGAAGATGCTCCAGGATCTCCCACGGACTCTTTATTTGGAGGAGGAAGTGACAACAATTCTTTGTTTGGAGAGACTGCTGGAGATGGTGCACCTTCTGGGGGTGTATTTGGCGACGATGATGATGAGTTCTCGAAAGCCATTGAGTCAAGTCTCGACAATCAAGACCATATTGATGCGCAGGGAGACCTCACTATGGGAGATGCCCCAGCAGACAACGAATCAGCTCCAGCTGTGCAACAACCAGAAAGCCAGATGAATGGCACAAAGGCTGAACCTTCTACACAATCCAATGGATCTACCCAAAAAGCTCCAGAAACGACAACTATTGTTGCTGAAACACAAGACGCTGTTGCAACCTCTGATTCTACCTTTCTAGCAGCTTCGATCGACGGTACTCTTCAGATCTGGGATAGACGGCAGCCGAATCCTGTTGCGAGAATACCTACAAGGACCGGTGTGCCTCCATGGTGCATGGCTGCATGTTGGTCTCCAGATGGCAACTTCATTTATGCTGGGCGAAGAAATGGAACGGTTGAAGAATTTAGTTTACATAAAGGTTTGAAGAACGCAGAGAGGACTTTCAAATTTCCTCAAGGTAGTGGTGCTGTTAGTGCTCTTCGGGCAATGCCCAATGGGCGGCATTTGATATGGTAAGTGGTCTTTCTTTCTCGAACTCAAAGCTAATGAATTGCAGTGCTTCACATGATATTCTTCGTCTCTATGATCTCAAGGCCCCTCAAACGAACAAGCATTCAACTGTACCATTCCTCATTGTTCCTGGTCCGCCGAGAGCAGGAGTCATCAGCGCTTTGCATGTTGATCCGACTTGCAAATACATGCTTTCTGCAGCTGGAAATCGAGGATGGGAGGGAAGCACGACCGAAGTACTTATTGGATACGAGATTGGAGTTTCGCCTTGAGAGATGATCACGAATCACAGCAAAAATGAAGGCTGGCATCAATATCCATCGCGCAACGACTCTCATACCTTTTACCCCGCTCGTCGGTGGTCTGTAGAACAAACTCTACAATGAAGGAACAATCAACGAGCCGAGCGATCCTGGGGCATCCGAATAGCACTCTTCTGGTGCAAATGCGTCTGAGCGACATGTCGGTACGTAGCGAGCTGGACGGCAGAGCTCTTGTGAATGTACAGCTGCAAAATCAGACCACACAGCCAATACAGAGGAGTTTGACTGCCACCCGGTGGAGCAGCGTGTACGCGTTGTAGGATAAAGTGGAAAATGGCGATGGGCATAGCATCCAGCTATATGATTTTGGAGTTGAAGGTGCAAGGTTCTGGATAGCCAATGTCACTTGTCTGACGAACGTACGGTCTATCATATCTATTTCCAATCTCAATGTAATGTGATCCCCGTGAAAAAAGCATGTTATCGTCTCCGTGCCATGGCTCTCTTTCCTTCCCCCGATCCTTGTCTCTCTTCACCCCCTTCCTCCCTTGATCCATCTCTCCACATCAATCCCCTATAACCCCAAAGTCCCATTACTACTGACACCCAACCCCAGTGCGCAACTATCATATCCATCCTGACCACTCGCATCACAGATCAAACAAGTATCCTCGACCTCCGCATTTCCGAATCGTGCTGAGCAGTAGTAGAGGACATTCCCTGAGCAGTCACCCGAGAGGGAGACGCCGGAGGAGGTACGTGAACCACAGGAGGAGCCTGTTATAGTGCCGCAGTAGCATCCTGGGAAGGTTAATTATCTGGTGCTGAACAGACAGAAAATAGAAAGGTATGGATGTGCTCTCAATGTTGACCTTGTGGAATGACGTACCAGTATTTTGACGTGCAGCGAGAGCTTCGGGTGGCGAGATGGGAGAAGCAAGAAGAGAGGCCAGAAAGGTAGCAAGGACGAGGAGAGGTAATTTGAACATGGTGACGGTTTCAGTGATTAGATAAAGTCTCAATTCGCGAGTTCATAGGAATACTAAGAGGAGGAATGTTCCAAAAAGGTGGCCATCTCGATCCATATATCCGCTCCACTCTAGCTCAACTATTATCTTGTATCAACTGTCCCCATCTCAAAAGCTCGGATGAGAGTCCGTTGTGGATACTAACTTGTGACGATGCATGATCTACAGAGCTAGACCCCGGATTTCCTTTGCAAGTCCCGAGGCGAACTACCTCGGAAGCTCCACTTTAAATTGGGGCACTCATGTGAGAAGAGATAATTTGGAAATCAAGTTGTTACTGGGGTGCTACGATATATGTGTGAATCCTACCAAGGTTTGTCGTTCAATACGTTCAAATTCTGTTCGTCACATTCATCACTTTGCAACAGAATTAGGAGTGTTGGAATTTTCAAGCACAAAAACAGCTTACCGAGAGGCTGGACGTGCAAATTTATTCTAGACTATAAATTATGTTCTGTGAAGAACTTCAAAGTGGAAGCGCTGCGGGTATTTTGAATAGTTCTTAACAATGTTTACATTTATGGAGGTAAGATCTTACTTTGTCGTTGATCGAAAGGGGAAGAATTAGCCGAATTAGCCGAGCCCCTGAAATCCATATTTGTATTATGTTGGCCACTTCACAGAGAGATTATGGAAAATAATCAGACAGAAAATTCTAAAGACCACAATATCCCCTTACAATTTTAAGAAAGGGTCCAAATGCATCTGCACTTGTATGTAAGCCGATGCCGGAATACACTAAGGATCACTGGCTGTAGAAGGACCAGTCTTTGAGATAGTAGTACTTTTACTTTTGACAAGACATGTCCTTCAAAGGATCAAGAGTGAAAAGAAGATATCTATGGCGTATTATCTTCCGGTTTAATGCATTTAACAAGTTTGAAAAACAAATCTTTGACACTGTTTGAGTATTTGGTTCCAGTCCATGTTGGTAGCATAGCTCACTGGAATTGCAAGATGATTGGCAAGAAAACTAGCAGCTTGGTGTTGACTTACAGGATAAATTTTTATTAAGAACTCATTTTCTAATGACTCTACACTATCTCTCTTTTACCAAAGCGACGAAGACTTACACCTCTACCGTCCTCCTCCTCATAGAGTACTTTCTCCAATCACTGCTTCAATACGTTACAAAACACTTTACTGTCAATGTTACCCGCAAGCTAGCACTCGAAATCCGTTTGCCTGAATTCAGAACTTTAGAAATCATACAGACTTTGAGGTTCGAGCCTAAGACACCTTTCTAAAAACAAACCACCTGTGGCGTCCTGCCACGATTATGAACAGCAGCCGAACTCATCTAAAGTCTACGTAGAAAGGAATCCATATGCAGCGCGATTGTACAAATATCAAAGGACAGCCAAAATCCAATCGGGAGAAAGGAACTTAAACCGTTCGGACTTTTGTTTTCCCATGAACCTCTAAGCACCCGCCAGATATTAAGTAATTCTTCTTATCCTCATCTTCCTCCAATGACTCCGATTCAATCCATTTGCTGGATGTTTGGGGGCGGGCTTTACCTGAAGATACCAAGAGTATGCCCCCAATCAGGATTAGACAATCTCTTGTGACATAGGAATTCATTATCCAGATTGCCGTCACGACTATAGTCAGGTGAGCTTCAAGCCCATTGTCAGCCACAGCAGCTTGTATATTAGCTTTCAGCACTTCAGGTCGACATCCGAATCACCAGCGGCTTCTTCTTGTCCGTCTCGAGAGACTTACTTGTGCTCTCGCATTGCTCCCAGAAGCGGGCGGACGTCGAAATATCTTTGAGCATGATAGGGAAAACGACGTTTTAACAAGGCCAAACAAAAGAGAGGCCTGCCATGTTGGCGCTTCATTCCGCGATTTTGTCCACTGTTCACATGAGTGCAATGTAGAAAGCGTGTAGACCCACCACCTTGTCTTAATCTCAGGTAAATCGCAAAGAGCCAAAGTGACTTTTCCTTCTCCAAGGTCTCATTCAATCAGACCTTGCTGCAAAGTCTACGACGCAGCCTCCAAGACCTCCTCTGAGACTTGCCTTGCAGCCTTACTTCATTGATAGTCCATTCGCGCCAAGGCTGCGGGCCCTTGAAGTCCAGGTCTGATGTTTGTTGCCGCGACTTTCACAACACTGGTGCTGGACTACAAGCAATACCTTCTCTTTCGAGGAGGCTACACCTCACATAAGCTGGGCAAGTGAGCAGTACGGCTCGATCGATGAAGCAAACCAGGGACGGGAAAGAACTGGTACTGCTGCACAGAATCCCGAACTTTTACACAATCCTAGTCGACAACGATACCGGAAGCAGCAGTAACTAGTCCTATGGAGACAAAAAGTGGCACTGTATTGTGAACAGCTGCTAGGTATACCAATTTCGCTCCATCTCTCCATCTCTCTATATCTCTCCTTGATCAGAAGAGATACAACTAATGGCTATCTCAACGACAGGATGACCACACAAACGAAGCTGATTACGAGGAGAATACTGGTTGGTGGAAGATCTGGTTATCAGGGCGCTGGATTCGTAGCCAATATCACCCTTAATTTTTCTTGACAAGTCTTTCCGCAAGTCTAAGATTAACAGGACATCTCCATCGGGTAAGTTCCCAACCTTGGCAGGGCTTTGGTGCTGACTTGGCTGCAGCCCAAGCAATGTCAAGATAGACTGCTTCAGATGCTTGGATTACAAATCATACAGAAATGGTGGAATAAGACCATGATCCACAGTGTAGCTTAGCTTGATGGCTCGTGTGAATCGGCGGAGGAGATACACAGTACAATACCCAGGCATACTCTTTTACGCAAGGACTTCTCTCCTCCACTGTGGTCCTTCTGGCGCAGCGTCGACAGTAGATGGAGGAAGAAAGTTGGAAGTGGGAGGAGGGGCTTTCTTATACCCGAGGGTGCCAGAGGATCACCATGGTAGAACTCCAATCGGTGGCTGACCTGAAGTGACGACGTTGTCAATGGGCCCGCGGGAGCTGTATTTGGCCTCGCTGACCATTAGGGGGCTACTGGGAGGAACATGGAGTGTTCTGTGACACCTTCCAACCTTTTGTGGTGATCTTTGGGCCTGGTGGATACACAGCAGCCACAAGCACCCTCGAATGGCTGGTAATCTGATCAGATACACTCAATCTTCAAGCCAGACGAAGATAGAAGATTCTCAGATGGCTATTTTGTAGAATTGTAGAATTGTAGAAGACAGACTGAATAGCAACTTCACAGTTTGCTTCCGTGACTCTCTAGGTCTGCTCGAATCCTCAATGAAGAAGCTGCATCATGTTCTGCTACTTGTTCATGGCGTGCAGAACAGCAAAAGATCCGAAATAAGATACCCGAAGATAGCAATTGTCCTGTATCAAACAGCCCATCTTTGTGAGTTAATTTGCTTGCCAAACTCCTCTCCACCATATCCAAACCCAATCCAAGACTCAAACATCCCCATAAAGTATCTCAATCACACCAAAGCCTTGCAGGGTTGGGTCGGCCAATCACGCGAAGGGGTGGTGTTTGCTGCCATTTCCAGCGCTAAGCCTGGCTGCCTTCCTCCCTCGGATTTTTTTCTTCCACCCACAACACAACTCCTACCTCGCAACCGCAACTTCTTTGTAGCAACATTCTTTGAATACAACAAACACAAATCGGATCCCTGCTTCTGTAATTCAATTCAAAGGTACGTTCTCACACTCAGAGCTTGCTTCCCAGAGCGATTCCTACGGCGCTCCGAGTTGAGCAATCTTGAACGCAAAGGCAACCTCCACCTCCACCTTCGTGCAACAGACTCCTTCACACAGCTCAAGGCTTTCCCCTCACACACTGACACGTACTGACACGTTCTCTTGAAATAGATCTGCTCGTCTGAGCTTCGCGAGCACGTTGACTGTCTACATCATCCTGTACTCTTCCCATCCTTGCCCTCACACAATTGGGTCAATAACAATCGCGGCGACGCACGAGAGTGATCAGGTAAGATTCGATCCACTCCCTCAACATCAATGAGCATGGATTGCGTTCCATCAATCTTGTTTCAACTCCTTGGCACCCATTTCCCATCACCAGCCTCATCGAATTCAACATCAGCGCCTCCACAACCACAAAGGCGTTTGGGATCATTGTCACTGACACTCCACAGGCTCTTGATCTCCCAAGCCGATCTTCGCACTGGTTGTCGTGCGAGATTTGTTCGTTGTTGAGTTGATACAAAGTAAGTCAATTCCAATGTCTTCGATCTTCGAGGCAGCTTCCTCGGCGTGTTCCTTCACTCGCTCCTTCTCGTCAAGCATCATCAACACCCTACTTTCGTTGGTACCATCTTTGGAGGTCACCAGCTAACATTGAAGCTAGATCGTCGCAATGACTTCGAAGGTTTCAGGTGTTAGCGTGGAAGAAACCACTGCGGCCAGAGTCATCCTTGAGAGACATGTTCGCGGAGCCTGGCGCACCGACGAGGTCGCTGAGCACGACGGATGGCTTATCCTCCCAGAGATTCCCTCTAGCAAGGAGATCAACCCCCCAGGAGATGACAAGCCCGAGCCGGAAGAGCAATGGAATGACTATCAGTTCGATCCCGTCTATGACCCGCAACTTCCTACCAACATCGTTGACGGTCCTTGGGACTCCAGAAGCGAATATCTCAAGGCACATTTTGAAATTCTCCGAGAAGACGCCATTGCCCCGTTGAGGAACGCAGTTAAGGCTTTCAAGGAGAATCCAGAAATGTTTGATGATGCTAGTATCAGAGTTTATACCCACGTAATTATCTGTCCCCAGTTCTATAAAGTGTCTTGCTAATCAGTACCAGGTATATCCCACTGGTATTTTGCTGACTCGTAATGGACCAGCCACCCGAGTGGAATTCTCTACCGAGCGCGCTGCAAAGCAAATCCGCTGGGAGCAGTCTACGCGATTGATGCAAGGCAGCATGGTTGCATTGTCTCCAAGCAGCGATAATTTTAAGACAATCTGTAAGGTTGCCATCGTCGCAGCTCGACCCATCTTTGGCGGCTTGGATCAAAATCCTCCGACTATTGATCTTTTCTGGGGAGAGTTCAACGAAGCACACATTGACTGCTGTGAAGGTATTCGAAATGGTCCCCAAAGTGAGCAATTGCTAATTATTTGTAGAATGGACGATGGTTGAAGCTTGCGAAGGTTTCTTCGAAGCATCTCGCCACATGTTGGCCGGACTTCAACTTGGAAAGACGGAAGGGTATGCCTCCACCCAAATACCACTCAGAGACTCTGCTGACTGATACAGGATCCCATTATCAACCACCGTTGTCAAGCTTACATCCAAGAGCCAGGCTCCCGCTTATGTCAAGGAAAACCCTTTCTTCGATCTCACACGGCTTGAACCACCTAGGAAGGAAGGCTTTGAGAATACTCTGGTAGACACCGACGATACCTTTGACCTTAGCAATGTCGATGTTCTCCAGAACTTCCCAAGCTATGTCAACAATGGGATGGATACCTCGCAGCTTCTAGCTTGTAAGGCTCTGTTGACGCAACCCGTTTCGATTATCCAAGGTCCTCCAGGTACTGGAAAGACTTTTGTGTCAATCGCTGCTCTCAAGGTCCTCGTTGCGAATCTAAAGCCAAGCGACCCTCCAATCATCGTCTCGGCCCAGACGAATCATGCACTCGACCAATTACTCAACCATATCATGAAATTCGAGCCGAATCTTGTGCGACTTGGTGGCCGTTCTGCCAAGGATAATACAGAAATTAGGAAGAGAACCTTGTACGAGCTAAGAGAGGCAAACCGCGATGTTCAAGACGCTCGTCAAGGGCTCCGTATCGCACATACAACCTATGTGAACCTCTGCAACGAGATCGAGGCAATCGTTCATCCGTTGAAGAATGGCGAGATCATGACTGCCCAGATCTTAGTTGAACATGGTATCTTGAGCGAGGCCCAACGCTCCTCCCTGAACAGCACAGGATGGGGAGACGATGAGGATGAGGAAGGCAGATATGGTGGTGTCGCAGAGCATATTGATGTCGATCTTCGCGAGTGTAAGTCAATGGTTGCATGATGGTGTCGAGATTGCTAACATGTCTCTAGGGCTGGGCGACGACCAAATTATCCCCGTGCCCAGAGCTCCTAATAAGCATCTCGGTGTTCTTGAAGAAGAAGTAGATCTTGAAGTCGAGCAATACCAAAATCTGCAGGAAAACATTGCTGCATTGCAAGATGATGCCGACGAGGGTCTACAAGGTGTTTGGATCCCGTTTGGGAGAAAGGAGACGGGATTGGCTGCAACAGGAATTTCAGCATCTAGAATCTCCGCAGACGTGCGAGCACTCAAGGATCTCAACCTTGTTCAACCCAACGAACGTGGTAGATGGTATCGTGGTTTCGAACTCTTATTGATTCGATCAATCCAAAGCAAGCTGCGAAAGTCTTTGGTAAAGTACAAGTTGGCAGTTCAAGAATATCAAGTGGCCAAGGTAAGTTTTCCCAGACCCAACCTAATTGCCGAAGGTTAACAAGAGCCAGTCTATTTGCAACCTAAAAATCATTCGATATCTTGGCATTAAAGTCATCGGATGTACGACCACAGGTCTCGCAAAGTATCGAGCCCTGCTTTCCGCACTTCGATCCCGTACACTGCTCATTGAGGAGGCTGCGGAGACGTTAGAGGCTGCGATTGCGGCCGGTCTGATCAAGGGACTACAACAGCTGGCCCTTGTCGGAGATCATAAGCAACTGCAGGCCACCTGCAACGTCAAGGCACTTGAAGAAGAGCCATATAATATGAAGATCAGTCTCTTCGAGAGACTGATCAACAATTCGATCCCCTACGTAATGCTGAACAAGCAGCGTCGAATGGTCCCCGAAATTAGAAAGCTCTTAACTCTCGAGCCGGAGCCTTTTTATCGAGGTTTGACCGATCACCCATCTGTGCTCGACAGAGTCGTCGATCGTCCGCATGTGCCAGGAATGGAGAAGGATCTGTATTTCATCCAACACGAGTTTCCGGAGACCGTGAATCAAGATGGCAGTCGACTTAATTACGACGAATCCGAGATGATTGTCGGATTCATCAATTACCTTGTCCTTAATGGCACAGACCCAGATAAGATTACAGTCCTGACGGTAAGAATGTCCCTATCTGAGGCACATTGGTACAAACTAACAGTCTGGAGTTCTACAACGGCCAACGAAAGCAAATATTGAAGGATATTCGCAGACACGACACATTGAGATCTGCCAAAGTCATCAAGGTCTTCACCGTAGACTCTTATCAGGGAGAGGAGAATGATATCATCCTCCTGTCTCTTGTTCGCAGCAACAGACACTTCCGTGTAGGCTTCCTGGACAATCAAAATCGAGTTGTGGTTGCCCTTTCGAGAGCTCGCCGTGGTCTCTACATGTTCGGAAATGCGATCACATTGACAACTTCAGAGACGACCGAGGACCATATCGGCCGAGACTCCTTGTGGGCTCCGATTATCAAGTCTCTGGAGGACGAAGGCTTCCTCGACATGAATAAGGGTTTACCCCTTGTTTGTCAAAACCACAAGGCCAAGACAAATATCTTCGAACCTTGCGAATGGCATGGGCTTGCTGGTGGATGTAAAAAGAAGTGCGGAGGCCAGCTGCTGTGTGGACATGTTTGCACTTATACTTGTCACCCTTTTGACCACGCCCAAGTAATTTGCAAGCATGCTTGCGAACGAAAGTTGCAGTGCGGCCACAATTGCTCAACAGAGTGTGGAGAGGAGTGCAAGTGCGAGGCATGTGCTCTTGAGGTTGGCGAACTACTCCCAGGTATTCGGGATATTGGTCTTGGCATGGACGTTGACGTTGTCTTGGGTGTCCCAGAGTCAACCTCTTCAGTTCCTCCCAGTATTCCAGAGGCAAATCCACCAGACCAACCAAGCCCGGAACCTCTGACCGCTGCTGTTCCTGAAACTCCGGCCACTGTCATCCGTCCTGGAGCTTCTAACACTCGTGGTCGGGGCTTTGCTCGTGGAATGGCTCAGTCGACTCGCATGCCTTCTTCCATCCATTCCAATACTCCGGATGTAGGTGCACCAAGAGTATCTCAGCCATCGAGGGGTTTTCCTCAATCCAGAGGTTCTCGCGGTCGAGGCCGTGGACGTGGTCTTGTACGGGGAGATCAGTCATCTCGCGGTGGCTCTCAATCCCATTCCAGAATTCCAGCTGCAAGCGGACCAAACGCGAGAGCTGGCGGTCGTGGCCTTACCAGTCGACAGGAGCGATCAGCTCATATTGCCAGACTTGTTCTCGACGATGGATACTCTATGACCTCATTTGGGCCTTCGCCACCGAGTGCTCCTCCGAATCCAAGTGCCGCTTCGTCTGGACCTTCTCTGAGCGCATCTCTAAACCCGAACGCAAATTCCTTTCAACCCTCTCCGAAGAAGGCAGCTCTCAACCCCGATGCAGCCGCTTTCCACCCGCCTGCAAATCGTGGCAACTCCAACAGAGCCAGAGGTTATATCCAACGATACCAGCCCGGTGTTGCTCGTCAATTTCGCCCAATCACCAACACTCGAAATGCACCCACGGCCCCCACTGTACCGAGAGGAGCTTCTGGCAGAGTCACGGGTGGACCTGGCGACGCTTGGCAGAGCTTCAATGCTCGGGAATCCGATGCCCAATTGGCGAATGCAGCTCGAGCAACTAACACTGAAGTGCCAAACGTTGAAACAACTATCAAGGACACTTTCGTACCAGTTGGATTCAACGATGATGGTACTCGGAAGAAGGAGGGGAAGAAAGAGCGAGTTATTTCGTCGTTCGATGGCGCTGATGAGCGAGATGATGAGCAAACTTGTAGCTCCGCCGGAAACCCAGGAGTGGAGCGACCTGTCCCGTCTCCTGCTCAAGTTGCATCCCCAGGTACGTTGAAATCTACTAATCCACAATATCGCCACCATCAAGGAAGCGAATTCTTTGCTGGTGGTTCGAGATATGAAAAGAAGAAGACTAATAGTGCATTAGCTCCAGTTCGTCCATTGCCAGAGGTGACTTCCAGCCTCGACGACCTGGCTAGAGTCTTCGAGCAACAGGCTAGAGTTGAGCCAGCTCACGAGTCCAACAGTCCTCCCACCAATGCCGAGTCCACCAATGCTGAGGCCACCAATTCCAAGTCCACTACGCCCACACCATTGGATTACTTGGAACTGGTAAGCGACGACGAATATGTCCCCCCGCACCGGATCCGCACAGCCAACGCTTCTACTGGCAGTGTTGGTCATCATGCTAGCACCGATCCCTGTTTTAATTTTGACAGAGATCGCATCATTCACCAAGCACGCCATGCCACCCCAGCCCTGGTTCCTGCCACAGGCCCGAGAGCTGGACCAGCTCGCGGTCAGGGTCATCGACGAAGCAACACAGTAACACTCATCCCCAAGACTGGTGACCCGATTTTCGTTCGTCCTGCGGGAGCATCTACTCCAATTGTACCAACTTCACCAGGTGTCCCTACACTGTCACCTCCAAACACGACTCCGGTATTGGGAGCAATCGGCGAGGATGACGAGGGCGAGAATAAGGACGAGTCTTAGAAGAGCACCGAGAAGATACCGATCGCAAATTCAGATACAGCCGAAAAGTATGAAGCAACCAGGAAAGCTGGGTACCAATCGTACATATCGACTGAAAGCAAAACAGCCAAAGATCTGCTACATCGAATTAGCTTTTGGTCCTCAATCATCTTTCAGGTTTTGGCGCTGCCTTGCCACGCTTGGAAACCTGTGTTGATCTACCTTTGTTTCTGTTGGACTAGCATAATTTTCCTTTGATCGTAATCTGTTCCGTCACCACTGACCAGATATTGGAGGCTGCCTGCAGCTTGCTTTGCCTTTTGTATCTACTGCTTGCTGTTCCTTGCTGCTTTGCCACTTCATTGGGGTTTGTGCTTGGAGGATGCTTGCTTCTGGTCTGTAATCAGGATGGTTGGCGTTGGAACCCATAATGTTTTCCTTGCTGTAGAATAGCTTCTTTCCAAATGTATGAGTGTCTGCCAGGTGGTGTCTGCAGGTGATATGCTGAGATCGAATTCAGGTGAGTTGTCTTAGTTGTCTTCGCGATTGACTCTGTTCATCTGTCCTGTTGGGGATTAGCAATCATCTTGCAGGCTACAGATCGGTCTTTCTTACTGTGATTACGATCGATGGTGATTTCCTTGGAGCTTCAACACGCGTTGGACGCGACTTGTCCATGGCAAAGGACATCTTGAGAAGCTGATTGTCGACGAATGGAGAAGAGAGAGACAAAAGGTAAGGTCATTGGACTCAAAGCCAAGAGCGGGAGAGTGTGCGGTGCTTGGGTTGAGGTTGTTGAGCTTTTAGGTTGGGTTATGGAGGGGTTGTAGATCGCGCTTGGACAAACAGCGGTCGTCTCGACCACTTCGAAGACCGGGCCGACCATTTCCCCGGATCTAGTGTCCTTCAGCACCAGAGGCAACTTCTGGTCTACACAATAGGCTATTATGTGTCACATTGGGCAAAAAGGACTACCAAGCACTCAAAATTCCGAGGACTCGGGCCTCTATGAAGAATCGGATTTTCGAAGTCATCACTCTCTTCGCCAGAGATTAAGTTCTAAATGGGGATCAAATTCATGATAGCACCAGCTCTGTGCTTTCAAAGACTACCATGGTCTTGACTTTCCAATACCTCTCTCGAAGTTTACTCTAGGTAAGCCCAATCAGCATCACAGATCCTCCTCCACATCCTACAACAACACTTTACTCCCGATCAGAAATGCATTTCACTGATCCATCTTAACAGGAATCACCTACATTAAGTTGAAGTTCTCTGACTCGCTCGAAAAGAAAAGTCCTCCTCGCTGGCCAATACCCCAGCCATAAGAACCCACACCCTCAGCAAACCTACCAAGAATCGCCTCTCCCTCCTCACTCAAGCAACCTCATCTGCCCTCCTTCACACCTCTCCGCCCCATCTACCACAAAACACCCCCAATACGCCACCCTTACCATAACCCGTCCCATCATCCCACGAAAATCCCTATCCTCCCAATCCCCAACATACAACTCCAACTCCTTCAACTCAGCTCCTCGCTTCCTAGCCCTCATTTTCTTAAACATCGCAAGTGCCGTGTCTTCGTTAAACAGTGGATCTGCTTCATCATCCGTCCCGTTCGATGTGTAGTAGTTGCGCCTCATTTCATGATATTGCATGGAAAGTTGACTCCCGGAATCATCCCATCGCATGGTTTGGTAGTCCAGATCCGGGGACGGGAAACGGAGGGTGGTTTTCTTCAAGGAAGGAGAGTTTATCAGATTGCTGAAAAGTCCTGTGTCCGTTGAGGTATTCACATCTCGAGGAAGTTCGATGTCCAGACTCTCGAGGCTGGGTGTTGAATGGAGGAATTTTGAGATTAGGTCTTGGCTGAGAAATGATTTGTCTTCAAGTTCTGGGCCATGACGGTAAGAAAATTGGCGCAGCTCTTGCGTCAGATTCGGCGCCGCGATGAAAGTTTCGAGAATAGGATCACCAAGTTCAGTTTGCGAGGACTTGATGATCACTCCACGAAGAGGCTGTGCGGTGTTCGTCAAGAACGGGATGATATCCTGTGCTTTTGCATCCCCAAAATAGTCGCTGATTGCTAGTGACAAGTTCGTCAGCGCAGGAAGAGTTTGACCTTGGAGGTGATTCAGAGTAGCCTTCGATGGCCAGGCCAAATGCAACGTATGCAGATGACTCCAATCCATGACCTCCAACCAAGCTTCCAGATTCGTTCGTCTATTGTTCGACTCTGTCGCCTCATTTTCTCCAACCTCGCCGAACCACTTCTTCCGAGACCATTCAAACCACTTCTCACGAAACCAATCCGACCAACTCGGCGCCTTCCAAGGCGCCCTCCCCCTCTGTTTCCATTCCCACCCTCCATCCTCACTCTCATCAAGCTTATACCCATCCAACCTCAGAACCTCCAACGGCTGAAACCGCACATCAGGATACCCAGCAAAAGGGAAAGCTTGCGGCGTATCCCGACCAACAACACACCCCTCATGATGAAGATACAAATCCAACTCCCTCAACCCCGTCGCATTCGCCAGAGCAGCGAACACGAAATCCACCGCTTCGTAATTCGCTTCATCTGCCCATTCGATATCTGCTTTCAAGCTGTAAAGCAAGGAGGAATTAGTCAAGCTCCAGGCTGGACCTCCGCCCCAGCTTTGTAAATCGTAGAAAATTCTGGGGTTTGGAGAAATTTGCTCGAAGGATCTCAATATGGCGTCAGAAATCGGTTGATGCATCTCCCACCTCACAACCTCCAGCCCGCCTAGCCGCTCAAACACATGCTCGACCAACGGCAATAATCCCTGCCAGTTCAAACCCCTGAGAGTCACTTCCTTGACATGATTCCTATTGAACATGCCTCCCTTTGCTGGGATTGCTCGATCGCTGATCAAGAAGTTGAGCCAGAGGTTACTTGCATTTGCTGATCGTTCGTCCCAGAAATTGAACGTCATGGTCTGGATAGGAGATGGACCGTCGCCGATATAGGGGAGTGGGCCTTCGAAACCGCAGTCTTCCCAGATGTTGTCGATGATGGGGTTGAGGGGGTAGTCCGAGGGGAGGCAGCGGATGATGGTCGCTAGGCATGGGTGGAGGAGGGTGAAGGCGCAGAGGAGGGCTGGGAGTTGGAGGAACATGATCGGCTCATCAATAGCAACTAGTAAACGGTATCGTAATTGAAGATCGTCTTGTAATTTTGTATTGTCTGGTGTTGATAAAGTCGAGATGTGGCAACAAGTGCACCGTCAGCATGGAGGAAGGGGACAGATATGAACATGTGACTTAACACTAAAAGAAACCAGGCAGCCCTTTGCATGATCTCCCAACACATTTGATGTCTATTTCAGACCGGGCAATTGGTTACCTCAAAGAGGTTACCAGCACGTTCCTAAGAACGTTCGGGGCAGAAGGTCCAGCTTGATCCTGGACATCTCATTTCTCTATGGAACCCATTGGTCTCCAATGTCGGCCCACTTGATAGCCACCTAGATACAACGCACAATAAACATTACCGCCACCTTCGCCTGGTATCATAAATCCATAGTACATACAAAACCACCTCCCTCCCCATCTCATCAGCTCTCAATCCCCCCAAAATCCTCCCCCTCCCACACCGCCTCAATAATACTCATCCTACACCCCTCCGGTCTCTTCGCACCAAGGAACCTAAACCCACCACTCAACCCCTCACTCGCAGCCTTGAACAGATCCTCAAACTCCCCTTCTGATCTCTCCCTCGCATTCAACAACGTCAACATCACCAAGTCCATACTACGAATGATCTTCTCGTCCCAGAGACTCTCGGTGCCTGGTTCCGGGAGACAATGATCGTTGATCACAACCCTAGCGCCCTTCTTCAGCGCTGGGATGAGTTGCCGGAGCATATTGATCGAGTATCGATCTGACTGGTTGTGTAGGATCCACCGGTAAAGATAGACATCTGCTCCCTTGACAGGTTGTTGAGTATGGAAATCATGAACCTGGAACTTAATCCTCTCTCCCAGATCCCCCTCGAGCTTCGGAGCTGACTGGACCGTCTTCGGTAGATCTTGAACGATGAATTTCATCTTCTTGTACTTCTCAGCGAGGTCGATACAGACGAATCCGTGAGAACCACCGATGTCAACTACGGTTCCGGAAGAGGCGTTGATGCGAGACCAGTCGTAGTTGTTGACGAGATAAGAGACCTCGTACCCTTCTCCACCTGTTAAAGAAGTCATGGCTCCGCCCATACGCTTCGCGCGCTTTGGTGACTTGCCGAAAGTAACAAACATGGGCTCGACGTCGATGGTGTTGTTGGCAACGCAGAAACCTGCTTGGCTAGGTTCGCTAGCTGATGGGTTGAGGTTGATGGCGTCGACGACTCGGGAGGCGGCCTTAGAGGTCAGTATGGTCATCATGAGAAGAAGGGAGCACTTACAGGCCAAATATCCTCCACGCAGAAACCGACCCAGTCGTTGATCATCTGGTCTTCGGCTAGGACTCTACTTGCGGCTGTATGAGCCACAACACCAGGTTCGACTTCTTTGAAGATCCGATTCGTCATTGCGTGTCTGAGGAATCTTCGGACATTGATTTCATCCAAATCGACTTTCTCAGCGATCTGAGCAAAGGTTGCAGTTTCATGGATAGGAAACGATTGTGCTTCAAAGATCAGCTTCGTCCTTGAATTCAAGATGAAAGCTTACCAATCTTGTAATGATAGATAGCATGAAGCGAAAGCGAGTTGTTATGCTACACTCACTCATCAGCATCTCATCCAAATCGTCTCAAGATAAAAAGACCCCTCACATCCCAAGCCATCCACCTAATATTCTCCGTGGGTCCCGCAACCAGATCCCCCAACTCCCTCGTCGCCCTCACAACCTCATCCCTCGCGCTCTTCATCTCGTCACTCATCTTCGGGAAGTTGGTCGGCCCATCGACATCGAACGACGGCTGCGCACTCCCACTCTGTTTCAGGAACCTATCCAACTTCTCCGTCTCCCTCGTGATGATACCCGCCAGCTCGATCAGTTGCGAAGTCGACATCTTGGCGTCCGGTTGCGGTTTTGTAGCAACAGCAGCAGAAGCAGCAGCGAAATTCCTCGTCGACGATCTGATTTCTAAACTGGGAGGAAACCTCGCGAAGGGGATGGGGACGGGGACGATTCGAGTGAATCTCCTCCCCGCGGCGGCGCCGCCGCTCAACTTCATGGTCCTCATGCTATAAAAATATATATATTTTCGTCGTCCGGCTCATTTCCCAAAACAAACACAAATACAAACACACAAACAGAACAACAAAGATGCGTCGTCTGTGAGAACCCGAGCCCACGTCCCCGGGACAGCAGACAGACCACGTTTCCCTCCCTGGCTGATGTAACGAGCGAGCGCGTCGTGGACGGACCCTGGTAGGGGGGAAGGGGGTAGGGATCACCGTTGCAATATCAGATACCCACCTCCAGTACTTTCAAACCTCACTCGAATCCCGCTCTTACGCTCGCACGAAATCAGGGACTCGAGAAAGGATGCAGATACAGTAGAAAGGACTCCAGCAAGGGAAGGAAGGGAAAATATGCAAGTTTCCGTGCTTCCTGGCACAGACATGATGGTGCCGAGCAGTCAGTCAGTGCTTAACGTAACTCCACCTTCCATCCGTCCCATCGAACGATGCCTGCTGTTTCCCAAGAAGGATCCACGTCCGAGAACTGTACCTAGGTTATCGATGGACACCGGGGGATAGTATTGCGTTCCCCCATACCCTACCCCTACTGCAACGCAAGATATGAAGTTACCAGATTCGCGCGCTCGCGTATATCCTTAGTGGCCTCGTATCTTCAAATTTCCATATGCAGGTCTCCGGCTGGCTGGCGGGCACGTTCTGAGAAAGCCGTGCTTGCAGGGCATGGATGGATGGATGGATGCCGTGATGTGATGGTGTGGTCAGCACCCAATCTTGGACCCTGGAAATCATCCCACGTCTTGTCTGTGTTATCTCCCGCGCAAGAAGAAGAGCGTCTTTCCTTCCTGTCCTTCTTTCCGTCTCTCTGCTTCTCCGTTTCTGACCCGACTCATGAGCTGAGAATGCGTAGGTAGAGTACAGTATTACACCAGAACCTCATGTTGGACGCACAACAAACGATAAATGCGTAGCACTACTACTACTACTACTACTACTACTACTACTACTACTACTACTACCTAGCCTGCACGACAATCACGCGTTTGTAGCACCAACCCACCACGCACACTAAAAAACTCAATTGCCTCCGAACCCTTCCCAGCACCAGACAACAAACAATTGGTCCCCTCTCCAACGCTCCAACGCTCCAACACCTTATCTCCCTTCCCTTCCCTTCCCTTCCCTTCCCTTCCCCCTTCAAGCCCAACCCGCATCCATCGGCCGCACCCCTTCCCTTCTTCCCCTGGAAATTCTAACCGAGCGCGAGCGTCCCGGGAAATACCTTAGCTAACAATGCAACGCAGTGGAGTGTAACCGAAGTGAGACCTAGAGCTGCAAGGTGATACAGCACAGTAGTGATTCGGGAGTGATGTAATTTGCGTGACTACTACTGTTGGCGGGGTGGATTTTCGCCGTAGGGGTCGGAGGGTTAGTACATTAGGGCTTTGACCTCGCTGTGTGTGTTGTGTCTTTGGAAAGATGAGAAAGGAGGGGGTTGAATGCGAGGTGATTGTGGCGTGCTGGGAAAAAGGAATTTGGTGTCGGAAGGAGGCGAGCCGGCCGTTTTTTCGGGGTGAGGAGAGGAGAGGAGAGGACCCTTTGTGCATGGGGAGACGGGAGGAAGACGGGCTGAGAAGTATATTTCAGAAAATCAAAGATTCTGAAGAAGGGAGAGCTTGATGAGCTTGCTGAGAAGATTCAGCGGAATATTATAAAATAAATATATATCTTTTCGATAACATTCAAATCATGCATGGCCCCATGCTAGATGCAAGAGTAATCCACCAAAACATCGTGAACATCCCGTCCCCTCAATACGCCATGCTTGCTTGCTTGCCATCCAACTCCAGACTCGTGTCTTCCGCTCTAAATCCAACATTCTATATCCAACTTCTCTACCCCCGCCTCCGGATACCTTTTTCCAGACTCGTTTCTCCCTCTAATCCAACATAAAAGGGACCGCCCTATCCCGTCTCCGGATAGCTCACACCCTCCTCCGGTTTCTGCCCACAAATAATATGACAAGGCATATGCGAATGCACCCACCCCTCCATATACGCCTTCCTCACCTCCACCAGCCAAACCTCCACCTGCTCCTTCGTCCACTTCAGTCCCCTCGTCATCGGCCCCAACGCAATGGGCTGCAACCCATCAATCAGAATAGTCCTCCAATACAACCCCACCAACTTCAGCACTTTGTTCTTAGGCCACAACCCGATCGGGACGTGGAAGACGCGCGTGGAAACGTTGACGAATCCGGCTTGGCGCATCATGTCTTCCAGGAGGAGGGTTGCGTTGAAATCCACGCCGAGGACGGCCAGGGCTTCGATGATGAGGCCCCAGTATTGGGCGACGGGGTGGTCGGGGGGCATGCTGCCGTCGTGGCATTGGGGGTAGTGGTGGATTTCTTGGAGTTCGAACCAACCGCCTGGTTTGAGATGACTTCTTCTTGTCAGTTTACATCTTTATTCAAGGAGAAAAGGGAACATACTCCAGAACTCGCGCCATTAACAGCGGCCAATTCCTGATAGCCATAACTGTATGTCGAGCATGTACATAATCGTAGTAATTTAACGGCTTCAACCACGGACTCTCCACATCATCCACCATGAACTTGACATTTGGCGGAACCCATTCCGGTTGGATAGGACTTAGATCCACACCCAGTATATTCGCTCCTGGATATAAATCTCCCACTATAATCAATCAGCCAGCACCCTCCCAGAAGAGAGGAGGAAACAAACTCTCAATAGCCCAAATCCCCGTCCCAGTCCCCATATCCAGCACATTCTGCGGATTCTTCCCAAGAGGCGCAAAATGCAGTTTCCCACCCAGCAGATTAACCATCATCGCATGCTTCATGTCCTCTCGATCCTGCTCACTGTCATCGTTGGGGAAATTGTAGCTCCCCTCCCGGAACCGGTGATATCTTCTCCCATTCTCAAAGGCGTAGTTGCGGACACTGCTGGCGAGCGAGGTCGACGCTGAGCCTAGGGAGTCGGTTTCGTAGCCGTCGTCGGATTCGGGGTAGTCGCGTATCGAGGACCCGTCGGCGCCGCCGTCGATTTCGATGCCTTGTTGCGCTTGTGTGACCGCGGTGGCAGTTTCGAGGTCTTGGGCTGCTTGCTCGGCGGGCGTGAGGGAGGTGTAGGGTATTCCTGCGTGTGGGGGAGAGTTGGATTTGGGGGAGGAGGATTTTTGGGTCGAGAGTCGTTTCGAGGATGTCGAGGTTGAGGGACCGGGTTGTGGATGTGATTGTGATTGTGATTCTGCCTGCTTTCGCTCTTGTTCGGGTGGGATCGTGGTCACCGAAATGGCAGAATCGTGAGGTGACGGAGCAGCTGGGTTCATGATGTTGGCGACGTCAACAAACCATGGATCTATATCTGTACGAGAACTCGAGGATGAGGAAGGAGTCCGGCGAAGACTTGAGTACATAATGAAGTGACCGGAGACCCAGGTACCCGATGAGTGAGTTTGTTGTGCGGGTCTCTCAGCATCCCCTGTGCGATTGACAGAGTTGCCGAACTGATGTGCGAGTAGCCGACGACAGGTTCAGATGTTGGGTTGCATCGCGCACGGAAGCCAGATCAGATCTTGGACATTGAGTGCTGACGGAGACCTGGTCGGGACGCACAAGGGAAGGGAAGGGAAGGGAAGGGAAGGGAAGGGAAGGGAAGGGGATCCAGGGTTGAAACAATAAAGGATCTCGAGGAGAAGAGAGGAGCCAGGTGAAGGAGATTCACACATGAAAAAGAGAAGATTCTTTACTTCCTCCTCGCAACGACTAAACTCTTAATTCGCGAGCAGTCGGTCATCTGGCGACATTCATCACTACTACAGTACACTGCACTGGTGGGGCCACAGCGGATGGGACTTTCCGTTGGCGAGCCCTGAAGCCAAGCCTGCAGTTCCGAATGGCTGCTCTGATCTTAGGGAGGTTTAGCATATCATTGGGCTGTGGTTGTGCAGTAGCGCTAGGAGGGAATTGTACTGTAGACACGGCACGGCTCCTCACCGTTTCAAGGCAGTTGACCGTTGTCTCCTGCCGACACGCGAGTCTAGACCACCAGAGGCTTCTTGTTCATAGAATCATGATTATAGCTGCAGCATGTTCGAACTTTACTTCACTGCCGTCATGTCATAAACTTTTGCTAACTTCTCTCTCTCTCTCGGAGCTGGTTCCACAAACCTATTTCAGGATATTATCTATCTATGCAGCAGGGGTGTCCAGTCAGGGTTGGACAGCAAATGAATCCTGAATCCTCGATACCGAATCATGTTGCATCTTGGTTCCCTTCAGCTTGGCCGGAAAAGCAATTTATTGGCCGTGGCCGCACTCAGATCCCCCACGTTGTGTCGCTACAAGGCTCGGGTGGGGATTTCCCGCGGGCCACAGGGCAGATCTCGATGAAGTGGTCGGTGCAGAGCGGGCAGCGACATAAAGCTGTGGTGAATTTCTTCACCTTTTCGTTTCGTGATTACTTGCAGTACTTCCTCTGGTGGTAATTGTGTCAAAAGATTTATCAGTATTTGAGAGCTCAAGTGGTTCTTGTCTACAATTCCCTGCCGAACATGGGTATTTCCCGTCCAGCTTGTCTTTCGCTTTTTCTGCATTTCAAGTCTTTGGGACGAGTTCGAACAATGGATTCAGTTGGGGCGAGCAAAGTACTCGTGAAAACAAACAGAGAGGGCATTCACAAGTCGTGAGCCGGCCAAAATGACCTGTCATTCAACCAACTCGCCGTACCCCGCTACATATTCATTTTTCTTACTCTTTATTTCTACCTCAGCGGCTTGATTTTACCTTAAATCAATTGCTATTCCTCTATTCTTCTCAACTTTCGAGTTCTTAATTTTGAGATCTAGCTTTCGAGTTGGCGGGGTAATGAAAGAATTTGATTGTTTCTCTCATCAATAATTTAATCAAAGCATCACGCTTCAATTACCAACATGGTTCCAAGTATCCACCCCACTCCAACCTCCCCACTCCATACTAACCAACACCAGATCCCCGCCCCCTCAGCCTCACATTCTCAATCAACTCCAACTCCTCCACCTACGAGTCCAACGACCCCCTCCCCGTAATCTTCTTCCACGGCCCCAAACCCGCCTGGAAAGAAACCCCTCCCACCAACACCACACCCCAAACCACTTTCTCCCCCCTCGAAATCAGCGTCTCAAATCCAACCCTCCTCCGCACCTGGCTCGGCGTCCTCCCCGCTCCCGAATCACAAACCTACACATCCACATCGACGCCTCCGTCACCCTCAAAGACGTCCCGTCCTGGACGCAGCTTTTCGCCGTGCTAGCGCGCGAGGCGACCAATTTGATGCATTTGTCTGTGTATTGGGATGAGAAGGGCGGGGTGGGGAAGAATGTCGAGTTTATTAGGAGTTTGAGCTGGTTGAGGGTTAAGGGGACGATTGCGATTTCGGGGTACTATGCTTCGAGGTGGCCGGGGTATATGCAGAGGACTATGGGGGTGAGGCCTGTGCAGGGGGGTTTGGGTTTGGGTTGGGGGATCGAGTCGGTGGGGAGGTTGAGGAGGTTTCAAGTTGGGACGGAGGGGATTATTCCTTAAGATAGGGGGGCGGAAGGATGGGAGAAAATGAGTTTATTGTATTTTTATCGTAAGAATCTATATTCCCCAACAGCAAATGTGCTCATGCAAAATCTGGATCCCGCGGCCACCTAAGTCCATAAACAAAGTCATCAGAATCCGCCCTACCCGGACGCAAAAACTCATGCAAAGTCTCCCCGCAAACTTGACAATGCTCAACATCACGAACCTCAACACCCTCCGCAGAGTCTCGAACCGCCAGCCATTGTCCCTTGGGAGCCGTCCAAACCATCGACACCGGGTAACGGAGCCCGTTCATGTGTTCACGCTCGGCAGCATCCGTGTCACTCAGACACCACTCGCACCCGGGTCCTTCAATACCCGCACTCCTGCCCACCAACTCGCTGACCTGCTCTTGCAGCACCGTCGTCCATCTCGAGACCCTCGTATATTCCGGCATCCTGAGCTCGAACCTGCGAAGTTTTCCCGAGTAAAGAAGGGTGCGCAGTCCGTTCAGGACAGGCATCCAGTCGAAACGAATGAACAAACCACAGAAGAAGCTGAAGGAGGGCAAGTCGAAGTGGATGGAGACCCTCGAGAGGTTCGGCAGGCTGGTATCGGAAGCTAGTCGACGCAAGGCTGTTCCCATGGCGTACAGCCGATCCTGGCAAATCTGCTCGCTTCGGAACTTCATGTAGGCTTCGTGGGGTGAGTTGCCGCTGCTTGTTGTTAGTACAGTGACAGAAGTGCTGCGGGGATCTTACCTGAGGGTAAAGCAGACTTGCTCGCCGTACTTTCGATCTAAATCCCCGATCCGGCGGCGTTTATGGTCGTACGAGGGAAGGACACCATCACGTGCTGAGACGGATGGGGTCAAGAGGAGTTCTGATCTAGTGATCCTCGAACTCGCGAACTCCTCGTGGAGCTTCTTGTTCGGTTTCAAGAAGAGCTCAAAGGCTGGTAGTATACTATCTACCAAGCCGCGGAATACGTCGGGAGCGCACCCGTACGCCTGCCCAAGACTTGGTCCGTAGGGTATTGAGTTATGCGTAAATCCGCGTTCGTAGAATGGATCACCTTCTTCACTACGGTGTTTCTTTCTCTGTGCGAAGTAGTCGTCAAGAATAAGATCATAGATTGTATTTTTGATCTCCGGCGGCAGCAAATGGAAGGGGAATTTCCTGTTTCTGTTCATTTTCCTTCGCGAGGAATTGATCAATCTCGTCAGAGAGGACGAGAAAGCTGCTAGCTCGGCTTCGAACGCGGAGGAAATGGCTGCTAGCCCTTCGTATCCTGGATTGCCCTTCTGCAGTTGCTGGCGCAGCTCATCGAATGTTGTGTGGGGGCGCTTGATGTTGGGTTGTTTTTCCGAGACATCATTGGACAATTTTCTTTTTGGTGCCATCTTGTCGAATATTATCCAGATTTATATCATAGTGTCTTTTTGTAACGATTGAAAGTTATTCGGTTTTTCAGATTTACGTTGTGAGCGAAGTTGTAGAGATAAAGATGTTCAGCGAGTGGAAAGCGAAGTGAGGACTGATTTGGATCTGAACTATGACACTCTGGAGCCAATGGAAGTTCAGTGTGTATCATAAAGAGCTTTACTAGCCTGAAGGGCATTAGCATGACGTCCTAGACTAAAGGACACGTCAAGTGAGAAGGGGTCACGTGTAGGGGATAAGCGAGCCGAAAAAGGGGGACCGATTTTAGGGCCCAAACTTTGAACGACGAACGCTAGCGTGCAGAGGTAAGCAACCTTCAATCATTGAATTGTTTATATAAGAGTAATTGTTCTCTTCTTCAACTTGGCCTTGAAAATCTCATCACATGCAGCGCTTTCCAAAATTGTTCCCTTATATGCATCTGATCCCACAGCCTCTTCATCCGGCTCTGGGTATTTCCTCAACCCAAGGTGAGCAATGCGACGGTATTCTCCCTCTTTACGTCCTGTAGACTCCACCAACAACATATCAAGACCTGGAACTTGACTTCCTGGCGCACCATCCCAGCGTACAATCTCCACAGCTCCAAATTCTTGATTCGGACACGGTTTGTGTTGTTGGTAATATTCGTAGGTCATACTACCTATAGTACACAGGTATGTGTAAGCCACCTCTTGAAAAGCGGAGATTTTCACTGATTCTGGAATTTCTGGCTTGTCGAGGTATTGTTGCTCAGTCGAGTAGGCAGGAGGTAGTTGATCAACCTTCACAAAACGGGTATGAAGTACCAATTCTCCGTCCGTGACTTGTCCAAACGGATCGTCACCTTTCAAGGTAGTCTTCACACTGACCACCTTGGCAGTGCTATGTGCAGACAATTTAAGGGCATCCCTTACTTGCCAATTGTTGTTCATAGTCGATTCCCTGCCCAGTATACTTGCCCAACACCAGGATGGGGCAAGATAGCGTGAAGGTTTGGCGAGATCAAAGCGAGTCGATTGATCAGCTGGGTATCTCGGGGAACGATTCCACGCAAGAGTGCTGAGAATCTCGTTCTTCCATATTCCAGCACAATACTCGTCTTTCAGAACGTGCTGAAAGACTCTGGCCATACCTGCAAGTGCGGGTAGCACATCGAAATCCATGGTCAGAGAACGTTTCATGAACTGTTCCGTGATGTCATTCCATTTATCGTACGGGTCTGCGATCGAGTATGATTTCCACCATTGGTCTGACTTGTGGGATCGGAGACTGAGTTTCTCAAGCAAAGATTCTTTAGGCTTGCTGATTTCGGTGTTCTGCCTCCGAATGCAGTCTTGGATAAACCCCTTGGAACGATAGTCCTCAGTTGCTTTCGTGATCCTCCCTCCTTCATCATCTTGGTAACAGGAACATTCCCAGATCATTTGTTGAGCCCCGTACGATAGGGTCCGCTGAGCCAATAAACCCTCCTGCAAGCACCATCCGCGCGTCATGAGAGCACTTGCGGACAATGCATGATCCCATAGCTCTGAACCAGGACGAAGATGAATTTTATTTGTCTTTTCTTCGGCGGGATTTCTCCATTCAACCGCAGCTCTTCCATTCTCAGACTTTCGTTCCGAGAAAATGCCACTCCGCGTCGATGGAGCATTGGCTGCTACAACAGTAAGGACTGCGCCACTGTAGACATCTCTCATTTTTGCAGCCTCTCTTGCCCAATCCTCTGCTGAATCCTGCTTGATACACAAGGCATCTATCCAAACATATTTGATACCGAGTGCCCGAGTTATGAGCACAGCATCTCTCAAGGTCGCTGGGAAGTCATTTATTGGAATTCCGTTCCGCAGTTTATCCATCGTGCCATCATTGAACACGAATATCGAGTCACCTCCCCAGCAGTAGCTGAGTGCAATATAGGGATCTGTCTTGCCATTGCTGTCTATGAGTTTTGGAGCGTGATTCTCATCGCCCACATCAATAACTCGAGTTGGTAGAGGACGTGCTTGATCCGAAGCGGGGTTGCACTCTTTGTGCTCGTCAAGGCACGTCTTGAGCCATTCAGCGGCAACGGATTTACAGCCATTCAAAGATGGGTCAGAATAGACAGCTCTTCCAAGTAAAGCAGCTCCTTCAGAGGGGATATCTTCTACGCCAGATTAGCCAACCACTTCAAAACAACGAAATGGGTCACGTGCCTCGATCAGCAAATGCTTCGAAGGAGCACAACGTTCGACTATTGCCAGAAGGGGCTTGTTGTGTGAGCATGACATATGGGAAACCTTGTCGAGATTTTGTCCAGCTACTAGATCCAATGTAAAGTTGACCTGGAAAGTACTTCTCAAGCCAGTCTTCAGTGAAATCATCCTTGTTCAACGTCTTGACCCAAGTTTTCCAAAACAGAGCGCACAACTGGCAGCCTTGCTCTGCAGAGTTCTTGAGGGCAATGATTCCTTCGTGATGTTTGTAGAATGTGGGCATTGGCGCCCGATAATCGTTTGCGTCAACATAATTCCGGTCCGTATTCCCTGTCGCGTCGGGTTTCTGAGCTGCTGACTGGAGAAGCAGCTCCCGGATATCGAACTTTTGACATAGATCACAAATTTCCATTATATTTTGAGTTGTTGAAAAAGTATGGGTTCATGAAGTGCGAAGTATTTTAAAGGGCTGAAACTCTGTGCTTACGCCGAGGACAAGCATCAGAATCCTTCTGGACCTGCATAAGGTCACGTGGTACTTTCATAAAGGACTGAACCCAAAAATGTGCCCTGATCTAGTTGTTACTGAGACTTAGCTTGTGAGCTGTCTTTGCAGCTGAATGTCTGAGTGAGCAAAGGCGGTTTCGGATCATTGTGGCTTCCTGGACGTGATTCACAACCACACCTAAGAATAGTCAAGACGGCCCCGCTATCTTGTTGAAATCGCTATGGGGAACTTGCTTCACAAGAGATATATCAAATATGATAACCAAGATGTGATTACTAAGTATCAGAAGCTTTGAGGCCCAGGGTTCGCATGAGCACAAAGAATTCTGTCAGCCAGATGCTACGACAAGCACGCTACGCCAACTTGGAGAGCGAAGCTTGTTGTGGCCCTCGCACAGATAAATAGCGCAAGATTACCTCTGACTTTGACAGATGGAGAGGGCAAGATCTTGCATCACTTCAAGCGCAAAGGGTAGTTTAGTAGAGCTGACCAATCTGTTCTTGAGAAGGAGATCATATCATCTGAAGTAAACAAATCAAGTCTCGAGTCATTCAGAGCAATTTCCGCAGTCACAAACTGGGCCGAATTCTGTTCTAGTCATTGCAATTGTCTGTCCCAGTCATGGATTCTGCCTCCAATCCTTGACCCACCTTGCCCCCGACATTTGAGTCAACTGAAAGCTGAACTGCTACTTTCTGCTGTCATATATATAGCCTTTCTAACTGTGATTCCACGGTCTCTTGTTTCAATTACCTCGAGACTAAACATTTAGTAACCAATTATCTAAACAACCCCACAACTCAACAAAAGAAATGGCAGCCCCAGGATCATACCGAAGAACCAGAGAGAGAGGAAGGAGGATTTCTTGGTGGAGCATTGAGATGGCCACGAAGATAGGTGCAATACGTCATCCCGTAGCCAGAGGTATTTTTTCAGATAGAAATTGAGCCGTAACCTGAATGACACCGTTCATCTGAGTGACTATGGTATGAGCAAAACTTCTCTTCGGCCAGAACTTCCGATGTCCAGCAGCCGCTTCCTACAATATCAAGGAATCTCAACAACTTCAAGCTTCAATCTCGGAGGTAGTCTCGAAGTTCCAGTTTCTTGTTGGCATTGAATTTCTTCCAGAAACTGAGTTCCAATAATCCGTGCAGATTCCAGATTCAATTCAGCCCAGCTGGCATCGCCAACTTGTATGTGAAGTGCAAAGCTAACAGTCTGTAATGATGGAAAGACTGGAAGCAGTAATCGAAGATGCTCCTCAATCTGTGAGCTAAACCAATCCGGGGTAGGATCAAGGGCGTCGACTTTGAGATGGCCAATCTTTCCTAGCTCAGCCTTCACAGCCAAGAAAGAGGTTTGAGATCCGTAGAATTGTAGAGCGGAATAGTATCGAATGAAGTTTGGGACATCTCGAAAGACAAATGTGTCTAGCTCGTAGTCGACAATATACTCGAAATGATGGTTTTGGCGGGGCAGTAGTTGTTTCAACAAGTCATCTCTGACATCGTACTTGTTCATACGCAGAGAAACTTGTCGTGATTCCCTATTCACCCAGAGAAGGCTCGGAAGACCACAATTTGAGGTTTGTTGGAATGCTGAATAGGATAATGATCCCACTTCTCTTCCTCGTCGCTCCGGCATGGCCCACTCCCAGATTTGCAGGCGGAGCTCTGTTGGTAGCTGTGAGAATAGACCAAAAGAGTATTTTTTCGCAGTTGTGCAGCAGGCAGTGAAAGCGTCGTCCTCGGGAAGATGTTTGTCGTCGCGCGCTGACCATGCCGGGTGATTTCTCATCGCGACATCCATGCTATCACAACTGTTTCTCAGAGTCGGCCATGAGCAAAGAGAAAATATTCCAAGGTTTTGGTTGAGAATCCAATGCATCTTATGAATAGGTAGTGTAGAGGCATTTTCCGACTGCTTTCAAGATTTCGAAGAAATGAACATGTTATTATACATTGTGAAGACAACAGAGTGCATGCCAGCTTCGGACGTATCGCAAACAATACAAACACTTGTCATATGTTTTCAACCAATGTGGTTTCCTTTTGAAAGACATATTGTTTTTGGTGGTGCTCGTGGCGGCAAGATGAAAGCTGGACAACGCAGCGCTCAGCCAAGCCGAGTCGCGATGTGGCCAATGACCTGCATGGCGACCCTATCAAAACAAAGAATGCCAACTGCTTTTATTTTCAGTAGCCTCGAAACAAGCGTGTGGAATGAGAACACTCCATGCCCCAGCTGAGATAGTACTTATGCTTGGAAATTTAGTCCAAACTTTGCGGCGTAGCACCAGTTTGCATGAGGACGGTAACTCGTCAAGATACAAGGAAGGCTGTGAGATTGATGAACATTAAGGTGAGAAATGCACGCAGGTATCATGACTCCATAAATACAAGCAATGATGTGTACTGGAATCTAGTTCACGAAGAATTAGAATTTGAAGTTGTTTCTCTACCTTAGATCCCTTTCTTCGACTAATTCTTGCGCCTAACTAGTTCTTTCTTCACTTGAGGAGCATTACTTCCTACATTGAAGACCAAAAAATTGCCAAGGTTCAACTTGCAGGGGAAAAAGAGTCCAAAAACAATAGAGACTAAGAACCATCCTCTTGAACATCACGACACAGCAACATCAGTTTGCCTCCGTCATTCATACCAGCGATAATTCCATCGAGCTGCCTGATATCTCGCGATGACATTCAGGCGATGTCAAAGATTTGTCAGTGCTCTATTTCAAATGATTGAAGTGTATACCGCATCGGCAAATTTCCACGGGGGAATGAATTTCGACGGTAGTTGAAAAGATAATTGGGAATGTTTGCTATAGTTTAACGGAGCGGACTTCCCCAAATACAGAACCCTTGAAAAAACAAGCGGGGTAAACGAGGATCTTGATGGAATCGCAATTTTTGGCGCAAATCATTTTGATGATATATAGTCCTTCTCAGTACCTGAGTTGGGATGGTTTCATCAATTTGAAACTTTGGGTAATATCCATCGGAACTTTGTGAGCCAGATATGATGATGCCAAGCTGGGCATATCCAAAGAATCGGTATTTCGCAGCCAACAGGGAATTAGTATTGTTAATCTGTTCATCATGATTGACATGTAAGGGCTGTGGAAGATGTTCATATGGATTGAGCAGTGCCCCATAAATTCATCGCTCATCTCTCCATTCCGACCGTTTCAATACACCAAGGTCACGACTCTCATTTCACTCCTACTATCACCAATCTCACAGTTTCTCAACCTTAAAACTTCATCATGGCAATACGTCTCCTGCTTGGCGCTCTTGCTCTAGCAACAGCTGTCTGTGGCCAAAAGCTTGTTACGTATGTTGAACCAACCAGCACCGTCCAATACAGCCTTGCCATACCTGAGACTGCCGCTGCACCATTTGACGTTTTTGCGTCCATTGTCGCTCCCTCGAACGTTACATGGGCCGCTATCGCCTTTGGTGGATGCATGCTTAGAAGCCCGCTTGTAGTGGCATGGAAAAATGATACCAACATTCTTGCTTCACCTCGCTGGGCAGAGTAAGTCTTGTGAAACATAGGCTTTGATCAATACTGACACCGAACAACAGCGCTTACCACCCTCCTGATCTCTACAACGGTACCACGGTAACAGTCTTCAACACCTCAACAGTCAACGCGACGCACTGGAAAGCAAATATTCTCGTGAGTGGCGGTAGCTCATGGCTAGGCGGATCTGTCAAAGCTTTTGGCAGTATTCCATTGGGCTGGGCGGTGAGCAGTCTTCCTTTGGCTGCTCCGGCCACTATCAATAGTGGCATCAGGTATCACAATGTTGGGAAAGGTCATTTCGAGGTCAATATGACCAACGCACGCAACACACAGAGTGCATTTGATGCCTTGAAGACGAGCCCAATATAAGGGACAGTTACTTGGATGTGCAACGTGTTGATACTCATCAAAGTTGCTGGCGCTGCTTGAATGTTTGGTGAGGGAAACGATCCGAACAGCAGTATTTCGATTTGAGACTTGAAGTGAGCCGCGTACTGGAGTTGAGTATTTTCCCGTTGGAATTGTCTGCACTTGCGGACTTTCTTCCCAAAAATTGCTTTAAAACAAATGGAGCCTGAGTGGCTTGAAAGATAGGGAAAGATTTCAAGAAATTTATCAAATCTTTGCGACTTCACGAGCACCTTGCGTGGTATAAAATATAAGCCTGAACATGTCCTGAACGTTGAAATGACTAGCTTGCCAGGTTTAGGAAGTCTCTTAGGATATCAGCCACTCAATCAATTCTGAGACTCAAAATGGAAGAGAGGCTTAGAGCAGAAAAGACGCAGCGTCAAGATCTTTTGACGACTTCGTAAAATAATGTAGAAAATCCATGCCTCGGCCTCTCCTGACAAGGTTGTCTTTCAATATTCCAGGCGACCTCTTTACAGAAGGAACCTGTCAGGTCGGGATTATCTCTTATGCCACCTCGTCAAGTAGTGTGAATCCGGGATCCGAAAGGTCCAGTTGTCGGTCTCAGGTACTGTATCTCTGCAGTGGTGCGATCTCGCCTTCCTTGGTGTTCCCACGAGATTATCAGTCCACCGCTATGCGTCTTTATGACAATCCATGAGCAGTATTCTCTCAAATGCCCTTTTGTTCGCAGGAAAGTATGACCAGTGATTTCACCTCCGGCCATGTGCAGCTCCTTCAGAGGCCTCTGTGGACTTGGGTTTGACCCATCCAAAATTGTAGCCAGGCTTCGTCTTATTTCCCTTTCTGCTGGCTAGAATCGCCTTCCAGGACTCGCCTTAAGGCCTGAAAGCTCTTTCCATATTGCTTCACTGCATATTGTAGCTGACCTCCCACTCTGTTTGACATTCATACGCGCAACAAACAGTCTGCCATTCACCATCCATGAATCGTTCGTGGCTGGGTCGCGTCGTAGCTCGATTTGTGGCATGCTTCACGGGGGAGGGAAAGCAATTCTTCGCAGGTATATTTGACTTCTCGTCTGTCTCTCTGAAGAGGGAGGAGTTCGGACTTTCGCTCGGCGTCGATTGAAAATTTGAAAGGAAAGTTCGCGGGCGGATTTTCGTCCGAAGTCTTGCTCAAGCACCAGGCGATTTCCTCTGCGCGGAGACCCGTCAATCAAATGCTTTGAAGAATTGTGCTCCTTGCTCAGATCCATGGCGCAGTCCAGAGAGGCATTCTGTTGATGCTGGTTTGTCGTATTGATATGTCGTGGTACAACAGCAAAATGTGGGAAGTGAGGTTCCACGCTAAGAACCCCCCAGAACTTCAGCATGTCACAGCCCGAAAGGGGTGCATTTTCGTCCGATGTGCAACAAAACTGCTGCGTCAGCCAATATAGCCTTGGGTTTGTCTCACATGCATATTGATTCGAGGATATTTCGACGAATAAGACAGGCTAATTCATTGTCGCAGATGAACACGAGGAATTACCCGTTGTTGAGGTGAAGCGCAGAGAGAGTAGGAAGAGAGCGAAGCTGTATGATCGACTGGCAGCATTGAGTACAATTCTGGGAGGGAACATTCATTTCTTTTCAACTTTCAACTATTTTACACACTTGCTACCCCAACGCCCAATCCCAAGCAGCCCTCCATCTGATCTTGGCAAACAACTCCACATGATCAAGAACCTCCAATATGATATCCTTCCATCCGCTTTCTCAGATCCTCAATATCAGTCGTGATATCTTCCTCTAGCATCACCACATCAAAGTCAAGATCCTCCTCATCGCTCTCAAACTCTTCTTCTTCCGAGCACTCCTCTTCAGAAGGGACATAATCAGATGTCTCATCATCATCCTCCTCATCCACATCGTCTCGCGGATGAATGCCTTTCTCACTTAGCTTCCATCTCTCATACGCGTCATCCAGCACCTTCTTGATATCCTTGACCTCGGGGACTTCCCAGGGACTCTGACCTGCAACTTCATTAAATCTCTCAATGATCATGTCCGGTGTAGCATCCACTCTCCAGCTGCCGTCCGATCCGCCGTGACCAGATCTGGAAAGCACCAGCGGATTTGTGTAGTTCTTGTCCAGCGGCTCATCCGCTGCCAGAGCATACTGTCGGTCTTCGATTTTCCTGATATGGTATTTCAGAGCTCTCTCGACTAATCGATCGAGGATTTTGAAAGTCTCGAGTTCTTGGATCTTGGTATCATCTCGCCAGTCAGTCATATTTTTGTTGTGCCATTTTTGTGTTAGTTGGGCCCATATTTGCTCGAGACTATTGTTCCTTTCGTACCGAGCGAATGTTTTTTTGTCAATGTCTGCTTGTCGTTTGATGAGCGACACATAGTCGGATTGTGAGAGTGGGAATGATGATGGCCAGTCGTACTCTTGCATGAGAAACTTTAGCTTGAGATAGTCCTGACAAGAACATTAGCATAGAGCTTGGGACATTACGAGACGCTTACCATCGATCTGAATTGGTCAGACATGATTCCTTCACCTCCGGTGGGTACAAGCTTCATCTTCAAGAACAAATCTATCCACTCCTGCAATAACCCTTCAATCGGTCTCCTGAGGCCCTCGAATTCGGTGCACATGACACCCTGCTCCGCTGGACCCCAGCGATCCAATTGAAGTCCCTCGCCTGTCTTAGTATCCACAAATAATGAAATACCATAAGTAGGAGAGACTTTATAGGTCAGCTTCAGCATGTTAGGAGGAATCGTCGGTCCGCCGCAGTAGACACCTCTATCAATTTTAGGGAAGTCATCCAGCGGCTGCTCTAGTCTGCCCATGGGAACGACCTGGAGATCATAATTTCCATTTCTGGAAATGAAGTGAGGTAGCATGCACATTAGTTCCACGACGCCACGATCGAGAGGTGGATTGCAGTTCTTGGCAGCTTCTTCAATGCGAGAACATTGTTCGGGAGTCAACTGGGTCAAGCATATAGCTGGAGTCTCCTTTAGGTCTTCTTCCGCAGATTGGCTCCGGGCTTCTGTGTCTGTCTGGTGGGTTGTCGAGACGGCTGCTGAGGGTTGTTGAGGTGCCTGATCCAGAATCTTGAGATACCTATCCAACAGAACGGCAGACCGAGACTTGAATTGATACATCTCATCGCCGTTGATCCACTCGAGCTTTAAGATAGCTTTGCAGACCTTGTGAATTTTGGTACTCAATATGATGCTAACATCTATATCTCCAAAGCTTTCAAGCTTCGAAATGAGCCTCGATATCTCTGGTAACTCAGCCTCAATTGGTTGTTGATCTTTAGTCAACAGTCCTTTCTGAACTTTATGGCGAATATACAAGACTGATAGAGTCAATACTAGCCCTTATATCCAGGGTCTCAATCATTACTAACCTCCTTTTTCGAGCCTCGTAATTTCAGCTTTTTTGACTTCCTCACGTGATAAGGCTGGAGGTGGAGTGGTCTCTTTGTGATATCGAACAGCATCTTCAAGTTTCCAGAAGTTACCATTCTGTATATGAATAGAGAGGAGCTGAGTCCATAAATTTGCAATATTTCTCGGCCTGAAAACTGATGTTTCGCTGCGGATTTCGATAGGAAATGACGGGATAGTGATTGGCGTATCAGGACTTGGCAGCGAAGAGAGGGAGATATGCAATCGAGAGGTGTGATCGGGATCTGGTGCCGAAACGTTTCGACGACAGCATTGTGCTTCTTCTGCTGTTCTCAATTGGAGTGCCATTCTTTCATGGAATATGAGGAATTGCGGTGATGAACTCGGAGGAGGTTGAAAGTCGACGTTTGCCTGCATTCTCGCCCGAGACGCTAGCCTCGTCTGGCAAGCTGAAACTAACAACGTCTGCACGACGTCCCATCTTTTATTCTCCGAGCTTCATAAACATCTTCTTGCCAATGATGTATGCATCCTTTTTATGCAATAGTTGAGGTTACATTCATGTGTTTGTTGTTTAGTCTTTACTCTTGTCCAATGGTCTGCATGCATTCACTGATGGACTCGGCGTGAGGCTACTAGGCTGACGCTCAATCAGCGCTCTCAGCATTGGAGCGTGTTAATGTTTAATTAATCGTTATATCGCAATGGATCCAGTGATCCCGTACAAATACAAGCCGCTTCTCGAGAAAGATGCTATTCGACTCCTAGAATTACAACCATCCCCGACCTCGACGCTCAAGTTGAATGCTCTTTGATATGCACAACATTGAGTGCTTGCGATGAAGATTTCATCGATCACTATACTGCTCTTTCTTATGTTTGGGGGAATGCGAAGCTGAAAAAGATTATTCTAGTTGAGGGTCTTGCATTTGATGTCACCCTCAATTTGGATGTAGCGTTACGGCACATGCGAGATCATGAGAGGAAGCGCCTGATATGGGCTGATGCGATCTGTATCAATCAATCAGATACGGCGGAGAGAAATCAACAAGTGGCGCAAATGGGAAAGGTTTACCAAGGGGCGCGACACACGACTATTTTCCTTGGAGAGGCGACACCAGACAGCGATCTCATCATTGATGCACTTCGAGATGAGCACTTGACGCACAATTTCGATAAACGTTTGCCTTGGGATAGCATGTATGATCGACCTTGGTTCTTCAGAGTTTGGGTATTTCAAGAATTGATGCTCTCGCGTGATCCTTGGATACAATGTGGGAAGAAATGTGTACGGTGGCGTCAATTATTCCAAGCGGTAAAATTTCTTCAAAACCCCAGCTTTGTTGGCAGCCACAATACTCCTAGAAGGATCTTGACTTTGGAAGGACAGGTCGGTACGAATGTCGACCCTTTCAGCAGTTTTTGGAGCTCGGTAGTGCATATGAGTGAAGAGCGAAGGAGGATCAGTGCGTATACCTGGAAACAACTTTTACACTGCCACTCGCCATATCAGGATGGAACAGATGCACTCTCCGCTCTGGAAGGATTTGATATTGCTTTACTGAGTACGTTGGAGGCTCGTCGAGGCTTTGGATTGCTTGATCCACGAGACATGCTATTCGCACACAGGTCCTGCTTAGGTACAGGTCTACCAGATTGGCAGCTTCACGAACTACTTGATGTCGACTACGAAAAGACATGCGCTAGAGTGTACACAGATGTTGCAAAATATTTAGTCACAACGCCATCGTTCAAAGCTTCGCCTCTCAAACTCTTGTAGTTTGTGGACCATCCCTCAAATGGAGAGCCCCAGGAATTCAATTTACCATCTTGGGTTACAAATTGGAGAGTGAAAGAGTTTCTTGCACCGTATTGTCGCTTAGATCATCTACTGCAGCAAGACGTCGGCGATCTTTCAGCAGATTTGGCTGATGCGATCGCTGAGAGCCCTTTCGTTTATTGGCCCGATGCCTCAACAATGGGCTGCTTGGGCATCTGTTTTGGCACAGTTGTCCAGGTTTCAGATGTTATCACGAAAGAACATACCTTTTGGAAGTTTGAATTCGATATCGACCTTGCTGCTCACAAGTTTCGGGCCTACCACAAATTTTACAATCGTTGGAGTGACATACTTGGCCCACTCTTTGCTGGAGGCGAGTTGTCAACAGCTTTTCAATTTCTAAGTCAGCTGGTGAACAGCTTCAATGATGGTACTCATGATGTCCTACGATGGAAAAGCTTCTGGGCCAGTATTTTATCGAAGTGCGGTTACACCAATGAACTTGTTTCTCAACTGATCGAAGACCGAGAGTCTGTAAATTTCAGAGACGTGATAGCACATCTATTCCTTCGCGCAATCTCTATCCACAAAAGTTCGCCAGAGCTATTTGCAAGGAGATTTGCAACTCTTGACACCGATAAAGTGGTGTTGGTTCCCGAAGCCACTCTCCCAGGCGATGTCTTATGTCACTTTATTGAAGATGTCAGAACGCCATATGTTCTACGTATTCGAGATTCTGGCCCAGAAGAAGACGACCCGGTTGTCGAAAAAGTCATCAAAGAGATGAATCGTCCCGAGCGAAGCAGATTTCCAATCACATATTGTGATTTCGTTGGGGAATGCTTTGTTTATGACTGGGATTATGAAGGATGGTTAAGGACTCTCACACTGGACTGGAGCCGTGCGCCGTATGACGTGCTTGGTGTTTTTGTGATGCATTGAATAATTTGCGCTACTCACCTCAATGACTAGAGGTATACCATCCGAGATTCGAAGATGCAACCCCTTTCGGCGTCCTCCTATGGACATAGCTCACATGCGAAGGGGAAGCGAGGTCTTCGCGGCTCACAGCAGGCCCCGAAGTCTCGTGCCGAAAATATATTAATTCATCTGTTCTCATGCACCCCTTCTTTTCTCGGCTGCAAAATCCATTTTTCCGACTTGCTCTCTACGATCTCATCCCCCGCCCACTACCCCATCGCTCAATTCGTCATCTTTCTGTGCACTTTCCCGAGTCTATTTCCCCTGTTCATTCGTGCCTGAATTCTCTTTGCGGACATCAGATTGTTCTCCTAAGATGTTTGGTTTGAATCAAAGATTTAATATAATATCGATGGCACGGGTTGCCAAGGTTCCCAAGTGGTGTTCCCTACGGCAGCTATCCCGGTAGTTGAGATGTATACTCCGAATATACACCTACTCCACCATAAAACGAGACATTGTAGTCTTCTTTCTCTGCTCTCAAACTTTCTGTACATACCTCTTTCTCGAATCATGCATTTCTCTACTCTTGCTGGCAGCTTTGCTGCTCTTGTGGCGATAGCTAATGGAGCTCTTGTCTCTGTCCCAAATTGGGGTACAAGCACTACCAACCCAACTGGAATAGCAATGAGCATCTGGGTTCCCACGAAACTCGCCACTAAGCCAGCCATCATTCTTGCTGTATGAACCCACCTCTCTTATATATATCTCTTCCCTGTTGACAGTTATCAGCTCCACGGTTGCCTCAGTAGTGGTGCCTCCTATGCGCAACAAGCCAAATACGGGCCACTTGCTGACACCCACGGTTTCATCGTCATCTACCCGAGTTCAAGCCACGACAACAACTGCTGGGACGTTGCTTCTACCAAATCTCTTACTCGAGATGGTGAAGGAGACTCCCACGGTCTCGCAAACATGTTGAAGTACACGATCGACAAGTACGACGCTGATCCAAAGAAGATCTTTGTGACGGGATCTAGCTCCGGCGGTATGATGACCAACGTCATGGCAGCCATATATCCAGATGTCGTCAGTAAGTGCTCACAAATTACCGAAGAGGACAATAAGAGTGAAAGCTGATGTTAATCAAGCTGCTGGAAGTGTCTATTCTGGTGTAGCTGCCGGCTGCCTGGCTGGCTCTCCCGGTTCCTCTCCCATAACTGCAGACCCCGCTTGTGCCAATGGTCAACATATCAAGACTTCAGCGCAGTGGGTCGCACAAGTCAAGGCCATGTACCCTGGCTACAATGGCACCTATCCCAAGATGCAGACATGGCATGGGACAGCTGATACCTTGGTGCTATATGCGAACCTAGGAGAGCAGATCAAGGAATGGACAGGCTTGCTTGGGGGTGCAGCGGGACCGTTAGCTTGGACCAAGAATGTTACGAGTAGTCCTCAAGCGCAATACACGCAGATGATATATGGTGATGGGACGCTGTTTCAGGCATACAGTGCAGTGGGAGTTGGACATACTGTGCCAGTGCATGAGACGGTTGATCTAGCTTGGTTTGGACTTACGTAGAGAGTGGTAAAGTGCACCATTGCAAACTGAAGGAAGTCACTTGTCTGTTTCAATGAACCTGAGTACATAACTCGCTAATCTTGGCGGTAGTCCCAAAATTAGGTCTAGCATCGTCGACTTTTATCTATGATCATGTACACAAGTAGGGGCATGACCGTGTCTGAGAGATCATCGACCGTGCCACCAAATAATCCCACAAAAGTGAGTTTCGGTCTAACCCTGTTCAGTAGGCGGGTATAAAGAAGAGAGCCCTTCTCCACAGTTAGCGGTAACACGTCATTCAGGGCTACAAAACACTTCTAGGGCCCAATAAATATGATGCAAGTTTTAGAGGATTATTCCAGTCCAGGTTTCATTACTGGTCGAGGCTTTTATGTTCCTGGCATCGAAATCTTTCTCCTATCCTTCCAGTCGAAGGCCGAAGTTAAGTTGCTGCCTGCGCTTAAGGTTATTGTGGCTCTCCAGGCCAGGCTACAGCATGCTTTTAAGTAGCATGCACGTCCTTGAGGAGTATTCTATTGTTTGTGGTTTTAATCGAATCGAGAATCATGGACCAAGAAATTATACCTTTTATCAGATTTTCTGAGGATCATGTTTCGTACGGGAGCATAGCCCCATTCTCATACCGATTTCTGACTCGTTACAGGCACGAATCACCCAAGATTAGGCTCGAGATGAAGCTCTACCACACCAGCTCAGATCTGTCAATTACTTCTCCTATTCGCATCGACTTGACCCTGCATCGCGACCAAAATGGAATTGACCAAGAGTGCGTATTCGTATGGAATAAGTTCAAAGCTTTCGCACGCACACAATTCATTTTACTCCAGCAGAAAGGAGACATTCTTGAGCAGGTCGATGTAGGCCAGAAAAACATCGACCTGCTGCGTGACGAGGATAACATCATGCAAGTGAATGGCTGGAATAACGGTCTAGAGCAGCTGCGTCCTGGCGGCTCACAATGCACCGTAGAAACTCTCCCGGACAACTACCACAAATTGCTGATACCTGGGGAGAGGTATCGATTGATTTGGCCAGGAGAGGAGATTTCTATGTGGGATTGGGGCAGCAAACTGGATCATGTTGGGAATGAACTCAAGTCCCAAATGATGAGAGAATCAAAACTACCAAGACTCATACTACCTGCATGTGCTGGGGTCGAATTTACAGCCAAAGAAGAGTTAGAGCCGTGGCCCGATCGAGCCGAATATGAGTCAAAGTTCGGGTTTGTTCGTGCGAATTTCAAAGAAGCGGAGTGGCGACTAGAACAAAACCCTCCTCCATCACCTCCACCCATTTCTCCATCCGAACGAGTGTGAGTGTTCAGATACCCCTCTCATTCGTCGTATTTGAGCTAAGACTAACATTGCTCAGCCCGGAAGCTCCAATACTGAAAGTAACACTTGAAGGAACCGGATCTCATGTGACCAGGAATTCAGACTTTGTCGTATCATCTCAAGTTACCTACGAGAAGCCAGTTGGTGCTACTGGAGAAGGGAAACCAGTCACATTTCATATTTATGACTTCTCCTATGCATATAGGCTCTACCGTCTCCGAGGAGGTAAGTGGAAACGATGTGAAACGGAGGATACTATGAGGACAGGCTTCATGATAGTGGACCTTCCTGATGAAACAGTCAAGGTCAATCAGGACAAAGACTTCGTTACCTTGAGACCTGGGGAATCATGGACAACTCAGGAGACAGTGCAAAAGCCAGACTACACTCACATTCCTGATGACTCAGTTGTGGGAGATACCTTCCGGTATGTCTTCAAAGGTACTACATTGGATTGGTGGGATTGGGGAAATAAAGAAGACCATTCTGGGACAGAGGTAACGCTACCGTGTTTTCATTGGGGTAGTGTTGTCAAGCCTGCTGATAATGATGGAAGACCAAAACTGGTAGTGCCTGGTTCGAATGTGGTGGAATTTACTATTGTGGATGGATGAGAAGCAGTTGATTCATTCAGACTGTTGAAGTACGCTGAATTCACTTCAGTCCAGGAGTATCCGCAATACGAACAATATACTTGACCGCGCTTGCCTTTCCTTCTTTCAAATCTTTGAGTGCTTGTTCGACGCCTTCCAAACCACCTTTCCTCACTTCGTACGGATGTCCCGAAAGCCTGCCCTGCTGAAGAGCACGAGTAAGGTACCTTGAGAAAATATATCCTAGTTCCCTCGTATCCTCGGTACGGTATTGATTGTGAACTGAACCCACAGAGGATGTAGACTTCATCGCAGGCGAGACATCAAAGTCATTGGGGAATATAAAGTTGATGTGTCCATCAGGGGCAACTACCTCTCGCAGGATTTTTGCGCTTTCCGGCACGATTGCTGCATCGATTGCATATTTGACTTCTTGGTTGCCACTTGCCTTCACAGCTTCTCGGATCTTCTGGGTGACACTTTCAAAGGTATCACGATAGTCGATGATGGTATCTCCTTTGCTGCGATCGATGATACTTTCCACGAAGTGAGAACCTTTGCCTGCGATGGCAATAATGGGATGGATGTTGCTGTTTTGAGCAAGTTTAATTGCGAATGCTCCAACTGCAGCGCTTGCTCCATAGACAACGAGTGGAATTGGAGATGTCGCTGGCAACCATGGAAATGGTAAGGCGAGGTGTCGGTATAAGGCTAAAGCTGAAGTGAGAGCAGTCAAGGGGATTGTTGCCGCTTCTCCAGAATGACTTAGTCATGTTCTATGATATTAGGTGCATAGACGAACCTTCAAAAGAAGTGTGATGCGGAATATGAAAAGTAGTATGACTCCAGGCAATAGCGTACTCAGCGAATGAACCATGCGGGGTCATCATCTCATGAAAAGCAGCGACTCGATCCCCAAGCTTTCACAAATCAGCTCACTTCAAAAGTCCCAAAATATCATTCATACCTTGAACTCAACAACATTGGCGCCAACTTTCTCCACAATTCCAGCGATATCATCACCTTGATTTGTTCCAACCTTCATTCCTTTGATACGTTCGTATATTGGACCTTCAGTGAGTGTTGCTGCAAAGTCTGGAGCTTTCCAATCTTTGGGATTTGTGCCAGAAACGACGACCTTAATGAGGACTTGATCATCATTTGGCTCTGGGATTGGCGAGTCTCTGATTTCCGCCCTTGGGCCGGCAAAGTTGAATACTTCTTTCATGTTGGGATGAATGAGGTGGAGACTGAATTGGATCAAAGAATAGAAATCAATATTTCGAAATGCAAGTAAAGGGGACGGGTGGGATGGTTGGACATATATACTCTTGCAAATCCAATGTAGAATTCATAAGCAACGCGGGTGTTTCGGCCGCTTTGGGTCCAAAGTCTCTCAACTTCTTGTGTTTGGCCCAATGTACTTAAAACTATAGCGAACGGAAAGTGGGACTTGTAATTCATCTGATAATCTTGAAGGCCTGGATACGTAAGCTTCTTGGGGTATAATACTAGAAAAAGAGGAGACTGAGCTAGGTCGAGGTGTATCTTATACTCCTTAAGCGGCCGAAATCCCGCACGCTTACAAAGGACTTTCATTGGGGCCTCGCAACAGATGCTGTGCGAGTTTTCAGCCAGGTAGGGACTAAGAAAGATGTGATAACCTCGAGTCACTTTCCAGATCCAAAGATGCCATGAAGGATGGTTTAACCATATCCACTTAGATTCAAACATTTGATTCAATCTCTTTCTAGCCCACGACACCTTCCATTCTAAGATCCTTTATATCCGCCTCGCTGATACTGAGTACATCTTTCAACACCTCATCGGTATGTTGTCCCAACGTAGGCGGTGGTGTTCTGATTCCAGGAGTCGAGTATGAATACTTGACAGGTGTGTTGATCAGCTTCATTGGTCCACAAATTGGATGATCGATCTCCTTGACCATCCCTCTCGCAAGCACTGCCTCGTGTCAGCACCATATTCCAGTTTATTGATGTCTGAACTCACCATGCTCATGATTCAATGTATCCATCAAATCGTTGACTTTGGCATACGGTAATCCAGTCCCATCAAAGATCTCTAGCCACTCTTGCGTTGTCTTCGACATGGTGATTTCTTCTATCCATGGCTCAAGCAAGTTTCGATTCGCTACTCGACCGGAATTGACTGCAAATCTCTCGTCATTGATCCATTCTGGTTTACCGAGACCTTCGCATAGAATGCCGAATAGACGATCAGTTCCACCCCCGAATAAGATATCTCCATCTGAGGTTCGGAACGATCGATAAGGCACAACAGATGCTATGACATTTTAGTAGAAATACCAATAATTTGAAGAAAGAGTCTCACGATGTGAAGTCCCCCATCGCCCCGTATCTCTTTTGCCCGAAATGAGCACCGACTCTGCCATGTTCGACAATGTTGCAACTTGACAATCACTCAAGCAAACATCTAGGTGCTGGCCCTCTCCTGTTTTTGCCCTCCCAAGCAATGCTGCCATGATACTATTTGCAGTATATAGGCCTGTAGTCAAGTCCGTCACGGCGCAGCCGACTTTGACAGGAGGACCATCACGTGTTCCTGTAATGTGCATGAGTCCCATCTCCCTGTTTCATATCAGCTTTCGTCCTATTTGTAGAAATCTTTGGATGACTGGAGGAGAGAAGAAAGAGCATACGCTTCCACCATAACATCATAGCCCGCTCGATTACTGTATGGACCTGTCTGGCCATATCCCGTCACACTCGCGTAAATGAGCTTCGGATTCGCTTCGCTCAACGTCTTGAAATCCAAGCCATACTTCTTGAGCGTACCAGGTAAGTAGTTCTCTACGAAGATGTCTGCTTGGAGGGCTAATTGGCGGATCAGATCTGCACCTTTCGGGTCTTTGAATGAGACTCCAATGGACTTCTTGTTGCGATTTACCTAATCGTGCATTAGTAGAGATTCGGAGGAGTTGTGATTTAAGGTTCTAAGTGAAGGAACAAGAAGTAGGGAGGAATTACTGAAAGGTAATATGCACTTTCGCCAGGCCCCGGCTTGCCGTCCAGATTGGGTGCATAGGGAGGACCCCATTGTCGAGTGTCATCGCCACGAGTCGGATGTTCTATCTTCAGCACTTGCGCACTATTGACCAACAGTCAGCCCCAAAGTCTTCAAGGCACAAGGCGGACTACTCACCCAAGATCTCCCAGTATTTGCGTACAGTATGGCTATAGCACGTGATTAGTCCTCACTGTTTTCCCACATCCCCTTGAGCTGGGAATATACCCCTGCTAAGACTCTCGTCAAGTCCAAAATCCTCGTTCCAGAAAGTGGTAGTCGGGGTTCATCTACTGCTCCCTTTGCTGAGAAACTCCTCGAGCATTGCCTGGACGCTTTGCCGAGGCTCCTTGTGAGACGTGGTAAGAAAGTGCTTTGCAGCATGGTGACTCTATATTGCTGCAGAACAAGCCATCAATGGCGGGATATACATTGAAGAAGACGAGAAATCTATATAATTTGTGAGACGAATGATTGGATTGCTTGTGCCGAGACAATGTGGAAGGAAGCCGAGATCGCGGCAATGTGGGAGCTGCCCCACAATGAGGTACACGTGACTATAACATTTGGATGTCCTCATTACATTGAGTATTTGCTAGCAGTGGAAGAGTAGCTCCTTTGAAATATCAGAACTCATCCATCTTAAGGTATTTTAGCTTATCTTGAATAAATATTAAGAATTGAAGTAAGTGGGGCCAGCACCAAAGACGAAGACGGAATCAAGGAGTCAAACAATGATGTCTTGCATAGAGCTTCTCTCTGAAGATACAACTATTTCTAAGCAGTCAAGTCATATTGCTACTAAGTATATATTCATTCCTCTTCCTAAAGTTTCCGCTGTCCAAAGACTTCTTGCATCCTCTCCCCAAACACTCCTTGCAACATCTCCCCCAATTTCAAAACTTTCTCCCCGCAATTGCCTCCAATCTCCCTCAGCAACTTCCCCCTCCCCTTTCGATACTTCTCATCATATGCCTCTGGGCTCTCAAAACTGATCTTCTCATTAGGTCCAATGACCATAACTTCATTTCCCCACCCATCGCTATAAGTAAACTTAATCCATGCTTCCGCCATTTCTCTTCCCAGTCTCTGATCCTCTCCGAAAAATTCGTGTGGAAGGTTTTGAAGCAGATATGTAACATCCAGCTCGTGAGATGCTAGGCCTTTGAAAGTACCTTCTAACGGATTTTTCTGAACGGGCGTCAGGCTTTGTCCTCTCAAATCATGCACAATGAAACTCACTTGATGAAAATGAAACCTATATAGCTTTCCCCTTGGTTTCTCTCTCCAACCTTTCTCTTCCTGGAGAGTTGGGAAATAAAATCTCAGATCAGAACCAAGATTCAGCAGACCTTTGAATTGTTGGTCTGGATTGAGGATTCCGGTGAGCGAGTATGCTTCTAGCAATCGCTTGCTTTCTGCTGGGGTGAAAATTTCGGCCAAAGCATTCTTGAGTCTTGCCATGATCTGCGGATTATCCATGATACGACCCTTCAGTATAGTGCCCTGCGAGAATTAGCCGAGTGAAACGTTGAGTGAAAGCCTTCTTACATCGTCAGCAGTATCACCCACCACAATTTGCTTGCACCAACCCGGTTTCCCCATAGCATTTGAAGGATCAGCCAGAGCACCCAGAGTGATATCTTCTTTAATGTAATTTCCGTCAACAGTCGCAATCCAATGCTGAGCCATTGGCAAATTTTTGATCAGCTCTTCAGCACTCATCCCAAAAAATACTTTCTTTCGATTATCTAGGGAGGCACGACCGAGCCCTAAGAAATGGACGTTATGTTCATATTGAGAATTTTGCCATCGCATATCCCGAGGTCTACGTAGACTAGAGTCTCCAGACATCAAAATTGCTTGTTGAAAAAGGTCTTTTTCGTCGGCAACCAACAGATAAGAAATCAATACTAGCTTTGACTCAGTATGTGCGTCGGATTTCAAAGTTTTCTGTTCAGATAGACGTACTTGCTCCAGCTGACTCGCCTGCAGCTGTCAAACGATTCGGATCACCTCCAAATCCTGCAATGTGATTCTTGATCTAGAGGAGAATCAGCTTCTGGAGATATTTTTCTAATTTAATAGAAGAGGTACCCATTTAAAAGCACACGCAATATCTCTCAGACCAATGTTACCAGGTATTTTAAGCTCATCTGAAGCCAGAAATCCGAAGATTCCGAAACGGTAGCTATGAAGTCAGTAAGACTGAATCATCAAGGATGGACATGAATACTTTATGGAGACACTAATGACTGGCTTCCCCGCATTGACTGAAGTTCTAACAAAAGGTGCAGTGTCTACTTGTAATTAGTTCAACACAATTCTGAAACAGATCAGAATTACCGTATTGAGGCCATGAATTAGCTCCATAGAAAAGACCACCTCTGTCAAACATATGAGCAATATTCGCTTCTTCAAGTCAGATCACAAACCCATGAACCCTACAATCATTGCATCAGTCTTATTCTCATCGTCATCAGGTACACCTACCAAACAAAAACGGGCAGCTTGTCCCCTTTCTTCGTTCCGGCGGGAACCGTCACAACCAAATTCAAACATTCAAACTCAGATTGCTCATTTGACTCCAATGCCAAAGTCACATTTCCCACCAAGCTCAGATCAAAAGCAAATCCTCCTGGGTGCTGAGGACAAGATGGTCCATACTTGGTTGCATCGTACTCTGACCCTTGAGGATTGAGTCGTTGACTCAACATCACAGGCTCTTTCCATCGTCCGGGTATATCGGCGTACTTGATACCTCGATATTGGATTGTCTTCCCGTCCTTGGATTCGCTACCCCGCAACCGACCCAGGATTTCATGATCTAGAGACATGGCTGAACTCCTTTCCTCGCGACCACAATTCCCTCTCTTCCCAACTCTGTTTATTATCTCAATCGTCAACACTCAACTTCCCTTATCGTCAATCAATCTCACCTCAGCTACCGACATCGTCGTGACTTCGTCCAATGATTTCAGCCCCACGTTTATCCGTCTCAGCGACTTACAAAATACCCCGCTTTTGTTAGCGGCGGGTGGTACCTGGAGCCCCTGTATTCTTGCCCCGCAGTCGGAGCTTACTGCCATTGTACACCGCTGAACGCTGTAGAGCTTCAGCGTGGGGCCTGTGGGAAGTGCTGTCGTGCAACTGCAGCGAGATATGAGACTTTTTCAATAGATGTCGTCTTTGTGAGACTGCATCTCTGGAGATAGATGGGACCGTAGAAATGATGGCGAGCAAAATGAGGACCGCAAGATTGCTGTTCGTAGCAGCTCCAAGCTCTCGGAGAGCTTTCTCTCAATCAACTGCCAGGAGAGCAATCAACAAGATATGTCCCTCTGCATCAGAAGCCATTGCCGATATGAAAGGCAGTACGACCCTCCTTGTTGGTGGTTTCGGTTTCTCTGGAGTCCCAAATTCCCTCATCAATGCTCTGCGGGATCGATCAGACCTCAAAGACTTCACGGTGGTTTCCAACAATGCGGGCATGCCTGGCGTGGGCTTGGGGCAACTTTTGGAGACAAAACAAATCAGTAAAATGATTGCTAGTTTCATTGGCGAAAATAAGGTCTTTGAGAAGATGTATATCACGGGAGAATTGGCACTGGAACTTACTCCACAGGGAACGATGGCAGAAAAGTGTGCTGCTGGTGCGGCAGGAGTTCCAGCTTTTTATACACCAGCTGCTTATGGGACGATTGGTATGTTTTCGCCTTTCTTTCTCAATCCTTACCTCAAAATTATACAGAGTGAGAAATGCTAACATCGTACACAGTCCAAACAGGCGAACTCCCCGTCCGCTTCAACCTCGACGGAACCGTAGCCCTGATGTCCAAACCGAAAGAAACGCGCGAATTCAACGGAAAGCCCTATGTAATGGAAGAATCCATCTTCGCCGACTATGCCTTCGTCAAAGTGCACAAAGCCGACAGGATGGGAAATTGTACATTTCGAAAGGCCCAGAACAATTTCAATGAAGCGATGGGCAAGAATGCTAAGATTACGCTGGTAGAAGCGGATGAAATTGTGGAGGTGGGCGAGATTCCGGGGGAGAATATTCATTTGCAGGGCGTGTATGTTAATAAGGTTATTCTGAGTACGGAGGAGAAGAAGATTGAGAAGTTGACGTTTAGGAAGAATAAGGAAGAGTTGAAGAGTGCAGTGGGTGCGGGGGAGAGTTCGAGAGAGAGGATTATTAGGAGGGCAGCGAAGGAGTTTACTGATGGGATGGTGGTTAATCTGGGGATTGGAATGCCTTTGATCACTCCTGCTTTCTTGAAACCGGGAATTGAAGTCGTCTTGCAGTCTGAGAATGGGATCTTAGGGATGGGTGGATACCCAGTGCCAGGAGAGGAAGATCCAGACTTGATCAATCCAGGGAAAGAGACTGTCACACTTGCTCTTGGACATTCGTTGTTCGGCAGTCATGAGAGTTTCGGCATGATCAGAGCTGGAAGAGTAGATCTTACTATGCTAGGTGCACTGCAAGTTGGGATGTTTGGAGGTGAGTACATGAAGCTTCGAGATGCGGGGTAAAGGCTGATTGCGAACAAAACAGATCTAGCAAACTTCATGTTACCCGGCAAGGTAAAAGGAATTGGTGGAGCAATGGACTTGGTTGCAAATCCTGAGAAGACGAAAGTCGTGGTAACCATGGACCACACAGACAAGAAAGGAAACCCAAAGATCTTGAAGCGTGAGTTCATGTGCCCAAACTTGTCTGAATCAAATGCTGATAGCAAAAAGAATGCACATTCCCTCTTACAGGTCAGAAATGTGTGTCTCGAATCATTACTGAATTGGCAGTATTTGATGTGGACCATTTGGAAGGTTTGACACTGATTGAGGTGGCGGATGGCGTTACTGTTGAGGAAGTGAAAGCGAAGACTGAAGCGCCATTTAAGGTTGCTGCTGATCTCAAGAAGATGTTGTGAGCAAATAGGCACGAGATGTATATAAATTGAAATGCAATAAACAATTCAAAATCTCAAGACTACTTCATCTGGCTTCAATTGGAGGTTTGATACATTATATTGAGCTACGTAAGGTTGACGATGCATTTTTGACCCGACATGCCTCTTCTTCAATACAAATTATGTACGATGTTGATCACTGTGAGGCATTAGTAGGGCAAGCGGCGAACTTTCGGAAGCAGGAGACTTACGGTTGCCAAAATCAGGGTGTTCTTTCCCGCCAACCAACGCATGCAACGCAATTGATTCCTCCTCTCCGGGAGGAACTTTGTACTTTTCAACAGTCAGTATTCGATATTACACATTCTAATTCTCACTTACCATTGTCAAAGTCGACTTATGTCCCAAGTTCTCTACCAGCTCCGCAATCGCTTTACTCACCAACTTCGCATCCCCTTCATCACTGCCCGTGCTCTCCTTCCCAATATATGGTAGAACTCTGGCAATCATCTTTGCTTCATCTGGTTTTGTGCTCGCTTTCAAATTCACCACTGGTGCTAACGTCAAACAACTCGTGATTCCGTGAGGAATAGAGTATGTTGCTCCCAAAGCGTGCCCAATGCTATGACTTAGACCAACTCCGCCTGTGTAGAGGAAGGGAAAGAGAGAAGCGTAGCAAGCCAAGAAAAGCTTTTGGCGAACGGTGCCATCTTTAGGATCAGACTTTGAGAGAGGGAGGTAGGTGAAGAGATCACGGATGGCTTCGAGCGCGAGGCGCTTTGTGGGGATTTCGGAAGCGAGGGGGTGGTAAAGCAGTTCGACTGCATGGTCAAGTGAACGGATCTGCTTTGTGAGCTTCATTCAGTCGTGAGAAGGACGAAACTGACTCCTGTACTTGTCCATAAATTTGTAGGTGTGTAAAGTGCAATATCTCCATCATATACCACAGCTAAACCCGTGGATCAGCTTGATTCTTAGAACTTCCAGGAGGAACATACCTTTCGGCACCAGCTCAGGATGGCTGACAGCAATTTTCTTCTTTTCCTCCGCCGTGAACCCAGCATTCTGTGTCGTTTCCGCAACACTCAATGTTGTAGGAACAGCAATACTAGGTATCCATTTCCCAGTAGCTTCATGTATTTGATATGCTACTGCTTTCGCACTATCGATTGGAGAACCACCACCAATTGAAATGAGTACATCTGCTCCAGAAGATTTGACGAGCTCTGTTGCTTCTCTAATTGCTCCAATTGGTCTGCGAAAACATTAGTGAAGAAATGCGACTAGATTGAGACCATACGCATGCTGCCCAATCTTGTTGAAAGTTCCAACATGAGCACTTCCAAGGGAAGCTTCAGCCTCTTTGATGACTGGTGTTTTTGTGCTTAAAGATTGTCCTGTAATAATGAAAGCTTTCGAAGCTCCAAGTTTCTCAATTACTTCGTTCAACTTCTTGGCAGTTCCTGTAATACATTGTTAGCTAGAAATTACCTGCTCAAACTTTCTTTGCATACCTTGTCCATAGATCATGAACCTCACTGGAGATGCTACATAGCATCCTGCCAATGAGCTATCAACTTGACCTCCAGCTGGTAAAGACATCTTGAACGAGATGACAAGAGTTCCAAATTTACCTCCTGTTTGTTTGGAGCCGTATGCATATGACGAGGCTGAAATTTCTCATGTCGAGCTTCATGTGGGGTAAACCTGCCCCACACACGTGACTCTCAATTGCATCGAAACTCCTGCAGCAACACCTCCGATTTACGGTGATTGGGTGGGCATCAGACGTTCATTTCTCATTCTCAAATGCCGGTGACCTCGGTGCTGTGATTCTTCAGGTTCTTATTTTGGGTTGAGAAGTGCTGGTTTGTTGAAATGGCGTCAATTCGTTCAGCAGCGAGGAAGCTCTCACAAAAGACACCAAATGATGTGGTGATTTTAGCAGCTGTAAGAAGTCCAGTGACGAGAGCATTCAAAGGTGGATTCAAAGATGCATATCCAGAAGATGTTCTTGGTCCGGTAAGTCCAGTTCCTGACATTGAAACAGTTCTGTCCACTGACCCCTCCAGGTAATGGTGGAAGCTGTCAGAAGAGCCAAGATCCAACCCTCAGATGTGAACGATGTTCTCATTGGCAACGTCCTCGCAGAACTTGGCTTCGCGAAAACTGGTCGAATGGCCTTGAATCATTATGGATTTCCGAATTCGACGACCTTTCACACAGTGAACAGACAATGCTCGTCTTCCCTCCAAGCCATCACTCATCTATCTCACGCCATCATGGCAGGACAGATCGATGTTGGCGTAGGAGGTGGAGTAGATAGCATGTCTCGAAACTATGGCTCAAGGGGAATTCCCCAGGATGTATCGCCGCATTTGAGGAATAGTGAAAACAAGCATGCCAGAGATTGTTTGATGCCAATGGGATTCACGAGCGAGAATGTGGCGGAGAGGTATGGAATTGGGCGGCAAGCTCAGGACGAGTTTGCATTGGAAAGTCACAATCGAGCATTCGAGGCAAGAGAAAGTGGTCATTTTGATAAAGAAGTGGTGCCAGTCACAGTCAGAGCTGTAAATGCTGAGACTGGGGAAGAGGCGGTAACTGAGGTGAAGCGCGACGATGGGATTCGAGGAGGGTTGACATTGGAGAAGCTGGCAGCATTGAAGCCTGTTTTCAAGCCTGAAGGAGGAAGCACTGCTGGAAATTCGTACGTTTAAGAGCTCGAAGGTAGTGAAATTTGGCTGACTCTCACAAGATCCCAAATGTCTGACGGATCATCTGCAACAATCCTCGCGCGACGATCATGGGCTGAAGAACGAGGCCTGAAACCACTTGGACGATTCATTGGCACAAAAGTTGCCGGATGTGCACCAGACGAGATGGGAATATCACCTGTATTTGCTATACCAGAACTGTTGAAGTATACGGGAGTTGAGCTCAGCGATGTGGATGTGATTGAACTGAACGAGGCGTTTGCAAGTCAGAGTTTATACTGCATTCATAAACTAGGTCTGGATATGGCAAAGGTCAATCCGAATGGAGGAGCTATTGCAATTGGACATCCAACAGGAGCAACTGGTGCGAGACAGACCGCGACGTTGTTCAATGAGTTGCAGAGATCAGATAAGGAGGTTGGAATGATTAGCATGTGTGCGAGGTATGTACATGAAGCTCCCGGAAAAACCATCTGCTAACATGAAAATATAGCACTGGGCTTGGTGTGGCTTCACTATTTATTCGAGAATAAATATCTCAGTTCACCAATATCATTGGACCCCTTGATTTTGTGAAAACGGTCAATATATCATCATAATCATCACACCGTCGCCAACATAGAAGATTGCCAAAAGCTCTCCTACCGTTGCCACCCTGATCCCGGCCTTAAATCCCACAAAGTGGCAGCTCAAGCTCTAAATTTCAGGGTACCTTGCCCCGCGGCTTTAGCTGCTTCGTCCCCGCCAGTTTGATTCAGGGGTAAGCTTGAACTTCCGCGCTGATCTCGAACAAGCCCCACACTGCTTCAACTCCTTCCCACATCTCTAAGCTTCAGTAAGAATTACTCCTCTCGACGCAATGCAAAGCAAGTCACAATCTCGTCTCAATTTTGCCCATTGGCCTGGATAGTGTGTGACAACTCATGGACTCTATGTCCTTTCATTGAATGCAGCGTCTGTGAATCGATCATCTCGTTGTGCACTATAACCCCGCTCTCATCCATCCTTCGTACCTCCCGACCTCGGAGACAACATGATTCTGTCTCGTGCTGCCTTTCGAGCATCTGCCATTCTTCCAAAAGCTGTTTCTGTCCCTCGGGTGTATCGAAGAAATATGGGTTCCGTCAGTGCCATCGATTCGAGTATCTTTCGCAGCTTATTCGGCACAGAAGAAATCAGAAAGGTGGGATAAAAACCACTCCTCACATCTTCCTACGAGCTTTAATTAACCTTCAAACTCCAGGTCTTCGATGACACCGCATACATAAATCGCTGTATCGATGCAGAAACCGCGCTCGCACGAGCACAATCAGAATGTGGCGTAATTCCCTCCCACATCGGATCCGCAATCACCTCCTCAGCAACAGGTTCCAAAATCGACTTCGACCGGCTTCGAAACGAGACTGAGATCGTCGGGTACCCCATATTACCGCTCGTCAGACAACTAGTCTCGATGTGCGATGAAGAAGCGGGAAAATATGTACATTGGGGAGCCACAACTCAGGACATCATGGATATCGCGAGTGTGTTGCAGATGAAGACAGGATTGGATATCGTGGAGAGATTGCTGAAGGATGTGAGCAAGAGTTTGGAGAAGTTGGCGAGCAAATACAAAGATACGCCCATGGCGGGAAGGACGCATTTACAACACGCACTTCCCATTACCTTTGGATACAAGTGCGCGGTCTGGTTATCGAGTCTGCAGAGACATCAAGAAAGGTTACAACAATTGAGACCGAGAGCACTGCTTGTGCAATATGGTGGGGCAGCAGGAACATTGGCTTCCCTAGGAAGTGGTGATGACGGACTAAGAGTGAGGAAGGAGCTTGCGAAAGAGCTGGACTTGGTCAATCCCTCGATAACATGGCACGTTGCACGAGACGGAGTTGCCGAGATTGTGAACTTCCTTGCATTGCTTGGAGGCTCACTCGGCAAACTTGCCCTCGACTTGATCATCATGTCCTCGAACGAATACGGCGAAGTCTCAGAGCCGTTCGTCCCTCATCGAGGAGCTTCTTCGACTATGCCACAAAAACGGAATCCTATCTCCAGCGAGGTCATTCTTGCAGCTTCGAAGATACTGAGGTCAAATGCTGGTCTCGTGCTTGATGGAATGGTCTCGGATTTCGAAAGAGCTTCGGGACCGTGGCATCTGGAATGGGTAGCAATCCCGGAGAGCTTTGTGATTGCAGTTGGTGCATTACACCAGGCAGATTTTGCTCTGTCTGGTCTCGTGGTCAACACTGAGCAGATGGGCAAGAATCTGCGTTCTACCCAAGGCCTTATCGTCGGAGAAGCTGTCATGATGGGGCTAGCTCCTCATTTAGGCAGAGGAAAGGCACATGATGTTGTTTATGAGGCATGCAAGGAGTCAATCGAGGGAGATTCGACTTTGTTCGATTGTCTGATGACGAAGAAAGAGGTTACGTCGTCACTTGATGAAAAGGAGCTCAAAGCACTATGCGATCCATTCAACTACTTAGGAGCTTCACAGCAAATGGTGGATGATGTTCTGGCTATAAAGAACCAATAAAATATTTTCTTGTTCTCTGGTATCTCCATCCCAGCAGTGCCAATCTCCTGGGCCTTTCGTCTGAACTCTCACAATAGGCTATCCGGCAGATGCACAGCCTGTAGAACATTCCATACTCCCAAGATTAGAAAGTACAATATAGCCTCTCCACACTCTCCAGCATATCTACCTCCCCATAAACCAATATTTGTGACCGTAAACGCCACCAATCCACGAACCCTCATCCACATAAGCTGATTTCGATTCTCGTCCTCCCCACCACTTAGAAAATTTCTAACATCAGGAGCAATACCCGTTACTACTTCCCGGTTGCACGCTTCCGGTAATCCTAGGGGATGGTATGGTGCCGTGGGGCTTATCAAAAGTCGAACCAGAACCCTCAGTACCCCACAATAGACTGCCGCCGCCGCGTTGCCCCACCACCCTATATGAAGTACTAGCGCACAGCTCTCATATCAAGCTCCATTTCAGAGAGAGCAGAGACGACAACATCTAGAAACGGAGCTTTCAATCATTCAACATTTTGAAGTTCTCACTCTTCACTGCGTGAGGAGAGAAAGAAACCATGGCGTCAACAACCGAAGAAAATGGCTATGTAGTCCTGCCCCGCCATCCAGCCTCGGACCCAGAAAAGGTATTCCACTACACGGATCTCCAACGTTCGAAACCGACTCGGGAGAATGATCCTTATGAGTACCTTCAAGGATGGGGGAATAGACATCAGTCGGAAGTGATTCCGGGGACTTTACCTGCTGGCCAGAATAATCCCCAAGAAGTGCGGTTCGGACTATACACCGAGGGGATCACATATTCAGCCTTTGCAGCTCCAAGACATGCGAATATGAGTACATACATGTATAGAGTCCGGCCGGCTGCTGCTCATAGTGAGTTTCTCTCCCCCAGCTCCTTCACTTCTCAGACTAACCCCGGAAAAGATGGATATGTCCCTCTCACAACCACCTCGGACATCGAAAATTGTTTCCTCTCCCTCAACCCCAAAATCGACACGCTCCCCGAACAAGCAGAATGGACCCCCTTCCCCATCCCACCGGCCTCCCAACCCACAGACTTCGCCGACGGCCTGCACACCCTCTGCGGCTCCGGCGACCCCAACATCCGCGAAGGCATCGCACTGTACATCTACACGATCAACTCCTCCATGCCCGGCAAAGCGTTCTGCAACAACGACGGCGACTTCCTGCTCTGTGCACAGCTCGGCTCTCTGAACATCCAAACCGAGTTCGGACTCCTGTTCCTGCAGCCTGGTGAAATTTTCGTGGTCCAGCGCGGCGTGAGGTTCGCTATCAATCTCGCACCAGGGACCACGGAGGCAAGGGGGTATGTCACCGAAGTCTGGGGCAGCAGCTGGGAGTTGCCGGATTTAGGACCAATCGGCGGACACGGCTTAGCTAACCCGAGGGATTTCCTGTATCCAGTAGCGTACATGGACGAAGAATTGCACGTGGATTTCGAGATTGTGTGTAAATTGAACGGAAAGCTGGTGGGTATCAAGCAGGACCATAGTCCGTTTGATCTGGTGGCTTGGCATGGGAATGTTGTTCCTTACAAGGTGAGTTTCTTGCTTGCCCCTTTTCTGCTAAGCGAGGAAAGTTTACTGACCGGAGGAAAAGTACGACCTTACCAAATTCTCCTCACAAAACAGTACTTCGATTGACCACACTGATCCGTCCATTAACACTGTCCTCACGGCCCGATCTCGAGACTCGCATACTCCTTTGGCTGATTTCCTCTGGTTCGGACCACGCTGGGATGTAGCATCGAACACATTCCGTCTCCCGTATTTCCACCGCAATTCTGCGTCTGAATTTCTAGCGAGTCTTTACGGCAATGGCCTTGGAAGAAGTGATGATTTCCAGCCTGGTGGAGGCAGTTTTGAGGGTGGTCATACACCGCACGGTGGTTTTAGTGATGGGTATGTGAATGAGATGAGGATCCAGACCAATATGCCAAGAAGGATACTTGAGAGTGAGTTTGCCCCTTTGAAAAGGAAAGAAAGATGATAGCTGATGATGAGAATAGATCAAATGACGATAATGATTGAATCCTCGCGCACTTTCCTCTTTACTGAGTATGCGCGCACGGGTTGTGGAACACTGCACACGCAAGGCACTGATCCTAGGGCTTGGGATAAACTACCCGTAGGTCTTCCATCAATCGACATTATGGACTTCGAGGGAAGATATCAGGAACTAACATATCCATCAGGATAAATTCTCCACCTACCCCGGCATAAAGGACCTCCTCGCACGTGTAAAAGAAGACAAAGCATCCGCGAAAGAGAGATTGGAATACTATCACGACCCCGCTATTGGCCGCTTCAATTCGTAAATTCTTCTGTTGCTCACTTGAGCCTTCATTTGCATTCTGTAGGGAATATTTACTTGGAGTTATCTTGGTTTCTCTTCGTCACATGAGCAGGAAAGATGAGAGGATTGAAGAACAGGAAGAGAATGATTATTGAAACTTTGTATTCATCCCAGAAGACACACAAACATGAATATCATAACGATGATGAATTTTGAGGCCCCGCTTCATCAGCTTCCAAGTCAAACGCCGATCCCATCCCGTGACCGTGCCCGTAAAGAGACCCATTCCATTAATAAAATGACAGACAGACGATCATTAACCCGCCATCTCAACATCGACAAGCGCGTCACTCATGATTCTCAAAACTCTCGAGAACTGACTAATCCTCACCCTCCAGCGTCCGATATCCTCCAACAACCTCGCGTAATCCAGCAAGATCCTCCTTGCCGCTTCATATCCGGGGGAATGCATCACACCGTCAAAACAGATACCTCCTCCATTTCTAATGAAATTCACTGCCGCATCATGAGTAACTTCGTTGTCCGCGGTAGAAGTAGAAGCAAGTCCCTCATCCCCAACCGCAGCCCAATCAACATCGTCGATAAGATCAAACCCTTGGTTCATCTTTCCATTACTCTCGCTTTCAGGCGGGACCATGAAGACATACAATCCCAGAATGAGAGCTGAAAGGAACAGACCAGATGAAGCATGGAAAGGATCTCCATCACTAGCTCTCCTGTTGCTCATCAACTTGAACGTTTGAGCAGCATGCAAACATGCTCTTCTCGCACTAGTTGTCTGAGTCCAGCGAGCAATATCATCCAGCGCTTGTCTTGCCGCTGGAGCGCCCGCACAACCGGCGCCCATCTCAAACAAGCGAATGTCGGAGGTGAGCATTATGCACATGTTGTGCCAGAGGACGATACAATTCGGGTTCATGGTAGTGAGAGGACTAGAGTAAGATCTCATTACTTGGACGACGAGATTCTTGGTTCGTCGTGCGGAGGGATCGGATTCGTAGCTGAGGCAAGGAACGAAGGATTGGTCTATTGCGCGACGAGAGGTTCCTGAGAGGATGCGATGGAAGTCTTGAGATATTCGGAGGCGGATAATGGAAAGGATGCAGTGCATTCCGAGGGGTTCAAGTGTTGATGATACTTCGGGGAGGGTGAGTGTGTCGCCGGAAAGGGAGATGGTTGGCATGGTTAGTTGGTTTGTGGACGCAAGATGAGCCCATCGTTGGGCGGTAGGTGCTTGGAAGAGGGCGGCGTCACAGGGTAGGATGACTTGAATGTCTTCGGTTCGGAGGATGGGAGAAGTGTGGAGCATTGCTGAGTACCAGGTATCGACCATTGTGAGGGATAAAATAAGGCTGGGCATGTTAGCAAAAGTTCTTTGATTGGAAATGGTGATCTTACCGCTTTGCACATTCAATTCTACTCCATGCTTTCCATCGAGCATCTAGATCTGTGATCTGGCTGAAGAATGCATCGGTCAAAGGTTGACCACCATTCGAATTGAACAATCCGTTCTTTTGAGCAGTCTTGATCTAAAGTTAGAAAACAATCTTCCTGAATGAGAGAAGACTTACGATAATGACATTTGTATACAACATCTGGCATTGAGCTTGATGAGACTTTTGCTGGGTTCGTCAGACACATCCAAATACAGGAAAGAATAAACGTACGCCAGTCATTTCAGTCAAATTCAAGATAAGAACAGCACTTGCTAGACTTGACATCTGATCTATTCGACTTCCTTCTACACCCGATGCAGGAATGAGCTCAGCAGATACTTGCTCTAAAGCTTTCTAAATCAAAAAATCAGTATCGTCTCGTTTCCCGTTATTGTAGAGCATACTGAAAATGTCTGTCGCACAAACGCAGTTGCGCCTTTCGTCTGCAGTATTGTCAAACCAATAAGGCACATAATAAATAGAATCGATGTCGGTGCGGTTTTCGGACAAAATGTGGGAGTGTGAATAAAAGGCATCAATGGATGGAATTGGCGGAAGTACAGATCCAGTCCAATATCGAAAATCTCTGCAGGAGGAAAGTTGGTAGTGATCAAACCATCACCCATGACCGATGGTGCTTGGCCAGTCGATCTGGTATCGGATGGCGAGGAATAATTCTCAGGAGAGCTGAATGCTGCTGGTCCGGAATCTCGAGCTGAATGATTGATGGTGACAAACATCTTCTGTAACCGCTCTCTGCAATCCTCGTCCAATCCCCATCGTGAGCCGCATTGTCGATTTTGCTCTATTGCTTCTGGTGAGAGATTGCTATTCGAAAATAGATTATCTTCCGTCTTCATCACTGCATCCCACCACAAGGTAGGCATCAGACGAAGCGGGTTGCTATGACGAATTGGCCAACATCTTTCAACTTTGGCGAATCTCTCCGTTGGGATCAATGTTGACGGAGAACTGGCATTTCGCACAGAATGTCCTTCAGAAGTTATAGCCGACCCTCGCCGTCCGATCGAAGAAGGCGGGGCTCCATTGTGCTGACTCTGGCTATACTCGGGCATGTTTCCTGGTTGAAGATGCGATTCCAAGTCGAATTGATCAAACCAGGTCTGGAGATCCTGTGGCATAATCGCTACGTCGGGGGCTATTCCGCCCATGTCTGGGGTCATTTGATCGTGCATTCCATTCAATCTCCCAGCATATATATCATGTTCGAAACTGAATCTTGAAGCCGTATTCGGCGATGGTCCAAGATTCTGAAAGCTTGGATCTGGTTGCACTGGTCTTGCATCAAACCCAACTTCGCCATGTGAGGGGTGCGAACCATTCGAAATCTCCATATTCCAGGTTGGCGAACCACTCATTTCCGGTAGAGCAGCATTTGCTGAATCTCCCATAACCGCATCCATTGTTCCGTTCCCCCATTTCTGTTGTGAAGCTAGTTGCGCGAGGTGATCTAGTCCGGACGGTACTGAATGCGAGGATCTTCGTTCAACATGATCTTCGAGAGGGCCTTCAAGTGCGGGGTCGATGACTGACGGCGATGGGATGTATTCCTGTCGCTGATGCACATCTTGGGGTATTTGCTCATGTATGGAAGGAAGGCTTGGAGGTCGATTCGGATCGTGAGGAGGCGCGCCGTTTACTTCGATGAAATCTCCTTCTGAAGAGCTCTTTTCAATCTCTTCGCCAGCAATCTGGGGGTGATTTTTCAAATGCCGTATCAAGACATCACTTTGACATGTTAGCTTCTGTTCCGTCTCGTTGGCAGAATTGAGTTTAGAATGTAGGATAGAACTACACACCTTCTGGAGAAACTCTTGTTGCAGCGAGGACAGGTATATGGTCGTTCGCCAGTATCTATGATTCGGATGTTAGCAACCCAGCATCATGGCGGCGCATTAAACCAAACAACACTCCACAGCAACATCAATTGGGATTGACCACACTGGGACCAACGTACGAGATCTCTGGTGACGCTTCAAATGCTCTGCTTTGGAAAACCTCCGTTCACAATATCGACATTTCTTAGGTAGCATACCCCTGGGCTCTGGTCGCCGTTCGTGCCCTGGACTGGTCGGCATAGCCTGTTCTTGTTCGCAACAAAACGGACGTCTCTCTCGGTCGTGTGGGGCCAACACTCTTTCACGCTGCGGAAGCTTCTTCCCACTTTCGAGACACTGCTACGGCTGTGCCCATGACACAGCACGCACACATGGGAGCGAGGAAGGAGAATGGGGAGCAGGCCAACGGGGAGGTACGATGAGATAAGACTCGGCTGATGTGTAAGGTGACGATGTGTTGCGTTGCGGTTGCGGGAGGATGGAAATGGAAAATGTAAGTATTTGGGATCTTTCACAGATGTATGTCAGGAGGACTGAAAAAGGATGGGGGGGGGATCTGATTGCCTGCAGCCAGCAGCAGCACCGGCCGAGTTTAACTTTGGCGTGCAGTGCAGTGCAGTGCAGTAATAATTTCAGTGTTCCAGTCTAGCTTAGGCTTAGGCGTGTCGTAGCGGTTCAGCCGTGCGAAGCGACCCACTTGGCAGCGTTGCACGCGCCTCTTTCCCCATAATCAAAGCGGGGGAGGAAGCCAAAGGAGGGGTAAGAAAGGGAAGGGAAGGGAAGGGAAGGGAAGGAGGCAAAGGAAGGGCACACCAGGGCAGGGGAAGGAGAGCAGATGAAGAAGTTGGGGGAGAGGGGAGAGGGGAGAGGGGAGGGGTCAGGGATTCGCAGGGTAGGTAACTTGGCAAGGAAGAGAGAGACCTGGCATTGTAAATTTACTGTACCGGTACTGTATGATGGACAGAAGGATTGAGGAGGCAGTGAGGAGGAAATGAATCAGTAAGAACATACGGATAGCCATACAGTGACTCACTTACACGGGTTGAACAAGAATAGAAGGACTGGTTACATTCAACAGATGAATGCTTCATTCCATTCATCGGACGGATAATAATGATAGTCATCCATCGATCCAAACATCCAAAGACCATTGCAATTAATTGCCGAAGTGAAACATCCTCACCTCTCCAACTACTTGTCCAGACGCTCTCACACCACATGTTCGCACTCTACCCAAAACTACCTCGCCATGCAGTTCAATATGCACTAATGTTACGCCTTCCCAGGATCTGGATTGTTCGTGTCCTGTCAGCTTGGTTTTAATCATGTCTGGTCTGGAAGCGATCGGGACTTTTATTCAGCACTATCAAGACCCTGCGCCATACTTACTGTACAGTATCGGCTCGCACTCGGCTGAAGATGTTGTTGAGCCGACGGTGTGAAGCTTCCAGTGAGGCCAAGTGAAGCCTGTACTTGTTCCAGAAAGAGCTTGCTACCCTCCTTGACTTCCCTGTCTTCCATTCCTGTTCAGGGATCATCCAGTCAAGTTTCAATGCGGCCGTGTGCTCGACAGCCACCGCCCAGTCATTTGACGGTGATTGTCAATTCGGCTCGAGTCAGCATAGATCAACTTCTCCTTACCAACTCCCCTTTGAGCGGGTCTGGGGTACAAACGGTGTAACATAACCCCGTCCTTGTGTCCCCAACGATGTCTTTCAATCTCCACTACTCTCCGCCACCCCAGATCATTGTCCTCCCCCATACAGGTCTAATACTTGTACGGGGAATATTGGCTCACGGCGAGGTTGGTCCAATCGGAATGATCGGGAGCTTGAGTCGTTGCAATCATGCCTCGTCTCCCTGAATTGCCAACAACGGTGGCCGCTGCCGCAACGCTGTTCACCGTTGGAGCATATCTCAATGCGAAGCTCGGAATCGGATACGATTTAAGACGTTTGAGACATCAGAAAGAAGCCACGGCTAGGATCGCGGAAAGTTACCAGAAATTTGGGTCCGATATATCATTGTATCAATACCTAGAATTTGCAGACCAAGATGCAGATGCCATTTGGTTTGAAGGCAAGACGATAAACTACAGAGATCTCAAAGCAAGTAGGTGGCATTCGTTCTCGACAACATAGGACGGATCTCTGAGCGTATTCAATTGACCCTTCTCAGAGGTCGATGCACTTGCTCAATACTTGTCTTATCATGGGGTTCGAGCTGGCCAAGTCGTTGGCATCTTGGCCACGAACTCTCCTGAGATGGGAATCTTGATGTGTGCCATCTCAAAGCTTGGAGCAATATCTGGAATGCTGAACACAGCACTGAAAAGTAAGAGTGAAATCCAGACATCGACTTCAGTGCTGATATATCGCAGGTGATACTCTCTCACATTGTATCAAAGTTGCAAATACGAACATCGTGGTCGCAACACCGGATCTCGTTGCAAATGTCCCATCAACAATCGGATCAGAGCCATTGAAGATATTCTCTCTCAATCTAGGCTACGTCGGGCCATTCCTCACCGAAAGAACCCCAGGTATCTCATTCACAATCATCGAACCAAACAACCTTACGAATCTTCCTCCCATTGCCTCTGGAACAGGAAACCCCACCGACTTCTACCTCCTGGTCTTCACCTCCGGTACAACAGGTAAACCAAAAGCCGTCCAACTCCCCAAAGCCTACCTGTATGGCCTCGCCATGAAATCGCCCCTCGACCTCGAAAACCCCAAAAAGTACTTCCCAATCCGCACCTACTCCTGCCTCCCGCTATTCCACGCCACCGCTCTCCTCGGTTTTGTGTCAGCAATGGGAAATTCCTCTTGTTTCTGTATATCCCGTAAATTTTCGGCCTCAAACTTCTCCCGAGAGCTGTTCGAAAGTAAAGCTAACCGCATGCTCTACGTCGGCGAAGTCTGTCGCTACCTTCTGGCTGCTCCAAAATCAGAATTCGACCGCAAACACAATTGCATCGTGGCGGTAGGAAATGGACTTCAGAAAGACGTGTGGATACGCTTCCAAGAACGTTTTGGAATTCAGGAAATTAGAGAGATTTATCGATCTAGCGAAGGTTTGTATAAATTCGACAATTTCTACGGAGGTGCGCAAGCAGCTGGCAAAGTCGGCTATGCGGGCCTCATTGGCAGGATATTAGAAGATGATACATTTCTACTTAAATTCTCGCAAGACTCGCAAGATCTGTATCGAGATCCTAGGACGGGATTCTGTGTTTTGGCAAAAGATGGGGAGCCGGGCGAAGCGGTGGCGCGAATTAGGACAATGCAGGGCTATCCGGCGTATCATGGTGATAAGGAAGCTACAGAAAAGAAATTCGCGAGAGATGTTTTCAAGAAGGGAGATTTGTTTCAGCGAAGTGGAGATCTTTTGGTTAGGGATGAGGATGGATGGGTCAGATTTTATGAAAGAATAGGAGAGACGTTTAGGTGGAAAGGGGAGAATGTTAGTACTGGAGAAGTGAAAGGCTTCATGTTGGAATTGCCGAACGTGAATGATGTTGTTGTGTATGGGACAAAATTGGAAGGGTATGCTGCTCCTTTTCCCTTCTCTCAATCTCTGATACAGAATATGATAGCTATGACGGCCAAGTCGGAACCGCCTCGATCGTCCTGCAAGAGCCGAACGCAGCTGCAGAAGCGTCTTATTTGGAAGAGCTTTATCTGCACCTACGATCTCGCGGCCTACCCGAATACGCCATCCCGCGCTTGATTCGCTTTACTAAACAGTAAGTCCGTTTCTTTGCACACATGGCCACCCGTCCCCATTCTAGAGCTCGGATCTCGAAAGGTCTGGAACTTCACTAACAGTAATCCGCAGAATCGACACAGGCGCAACATTCAAACACGCAAAAGAGGTGCTCAAACTTCGACCTTGGGCTCCAGACCAAGTGATCGACGATCATCTCTATTGGCTCGACAATGGCGTCTACAAGCCTTTGGACATGGAGTCTTGGAGTGGGATTCAAAGGGCGAGAGCTAAGCTATGAATTCTATGTGACTTCTGGGTTACTTTTCGACTCGTATCAAACAAGCACATCTTCATCAAAGAATTGTCTTCCGGTCACAATTTTTCTCTGCATCAAAACCAACATCTCATTTCCACCACAAGAATTACAGATTAGCTTTGGTAGTATCCCAACTCGTCTCCCCATTCATCAAGAAATCCTGTCCCTTCTTCAACACCTCACTGTTTTCCACCCCAAGCCACTCAGGCTCTAATCTATCATAATTATCTTCAATCTCGTAACTTTCTCCTCCAGAAACAAAGAGTATTTTGCCCCAGAAAGGAGTTTTTGCTCCTGAGTGCGTTTTCCGAGATGTAGACAAGGTATGAGTATCATACTTCGCCTTCGCTCGATTCGCTGTTGCGCAGATGACTATTGCTCTCGCTACATCTTCTGGTTTATTTTCTGGGAGTCCTAGATCTCGCCAACCTGATTCGATGCCTTTGACCATCCCAGTTTCTATTTTCCGTCAATTCACACTCCAAGTAAACTGCGAGGGAAAGGATACTCACTAGTCATCCAAGGACAAACACCATTAACCCTAATCCCCTCCCTCGCAACCTGAACTCTCAACCCCCTCAAAATCCCCAAAACACCATGTTTACTCGCCGTATAAACCGTCAACCCGGTACTCTCCTTGAACCCCGCAATACTAGACACCAACACCAGATCCCCTCCTTCCTTTCCATTCTTCCTTAGATAATGACATCCGATCCGTGTCGTGTACAGGGCGCCTCTGAGATTGACGTCTATTTCCCTTGTCGAGAACTCTTTTTCTACGTCTTGGTCGGCTTCGAATGGATCTTGAGGGATTGAGATCCCGGCGTTGGCTACTACGATGTCTATCCGTCCCCAGGTTGAGTGGGCAAGTTTGAAGAGCGAGAGTTGGGAGGTGTAGGAACTGGTGTCGCAGTGTTGGAAGAGGATTCTATCTGAGGAAAAGGAATTGGCTAGTTGTTGGCCGAGAGAGGTGGCGATGTCGCCGAATGCGATTTTGGCTCCTGCTTCTGGGGGATTGTTAATTGAGTGGAATGGAAGGGGAGGGATAGGTAGTTACGGTGGAATTGCTTGACGGCTTCGAGACCGATGCCTGTTGCTCCTCCTGTGAGAACGACGATTTTGTCTTTTAGGGTACTGAGTAAGTCCGGGTTGAATGTTATTTGCGCCATTGTATTCCTTTCCTCCTTTTCACTATTACTCAATCTTCTGGCAAAAAGATAGATTTCTTTTCACCAAGGATGTTGTAAACGATTGGAGCTGGAGCTTAAAGCAAACAAATCTACCTCACTTCTCCCCACCACGTCCCAAGATCCGATTCCATCTCATCAACCCCCCTGCCCACATCACATCCTCCCACAAGGCAAGCCACGTTCGGAAAACCTTCCGCTCGCAGCATCCCGTCTTCAGATACGCAGCTCCCTCCCCGGAACGCGGGGAGGAGGAAAGTGCGGGGTACTCCACGACTCACCTCAAACTCATGTGGGGTTTCCTGAGCGAATGCGATGTGGGACTCACAGATGACGGGGAGGAAAGAAAGGGTTCGGAGGCGCGCTTCCTGGATGGGAGCTTAGGGCGATCGTACCATGCTGCCCTGCAGGATAGCTGTGGCGGGGTCCTAGGTGGGAAGCTTTAATTTCTGGGAAAGAGGAATAATCGTCTTTGGAGATTTAAGCTTCGTTTTATCGAAAGGAAGATTGAAACTCTGATTTTCGGGATTGTGATTAATCTTGCGTTGATTGAAGCTTAGAAAGTGAGAATAGTGAAGGTTGACCATGCATGTACGTTTCTGCCACCTCAATCCCACCCTGAGAGCATATGAGAGCAAAATAAAATTAACAACCACCCCTCACAGGTAATCATCGTCGGCGCCGGCCCCAGCGGTCTCGTCCTCGCCCTCCTCCTCGCAAAAGCCAACATCCGCACCACGCTCCTCGACTCCGCGTCCACAATCGACGACCGCCCGCGAGCAGCTCACTATGCTCCCTCCGCGATCCAAGTCATGGCCCGCGCCGGCGTGCTTGAGGATATCCGCCGCGATGGTTTCATACCTATGAACATGATGTGGCGGAACGTCAAGGGCGAACCGATCACGGGGATCCCGAAAGTGAGCCAGCCGTGGAGCCCGGAGGCTATGACGGTGTTGCCTTTGAATATGTTGGGGAAGGTGCTGCTGGAGCATTGTGAGAAGGAGGAGAGGATTGAGATTAAGTGGAATTGTAAGGTTGTGAGCGTGGGGAGTGATGCTGGGAAGGCGTGGGCTGTTGCTGAGGTGGGGAGGGAGTTTGAGAAGAGGGAGGAGAGATATGAGGGTGATTATATCTGCGGGTGCGATGGGGCGAATAGTCAGGTTCGACGGACGTTGTTTGGGAATGAGTTTCCAGGAAATACTTGGGATGCGCAGATTATTGCTACAAACGTTCGTTTAAACTCAACTGAAGATAAGGACAAAAAGCAGCTAAGAAGAAAAACAGGTCTATTATCCCTTCGAAAAATTCGGCTACGATGACATCAACTTCATTATCGACAACGAGGACTATTATATGGCAGCAAAGATCACTAATGATGGTCTCTGGCGTGTTTCCTATGGCGAAGACACAAAACATACACTCGATCAGGTAGTTGCCAATCAACCAGCAAAATACGAACGCATGCTTCCTGGACACCCAAAGCCTGGTGACTACAAACTCCTCAACGTTGGCCCTTACAGAATTCACCAACGCTGCGCTCCAAGCTTTCGCGTAGGCAGGATCTTACTTGCTGCCGATGCTGCACATCTCTGTAATCCTTTCGGCGGACTCGGGTTAACGGGAGGATTGGTCGATGTTGGAGGACTAGCAGAATGTCTAGAAGGCATGGAAAAGGGAGTTGCAGATGAGAGTATCTTGAATAAGTATGACGAGATTCGGAGGCAGATGTGGCATGATGTTATCAATCCCGTTAGTAGTAGCAATTTCTTGCGGGTTAGTGCAACAGATCCCGAGACTGCGACTGTGAAGGATGAGTTTTTGAAGATGGTGGATGAGGCGAGTAGGGATCAGAAGGTTAGGGATGAGTTGGATAAGGTGAGTTGAACTTCTTTGATGTGAATGAGACTAATGATGATACAGGCTATGTACGCGATATGTCATGATTTCAAGCAGTATTGGAAGACGCCGGGAAATAGGGTGGAAGCGAAGCTGTAAGAGTAACTTTGAATGCATATTCGTATCTAGACAACTATCATCAAAGTGTCAAGTAATCCATTTGGCTTCCCCTGGCGTGCGACTGCAGAAGCTATGATGCCAGAAAAACAGAAGAGATGGAGGAAAGGACGAATCAAGAGACACCGAACTATCTGACCAACATATGCGGCCGTATCCGCATGTCCAACTCAATGGTATCTCACCTGCAGCACAACCAATAATGCATGCTTGTTTATCAGCACCGCAGTAAAAAGTTATTTGTTTTCAGATGCAACGCATTCGCAATCTCAATGAATCAGGTCAAGAGCCATGCTTTCAATTATAAGGAACAGAGAAGTCGAAGGGATCTACCCTTCTTAACAATTTGCGGATCCGTCAATCTGACCAAGACAACCAAATCCAACGTGCAGTCATCACCCCTGTTCTCTCAAGCAGCCATAACCTGTCCAGCAGTCTTCCTATGCACGCGGCCCAACCAAGTCCTGCTCGTCAACACCCTGATCTTCTTCCCAAGGAACACAAATATGAAGACCGCCAAATTATTCGCCAACAGCACCGCCACGAAAATGCCTCCAATAACCACCGCATACCCTCTCTGCAGAATCCAATCCAGTAGGTAAAGACCCATGCCGAAGCTAATTGCCTGCTTACCCAGATTCATAGCAATCAGCATCTCCGACGTATTAGCGGTGTAGGAATCGACTGCGTATGCCAGCGTGAAACTGAAGTAGAAGTACGCGCTCCAATTTACCATGGCAACACCAGCGAAGTAGCCCATCCAGTGGAGGTTGCGTTGGGCGGTCAAGGCGTAGAGCAGCAGGCCAGCAGGGGCGATGAGCATGGGGATGAAGATAACCCAGAGACGCATTTCGGCTTCTCGGATGCCGTTGTTCTTCCGTGTGAGGTACGCTGCCAGACGATCGGATGTGAAGGTCAAGGGGATGGCGAGGATATAACCGACTGCATTACCAACGGCAATCAAGCCGGAACTGGTCTGTGACCAATTGTAAGGCGGTGCGACAATTTTAATAGGGAATGTATAGTTGAAGGCCAGAGCTCCGAGACCAATGTAGATACCTATGATGTGAGCTTGCGAAAATCAAAAGAAGGAAGAGTGCATACCATAAGTGCTGATGACCCAGAAGACAGCTGGAACGAAAAAGTACGAAAAAGGCCGAATCATAGTCAGGAAGAATTGAGCATCATGATCAATCTTGCCCCACGGTTTGAGCGTTGACAAGTAGGATTTTCGAGCTGGGATATAAGCTGGGCGACTTTCTCGTTGCTCAACCGTTCCTCCTTTGCCTTCATCCGAGACCTCGTCAGCACTGGGAGCTTGAGAAACTCGTAGCTTGCGGTGATATGTCGTCTCTTCCACAAACAAGAAGGCAAGGACGAATAGAGCACCAGCAAAAGCGATCTCGACGTAGAAGAATAAACGCCATGAGTATCCTCCAGCGAGCATGTATCCGGCGTAGAGAGGTCCAGTAGCTCCAAGACAGAGACAGACGGTGTAGTAACCTAGACGATTGCCACGCTCGTGAAGGAAGAAGATATCATTGACGAGTTGTACAGGGAGTGCTTCACAGACGCCGGATCCGAGACCGTGGAATACACGAGCGACCATCAAGCCATTGAAGCTCGTTGCTCGAGAAGCCCCTATCAGACCTGCTAAGAACTTTTGAAATCAGTTACGTTTCTCGTAAGAATCTTGGAGGACTTACACAGAGCATAGATAGCAGCATGACAGGTCGTCTACCGATCTTCAAGTAAAGCGGAACGAGGAGAAGTGAGCCTGGAAAGCATTAGATAGATGTTCGAACAAAGGTTGGGTTCGTCACTGACCAAAACCAAAGGCAAGATTTGCGTACGAGATCAAACCAGACGAAACGCCAGGCGTGACTTTGAACTCCTCGGCCCAGATCTCGATATAAACTGCGGGTCCAAGTAACGCAGAGTTGCCCAAAAAAGAATAAAGAGAACAGATGACAAGAATCATCGTCTTCTTCCAATTCGGCCACTGAATCAAGTTAGCATCTTGTCATACGTGGCTGAATGAAGATATACTTGTAGAGGATCATTCGGATCATCGGCTGGAACAGGGAAAAGAGCTTGTCCGTAGGCTGTATCGTCACCCTCTATTCGTAGCCATTGTCAGAATATGTTAACAACGATGTAAAAGAATCATTCCTACCGATGGCCCTCAGGTTTACTGTGCCGGGAATATCTTCTTCGTGTGCGTGGCTGCGGCGAAGTGTCCATCAGCAATCTATTCGCCACTTCCCCGAATTCGCTCTCAACATACCTGTGCACCAAATGCCTCACTTGATGTTGCTCGACCTTCAAATCTGCCATGATAGAAACCTTTTCAGACACAATAGCTAAGCAACGGAACAAGCGCAACTGAAGAAAGAGAAGACGTCGTTAAGATAGCAGATCTCCCTCCATAAGTCCTTTGGCTCTGAACTCAAATGGCTCGTCCAGCAAACCACCAAGCCTCTTCAGCAGCGCCTTTCCAGAAGGTGGGGCCCCAGTCACTTCACCCCAGTTCTCGCCCCCTACCCCAGACATCCACGGCATGCTAGCCTACAATGGGTTCCAACCAATCTGCCGATCGAGAGATATCCCTGTATATTACTGCTAGCTCGCATAATCCCTTGAATGTGACAACTGTCTGGCTTGCCAAGTCGAGCTAGGGATCTGCCCTCGAGAAATGGCTTTCTCCCCGAGCCACGTGTCGAATAGCGGGATAGATTTTCAGGGCGTTTCCCCTGCCCCACACAGGACGGACATTGGCTAGAAGATGAAGCTGAAAATATCTGAGTAATTGGGAAGATTGTGGCGCTGGTACTTGACTCAATCGAAGGCTGGCGTCCCACGCCTTCTCGTCCCAGGACCTCGTTCTCGGGCTACCATATCTCGAACTAAGGCGAGGCTCATGAGATCTGGACTCAGGCTATATTAGACAAAAATCTGTGCGGCTTGCTAGAACTTTTGCCGCGTATATAAAGTTATGTCGTGCATCGAAACAACAATAGTTTCAGTGGACCAAACTCTATTTCTAATTTGAACTTTGCAGCCAAGCGATGATCTTGGTTCCTTCTCGCAAACCATTCCTTCATGGAAGAACTCTAATATATGCCGAAAAGTAAATTGTTTGCAATAGGTTGCTGAAAATGTGGCGGCGATGCAGGGTACCTGAACGTCCCACACCACAATAGCAGTTGAAAGTTCATACAGTGTTCCCAGAAACATCTTCAACCTCATTGCTGAGAATACCTCCTTCCTTTTCGATGCGCACGCCGCTTTTCTCCTGCATGTCAAATGCAGCTTCATCCTTGATCGTGCATTGAAAAGACTTGAACTTCCAAGCTGGGGTTCGGGCGTTGAAGATCTCATCCCATTCTTCGAGCGAGCGACCTTTCATTTCTGGCATGAAGAAAAAGAAGAAGACGATGCAGAGCGCATTCGAACCGGCCCAGATGTATCCGTATTTCGGGCCCTGGAATAGTCAGTGAGGTTCAAAAAGTCTTCTGACGATAGACATACCCAGTTCAGATCTTGCGGGTTAATGAAATATGGGCTGCAGAAGCCAACGAGCCAGGCGAGAATGTACCCAAGTGAGGTAGCAGTACCGACTGTCCACGCCCTCAAGCGAGAGCTCACCAGTTCAGTTGCAACAGGGTAGCTTGCTGCTCCAACGCAGCCGTTGTAGAAGAAATAGAAGATTGCTGTGAATGCGACCAGAACCTGACCTGTCGTTGTTGTCGTTGGCTTGATAGTATACGCAATCGCACTAGCCAGTTGAGATAATCCGCAAACTGTAGCTCCAAGAATGAGGATTGATCGACGCCCAAATATGTGCCGAATAGCATACATGCCAACGTTGACGCCGACGAAGCCGATACAAGTATTCATGATGGAGAACTGGAAGCTTTTGGTGATGCCCGCGATTCCAAAGAAATAAGTTTGATATCCGATCAAGAACCAAACTCCAGAAGCCGTTTGACATGCTATCATCCCGTAACATAGTAGTGTGCGCCGAAGATCAGTTCCTGAGATGAAGTCAATTTCGCTGTCGTCCAAGTTGTTGTCAACATTACCTCTAAACATGTCGAGGAAGTCAATGCTCTTTGCCAAATTCTTCTCTTCTTCAACACCACGGACCATTTCTGCCCATTCAAGCTCAATGTATTTGCTCTCAACAGAGTTTCCTCTAAGAGTCTCTAGTGCTTTCCGTGCCTGTTGGTCTCGTCCCTTGTGAAGAAGCCATCTCGGACTCTCCGGAACAAAGAACAGTACTATGGTGAGCACTGTTGGAACAATGTATAGACATCCAAGAGGGATCTGATACGATGCTTTGTCCAAACGCACTCTAGTGAAGTTATCCACGACAGCTCCGAGTATCGAGCCGATATTCACCCCTGAATAAGCGAGTCAGCTTTTCAGAATCATCACATTGAAAGGCAAAGTGTTAAGTAAAGTACAAAATACTTACAGTATGCAAAGAGTGCAACCATCACACCACGCAAATGCGCAGGTGAGGCTTCTGCGGTGTAGACGTTGGAAAAGGTTACAAAGAACCCGTTGGCAAGGCCAAGCAGAAGACGCCCAAAGTAAAGGACTCCCTTGCTGGTAGTAGCCATCTGAATTGCAACAGCTACAGCATTAAACGCACAAGCAAGCCATAAAGCTTGCTTTAGTCCGACATAGGCACTGAAAAAGCCTGCGATGAGGGATGAAACGAAAGATCCCAGGGTCAACAGAGAGGTGATCAGTTGCTGCACAGTACTCTGCACAAACTCTCAGCTTAGAACTACTTCAGAATTGCATTACCACTTACATCAATTCCATACCCAAGAGCACTTGTTGGGTCTTCGTAACCGAAAACCTTCAAAAAGCCTGGCATCGCTTGCAGAGCTCCAACTGCTGCCGAATCAACTCCATATTGCATATTTGCTGTTGCAACTAGACAGCAAAGTAGGAGGCATGTTTCGGGATGAGACGACAATACTGAACTCAGATTTAGAGTTTCACGAGGAAGTGATTGGAAATGTCTTCGCCTTGAAATCCTTCAGAGGCTTCGCAACTTGCATCAGTGCCCTCAGGGGTTGTTTCTCTCATTGTCCCACTTTGGTACCGAGTCAGATGGAACAGCGCTACTGGATCCAACGATCCGGGGCCACTGTGGAGGTGAGCGGAGAATTTGTGGTTCCGCTTGTTTTCAGGGAGCGGGTTAAGCAAGCCGCCACGAAATGTCGCTGAGAGCTTTTGAATCTCAGTGCAGAAAACCCCACACTCTGTGTAATTTTATGCAAGAATGGCCCCACATTGTGCTGTTGATTACAGAAACTGATTCTTTACCTGAGGCACAGTCAAGGTGCCCAGGGTAGGATGTCGGTTGTCGGCATGGACGAGGATTCTATCGTGGATGCTTCAGAGATTGCTATAATAGTGCCAAACAGACAATTCTTAGAGTTTCGCGTGTAGACAACTCCTGAAGCTTGAACCTACGCCATCATCATGATCACAGATTCGTTCTCTTCGACAGCAGCATGGATGCAAGTCCAGGCTGCGCTTACCAAGCCAGGCGTGACCGACATCGTACTGGCTCTCGTGGTCCTTGGCGTAGTAGCTCTGGCGGCGGATTATGCACATATGCTGTATCTTCACTATAGAATGGTGAGTGTCGCTATATACATCGTCCATAAATTCAGTTATTGAACAAGTGCCAGCCCCCGGGTCCTCTACCCTGGCCAATTGTTGGAAATACATGGCTGCTTCCCGACAACAAGCCATGGATCTATTTCGAGGAAGTGGCAAAGCAGTATAAAACGCCGCTGATCACCTTCTGGATCGGCCGCAATCCAACAGTCTGGATTTGTGATGCTTGGGCAGCTTCTGAACTTTTGGATAAAAGAGCCGGAATTTATCCCTCGAGGCCTCGAATGGTCGTCTTTGGCGAGCTTGGTCCAGGTCAAACGAACCTCGTGTCCATGTATTATGGCGACCGATGGAGAGTCCATAGGAAGCTAACTCATATTGGAGTTGGACTTCAGCAAGTCCGCAATTACCGGCCCTTTCAGAATGACGAAAGCATGTTGGTTGCTCACAATATCATTAAAACGCCTGAACTGTATGAGAAGCATTTCGAGCGATACGCTGCTAGTGTTGTGTCCATCATTGGTTTTGGAAGGAGAATTTCCGATACCAAAGACCCTATAATTAGTGAAGTGCTCGCTGTGATGCAACGTGCGGCTGAGTTGAACGTACCGGGGAAAACATTCCCAATGCTTATGGAAACGTTCCCAAGTAAGTACTGACCATTTGGATCCGAGCATAGCTGACACAATTGACAGTCTTGGCGAAGTTCCCAAACGCAATTGCGCCCTGGAAGCATGGCCTGGGAGGCAAAAACTCACGAGGAGGCAGCTTCTACTATTCTCTGGCTGAGGAAGCGAGAGACAACCCAGAGCAGCCACAGTCATATGTCAAGAAGATCTTCGAGGAAGCACCAAAGTATGACTTGAGACCAGAAGAGATTGCTGCCTTGACAGGAAACCTCTTCGGAGCCGGTAGTGATACTTCGAGTTCCACTCTCGTGACTTTCGTCCTCGCTTGTTGCGCGTTCCCAGAAGTGTTGCCAAGAGCTTGGGAGGAATTGGATCGTGTGGTCGGGCCAGATAGAAGTCCTTCAATGGACGATGAACACAATCTGCCTTACATTAAAGCATTCGTGAAGGAAGTTTTCCGCTGGAGATCAGTCGCCATCATTGGCGGTCAGCCACATGCTCCCATCCAAGATGACGAGTACAAGGTAAGCCTTCCAAGACAGGAAATGGCCATGGCTAACGATTTCAGGGCTGGCTCATTCCTAAAGGTACTTGGGTACAAGGAAACGTTTGGGCGATACACCACAGTGAAAAGGAGTTCCCAGACCCTGATCGATTCTACCCCGCCAGATATTTGAAAGAGGACCCCCAAAATCGTCCGTTCCCCAATGAAAGAGGTTATATGACCTTCGGCTGGGGCCGTCGCGTCTGCAGCGGTCAAGGTTTGGCTGAGCAAGGAACTTTCATCACCATTGCACGACTCCTTTGGGCCTTCAATATCAGGAAGGCTAGAGGGCCAGACGGCAAGGAAATCCCTGTAGATATATTTGCCTACACGTGAGTATTTTTAACTCACTCGAATAGTAAAACAAGCTGACAGCAGAACAGAAACGGATTGAACATGAGACCAGAACCTTTCAAGTGCCAATTCATTCCGAGATCTCTAGAGATCCGCGCCACGGTCGAGCGAGAAGGAGAGGAGGCTGAGCAGCGTTTGTCGGTTTACGACGGAGAGACAAAGTATCGTTTAAGCCAGTGGTTCACGAAGGCCTGAGCTGAATGGACTTGTGGGCGGACAGACGGATGAGGAGGGGTCGTTGCAAAGTTTGGTCCAGATAGCATTGGTGGAGCCTGTATTGTCGTTTTGTAGATTCTAATTGAAGAAATGAGAAGTCCATAGTAGACTTGACTGCAGGATTACTGCTTGTTGGAATGATGTGGAGATGTTGGACTACAGTAAAGAATGTCTGACTAGCGCGTTTGATGCACGAGACTTCGCGTCAGAAACGCGAACCTCCGGTTTTATGCTCTTCCGCAGAATAAATTCCTTCTCCATCTCAACTCCAACTTCAAAAATGGCAGATTACGGATCAGATCATGCGATATCCAGTACAGACGTCAAGCATCCAGATGGCATGCTTGCATATACAAGCTGGGGTGAACTGGAATTCAAGGGCCATTCTTACGACAAAGGGGTCGCCGACTACCTTCCCCTCCTCGAGCCTCTAAAGACAAAGTGCGGTGCAATTGCGAAGCATCAGCCGAAGAAGCCTCGGGGCCAGCCTGCGATGTGGTGGAAAGCACAATGCATCTTTCGGGGCCTAAATGCGAAGGGATCCATCGCAGATCTGCAGAACACTCTACGCGGCCACGAAGATGATCGAGTATGTGATGCTATTGTACGACTTAGCGAGAAGGCGAAAAAAGACTTCGATGTCAAGGATACAAAGCAGAAGGATCATAATTGGTTAAATACGCTATCTGAAGACGAGAAGGCGCAAAAAGACCCCGAGCGATATTTGAAGGAGAAGTTCAAGCAAGGAGAAAAGAGCAAAGAGATTGTCCAATTTCGAGCATACAGTACAAAATGGTTGCACGAAATTGCTAAGGAACTCGGCCTTGAATGCCGAACCACGAGAGAACCAAGTAGATCGATGTGGTCCGCGGTAGATTATCTGGCGATTGTTGGCCAGGACAAGGAAGTCGTTGAGAAAAAGATACAGTCGATAGATAAGGAATCAGAACGAATGCGGCGTGAGGCAGAGGAAGAACGAGAGAGACAAGAGAAAATCGCCAAAGATAATGAGCGACAGAAAGAGCAAGCTAGAGAGGCTGCTCTGACGAAGTGCAAAGATTGGGATGTGACTGGTATATGGAAGATCGACTGTCCTTCCATCACGAAAACCTATGGAATGGAGGGTAGTGATGAGCTTTCTATGCAGATATTCGTCGAAACGACCAGCAAAGGCGCCCAGATGTTTGCTAAATTCAATTTCGAGATTATCGAAGGGGTGATGCGAGTCGAGAGGCAATCTGTGGAGAAGCCAATATTCAAAGCGAAGGATGCTGCCAAGTCCGCTTCTACGTCGGGAACAAAGCGTCGCCGAGAGCATGATTTAGACGATCAGAGGGATAGATACGATCGCTACAATGACTACGAGGACTATGAGGACGAAGACCGACGGAGTCCTACCCCAGAGGCATTCTCCCTTGGACCAACAAATCAGCCCTCAGCGGAACATCCTACTTGGAACTACAGATACCGAGCCTCAGAGACCGAGGGTGAAATCCAACTTGAGGAAGATAAAAACCTGTATCAAGTCACTTTCCTGGGACCCAAAGGCCGCACATTGAAGGGCACTATTGGTGCGAGCCTGCTCAAGGAATGTTCCTTCACTGGCGTCAAGTTTGAACCTCCCGGAAAGGAAGCTATCGACATCGGACAGGCTTGGGCGGATCTCAGCGAAGCTGCTTATAACAGGGCTAGCTATTCTCGATGGCATTGAATATCTAGAAGTATCGAGTTACCTCTCAGCTGCGGAATCTGCTAACTGCTATTCTTTCATGACCTTGATAATTACATCTGGGGAACTATATTCGATAAAATTGGTATTGTATTTTGGTCTAACAGTTGGAATTTTGTTTTATATTCGATTAGTAGGCATGGCCGCTTTATTTCGGGGCCAGTCACCCTCGGCTTGCCCTCCACCTCAGTTGTGTGAGAAGTCCTGCCCATGAGTAACCTGAGCATACTTAATTGGATACTGATACAAAAACCTTGCCTACTACAGGAAATTACGAACAAACATCCGCTAGCCTTTTAATATGCTGCTTCCTCCCTCTTCATAACCCAATTCGTTACTGCATCAAAGTTCCGACATGTATGCACCTGATCAGTGTCAACGTAACTAGTATTCTTCTCCGGGTGCCATCTTGTTGGTATGGGCGTGAAATCACCAGAACACATGATCCATTGCCGAATATGATCAATGCAATGATACAAGTGCAACTTGCCTCGCTGGACAGGGTAACGATTCGGATCAAGTGTCTGCCGCAGACCTTCCACACAATGAAGAGTATGTAAAACATCCAGACCACCAATGTATCGTCTCTCATTGTTGGGGCCCAGCTCGTAATAATACTTTTGCAGTCCAGCAGGTCCCCAGCTATCGCGAACCTCAACTTCGGTCATGAAAAAGTATCGTTCTAGCTATTTGTTAGTAAAAGCGATATTTGACTGGGGGATAGCCGTACTTTGCAACAATTCGTGCCAGTTTTCATCGATCTCATCGGTGGGTGGCCCGGAGTATACCTTACTTCCTGGCTCCCGCTCCAAGTACGTCTTGCCATTTTCATCGAAATTGAGATTGCCAGTGAAAGTGTATGGACGGAAGGACACTTCAGACCTCGCAGTACCTTATGCAAATTAGAATGTGCAATAGATCAGATCTCTCAAGTCAAGAGCCATACTTAGCTCGGTTGAGAATGCCCCATAATGTGATTCCCTCAACAGAGAATTACGGATGGAGACCTCGAAGGCAATGACTACTGCTAGGAGAAAGAGTAGGGAGAATGTGCTGAAGACCCAAAATCTTGGGACAAGCCATGATTTTGGTGATGGGTTATTCTTCCTACCACAGGCTTCACAGGAATCGGGACTAGATAAGTCATCGTGCTCATGGTAAGAGTCCTTGTCGTCAAGTGTCAGGTATTTCGGTTTGAAAAGTTGAGGCATAGAGGCCATAGTGTACAGACCAGACCAAAGGATATGTGACTGGAAATGCAGCCAGAGTGACAGAAATGGCTGGAGAAAGCCGCTTCACGAGGCTGGCTGGCTTGGTTTGTGAGTCCGGACGTTGGTGGAGTTGTCGTCAGGGATCCTTGAACGAATCTGATGGGTTCGATTCGGAGGAGCTGTACTCATCAGCTTGAACCCATCCCAATCAAGATCTGTGCAAGTGCGGGTGCCCAAAGGCCAGACCTGTAAGCTTATCAGCCGATATGAGCTGTCATGTTGTGTTCTCCACTCTCTGCCTATACAATTAGGGCTTCTTCACTGCAGCAGAATGCAAGGATTTTTGGACTTCTGCACCTGATAAGCATGATCACCGAGGAAATCTCTTTGCAGGAAACATGTTCCTGAATCCTGAGCAGGGTTTACACCCACTCTTGGCATCCGTTATCTTTGTATCTTTGGGTGAGGCAGAGTTGGAGGAGTGGGATCAAACAATTCTTCAAACGTTGGACGCTGCCAGCATACAGCTAGGCGGGATTCTTACTGCAGGCAGCTGTTCTAGACGCCCTAAACATCTCTTTCTGATCTACCGACCAAAACTGAGGCTCGAGTCTCCCCTGCTCACGAGAATACGACGCAGTCAGCAACCCCACTACCCCATAATTATAGGCGAATGTACATAAACGTAAACTGAGCCTCACCCTCGCATGATACACAGGATCCACAACACCTGCAGACTCCAACGGTTATCTAGACAAAACAGCTTCCCCTCCGTACGTACGACATGGGCTGATTTGCCCCTCCACCGCTTGTCAAGTTGCTTGCAAGTGAAACCAGGGTAGCTGACTGTCACAGCAAAAAACTTGAGGAGAGACATGATCGTAGTCTTTTTGCACTCTTCGCAATAGTTCACATTCTCATTTAAAGTCACATACAGTTGTACCTGTATTCAATTTTCCATTATGAAGTTATCACCTCACCAAGAGTACGAGAAAGTTGCAACGAACGATTCTGAAGAATCTCTCGCCGAGTCTCCAAAAAGCACTCGAGGACGTTCCTTTCTGGTTTCCCCTCGAAAGAAAATCATATCATTGATCATTACCTTCACTCTGCTCATTTTGGTTGTGCTGGTGTTCACGACGCAAATAAATAGAGCGCTTTCAGCACCATCATCACGGCATTGCGGAAGATCACGAGAAGAAGCCATCTCACTGGGCTGCTCTTTCGACCAGTTGACGGCAACTTGGTTACCTGCATCTTGTTCTCGCAAGTGGGAAGATGAATTCCTCAATACTTCCGGAATGGGATACTATACGGAGACTCATGCCACAGAACCCGTCGACTTCAGCAAGTTGGAATTCAACACCACCTACCATTCAAATCGTGTACACCATGTCGCTCATTGTCTATACATGTTCTTGCGGTTAGGGGACAAAGATTCGCCACTTGATGGAATGACGTTGGATCCGCACCATCAAAAGCATTGTGTCAGTCTGATCTTGAGAGAGATGGAGTATTCGCCGAGAGCCAATATCGTGAAGGACCCTGGGCACATCAAGCCGGGGACTTGTTGGTAAGTCAATACATTCTGATTTAGTCTACTCCAGAGAGCGGTTTGCTAAATACTGGTAGATGGTCTCACTTGCGAGAGTTGGAATAGGTATTAGCTCAGTGCAAGCTCATGTTTCTATGTACACGAACCATTCTTGTAGGAGCTATAATGGTTTGAGAGTTTGATAGAAATGTACTTAGAATTGAAAATCATCTTCTGAAAGCATCACACCATGTTTATAAGTTTCTTCTTACCTTTGAAAGTTCTCTATATTCTCTTTTCATCTGAAGCACCTATTGCAGACTTGCAGTATGTCCGGATTCTCATAAAGCCCAAGACTCCATTCCTTGGTCTCGGATCAAGCTTTTCCGCACCTTATCTTGGGTTCGAAATCGCACCAGGGGACAGAGAAAAATATGGAGCATTGTGATATTAGGCAATCAGCATTGAACATATTTGAGCCAAGAGAGAACAATCCAGCGCTCGCAGGCACCGATTACACCTATCATATGTTTTCTAAGATGCATCAAATTCTTGGCAGCGGAGAGCTTATCACTTAAGGATTCTGACAGCAGGATCACACCGAGACCAAAACCCATTCGGAGTAAGCTCCGGAACTGAATATGAAACTCAGCGTTTATCAGTGCTTACAAAGCCCCACCTATCTCTTGGCAAGGCGGATCTAATAAGACTTGGCTGCAGATTTGTCTAAAGTATCTAGACAATAGTGAGTGGTGATAAGATCCTTGTGAGAGATAATGAGACACGTACCCCTGTGGGGTAGGTATACCTCGTAGAGGGCAGTAAGTAGTAAGCAGAGACAAAAGCACAAAGAAAGCCATGCAAACTTGTGGGGATCTGGTTGATGAGCTAGGCCCCAGAATCAGTTTAATAGGGTTATACGCTCGAACACCTGCATTTCTCCACTGAGGTGCGTGAAGCGAAACAGTTCAGCGGTTATAGGGAAACTACTAGACCTTGCCTCTTTGATCCCAAATCCAAGCCGGGCGGTGAGATTCACGTCAAAGAAGAGGAATAGGATGACTGGCTATAGCTTGAAGTTCGGCTCCTCGCCTGACATGGAATTGAAACTTCACCGAGTAGACCAATAGCCAAGTATACTCCGAGAGACTTGCCGGAACATCCACTTCAATCCATATGATGCTGATAAGGGGCGTAGTTGCAGGGTCCATCTATCATCCTTTAGTACATGCATGTGGCCCAGTTATTCAAGACGTGTATGCTCACATTGCTAGGCCCAAGGGTGGACTACCCTAGCTATAGACGTATACCGAGGTGTCTCGAATTCAAATCTTCCTATAAGTAGCTTGCTCAAGACTCCAATCTTCTTAGTTGTCTTAATCCGCTTCACTGACACAAGTTCAAGTCTCTCACACCATCACACCAAATCACATTTACACTTTTCTACACGAAACATCTCAATATGCGTTTCTCCATTTCGATGATTGCCATCATGGCACTGGTGACAGGCATTGCTGCTGTGGCAATCCCTCAGCGTATGTCTCCGTAACTGGAAAAAATACGTGCAGTTATAGCTAACTGGCGAACAGCAGAATCAGCCGTGGCACGTGAAGCTCTTCCTGTTACGGACCCTGGTGTGGATGGATGCTTTGACGATGAGGAGCAGGAGTGTTAGAGGACAACTTGACGGTTTCATCGTTACGTGTTATCGGTGATGGATATGTCACGGTTCACGAAACTCGAATTCTGGTGGAACAGGATTTTGTAGTCAAGAGCACCGGATATTTGACAGCACAATAAAACATCAACAGGACCTCTTTCGGACCTAAACACCATTTTCTTTTTTGCCTACGAAACTTTCGAGGCTGGTAACCTTTCTTTGGCGGAGAAGTGCTCCCTCAGTAGTGATGGCAATGTGTTTACTCTCTGCTTAGAGGGATCCAAAATTGCTCTGGGATGAATGTTCTCGTCTTCTCACTCTTCCTCATTACTCTTGGCAAGTGCTATGTCCAGTTCAAGTAGTTTCTGCCGATTGATTCAAATTGAACTCGCAAATTTGATATTTTGGGAGTGTCAAATTCTGGCAGAGCGCAGAAAAAACTTGCTAGTGGCCTACCCCGCTGAAGTATCATATGTACTTCAACCTCGAGATTGGGTAGTGGGAGGAGGGGATGCAGAGCTGAGTAGGAGCTCCTGATGCAAGTCAAATTCAGAAGTACGCATAAAAGAAGTATCCCAAACAACAAGCTTGGCATTTACGAAAGGTTAGTCAAATGAACAAACGCAAGGACGGAACACGAAGCTGGCTGCAGAACAAGCTAGAAACGTCACTAGGTAAACTCTACATGCACTTGCAGGGGCTTTCCTCATCCAAGCCAACCTTTCGTTTATCTCACTGGGATCCATTGCTGTTGTACTGTACCTGGCATGGAAACTTGCTCTGTATGTTAGAGAACTTAGGCGGCAACAGATATCTACTCTGTGTTCGAAACGCAACTTGTCGGCATCAACTAAATTTCTTCTGCAGCTTCCTTCTGCCTGAATTTATCGCACAGGTATTAAGTACAGCATTTGGTCTGAAATCTGCGTTTTGAAACGGCGAATCTTGGCTGTCATATCTGCCCAGCAACAACATATCTAGCAGATCTAGTCTTTCCTTACCATTCCGTTTTGATGTAAAATCTGTGTGTATCATGGTCCAATACGAGCTACTTATCTATACCAAATAGATCGCAAATCTATCCCAAATAAATCATTCATTTATTCCAAATAGATCACGTGAATGTGTCAGACAGTCATCCGGCGTGAAAATACCCCGCATACAACATACCAACATACCAACATACATAAAGAATGAACGCCATTCCCCTCAATCTCCACCTGGCATCTTTCACCTCAGATCAATACTTGATGAATTAGTCTTGATTTCTTTATGGGGTCGATGACAGTACCACGAACTTGAAACAGAATTGCTTAGTTTCCAACGCCACAATACAGCCACCAAAGGTCTAAGTGTTTCAGCGTGTCTTTTGACCCTGCATGTGCACCTCACTAGCCACAAACATATTTGCTATCCTCTGCCACATACAGGAGTTAAGTTCTTGAAGATGCCTTCTGTTACTCTTCGGATTGCGCGGCCCACGAACAATCTCGAGAAGCTCACCCACTTTTACACTACTGCTCTCGGAATGCGGATCATCGGCTTCTTCAAAGACCACGCTGGGTTCGACGGCGTCATGCTAGGGCTCCCAGACTGTACATGGCACCTGGAATTTACGCATCAACATGGAGTTACAGTGGACCCCGCTCCGAGCAAGGAACATCTACTTGTTTTCTATCTTCCCGCCAACGAGGAGTGGGATACTGCAGTCAAGAGAATTGAGAGCACTGGTGGAACCAGGGTCCAAAGCGAGAATCCGTATTAGGATGTGAAGGGTGCGGCTTTTGAAGATCCGGATGGATACCGAGTTGTTCTACAGAATGCACCCTGGCCGTAGTGTCTGAATAACAGTGTCGAAAAGATTAGATTGGGAAAATCCCCCTTCCTTAACATCAGTTCAAGGTACATCTTCATCGATACTTTGAGACTTCAGAGTTATGCTGATCTCTCGCAGTCTGCCCGAAAGGAGATGCGCACGCGGTTAGCAGGATGTGCATCATGACTGCCCTGATCTTCCCCACAAGAAGTTTTGGGCGTTATTTGTCCGCAGTCTGGCAGCATTCCGATGCGTTTCATCGCAACGTTACTTTGTACCTAACGGACGGTATAGTTATCTAGTTTCGGTCGTGATGGCGCTATCATTACAGTTCGATTCCGACATAGTGGTTGCCACTGGCTCAACGCTTCACGCGCAGACTATCGCTGTCAATCTTCTGGTCGAAGGATTCATTTGACCCCTTCTTGTGGAGTAGTTCGAGGGCTAAGCTTCGGAAATAGCTGACCCGAAGGATTTCCCCCACTCATGGCGTTGCTGTCACCTTCCTTGCATCCAAGCTTTGCGGGGAAAAAGCTTGAGTGTCTGAACGAGCGGGATGTGGCTTTTCATGAACTGGCTTGGAACAATGGCTCGTGTGATGCGCGAGGGTTCTCGGCTAACGAACATGGGGACAAAAGTCCGTGCGTTCAGGGCATCAGAATCATGAATTTTATTAATTAATTAGCTGTAGACCAGCCACATCGCTTAATTAAGTCGTGTACCCAGAAGTCCTGCTGCTCAATAAGCCCATTGATCCATTCCTGAGGAA